CCAGCAAGCGAGAGTCCAAAAGTGGCAGGCCCAAACCCAGCACCTCAATTCATGGCTGATACCAGATGAGAGACTCCCCCCTGGGCACTCAGAAGACTGGGCGACTTGGAAGGCGCTGAACAGACTGCGCTCTGGCACCACGAGATGCAGAGCCAATCTTAAGAAATGGGGCTACAGGGTGGAATCCTCGGCATGCGAGTGCGGAGAAGAACAAACCACTGACCACCTGCTGCGGTGCACCCTGAGCCCTGTCACATGCACCTTCTTGCGGCAACCCCAGAGGCACTCCAGGTGGCCAGATACTGGTCAAAGGACATTTAACCAACTACCAAATTTGCAAAATCTGTGTGTTTTTTTCCTTTTTTCTTTTTAATCTGTGTGTTTGTTTTGCTCTGTTAGAATTGTAATACAATGGTTGCTGATGACACGATAAATAAATAAATAAATAGTAAATAAAGAGAAAGACTCAAAAAAGAAGGGGAATTCCAGACAAGAATCAATCAGGGCCAGCCAACACCTCAGGATTAATTTAGTTATGTATGTGTTTTAAATGTGCTTCTATGTATTGCCAAGATGGCTGCTACTGTGAATTAGAAATGCTGTGCAGAATGTTTACACTTTGAGCTGTGATTAAGCGAACTTGAGAAAAGTAAGATAAGGTTTACTCTTGCTGGGAACAGAAGGGAGTAACCAGTCTCAGCAAGAAAAGATAAGCAGATGTGAAGAGGCTTTCGTTTTGACTAGTTCCTGAATTGTAGCTCGCTGTAGTAAGACGCGTCTGTTGAATGCACTTAGTAAACCTAGTTTCTTTTGTAACTCAAAGCCTGCAGAGTCCTTATTTTGCAATTCAGTGTCTGCTGATCTATCATTCCTTCCGCTGGGTATCCTCTGACTCTGACACTCCCAACAAAGGATTACCCCAATCAGTCAGGCTTTGAAGCTACAAGGCCATTCAATGCTAACCAAGGTGGCCAATGGCAACATTCACACTTGGCTTAAACAGGCAAGAGTTCTTTCTCCCACCCTGGACATTATTCCACAGGTATATAAACCCCATTTTCCTAGTTTCCAACAGACCTCACAACCTCTGAGGATGCCTGCCATAGATGTGGGAGAAACATCAGGACTGAATGCTTCTCAATCAGGGCCAGCTAACACCTCCCAACAAAGGACCCCCAGGCAGGAAGCAGGCAGGCATTGAAGCTGCAAGGCCATTCAATGCTAATCAAGGTGGCCAATGGCAACATTCACCCTAGACATCATTCCACAGGTATATATCAACCCCACTTGCCTAGTTTCCAACAGACCTCACAACCTCTGAGGATGCCTGCCATAGATGTGGGCGAAACATCAGGACCGAATGCTTCTCAATCAGGGCCAGCTAACACCTCCCAACAAAGGACCCCCCAGGCACGAGATAGCTAGGCATTGAACCTCCAAGGCCATTCAATGCTAATCAGGGTGGCCAATGGGAACATTCACACTTGCCTCAAGCAGACAAGAGTTCTTTCTCCCACCCAGGACATCATTCCACAGATATATCAACCCCACTTGCCTAGTTTCCAACAGACCCCACAAGCTCTGAGGATGCCTGCAACAGATGTGGGCGAAATGTCAAGAGAGAACGCTTCTGGAACATGGCCAGACAAACAGGAAAAGACACAGACCCAGTGGTGCAATGGGTTAAACCCTTGTGCCAGCAGGACTGGAGACTAAAAGATCGGAGATTTGAATCTGGGGAGAGAACGGACGAGCTCCTTCTGTCAGCTCCAGCTCCCCATGCGGGGACATGAAAGCAGCCTCCCACAAGGTAAAACATCAAAACATCTGGGAATCCCCTGAGCAACATCCTTGCAGACAGCCAATTCTCTCACACCAGAAGCAACTTGCAGTTTCTCAAGTAGCTCCTGACATGAATGAACAAACGAACGAACAAATATGTGTGTGTGTATGTATGTGTATGTATATATATATACACATCTTCACTGCCCGACAGCTCCAAGAAAAATGCAGAGAACAAAATCAACCTCTGTACATGGCATTCATTGACCTTGCAAAGGCATTCGACACAGTGAACCGCAGCGCTCTCTGGACCATCCTCCAAAACAAATTTGTGAACATCCCATGGCTCCTCCATGATGGCAACAGTTTTGGACAGCGATGGCTCCAAAGTGACCCATTTAAAGTGGAATCCGGTGTCAAACAGGGATGTGTTATTGCCCCAACTTTACTCTCCATCTTCATCGCTATGATACTTCACCTTGTTGATGGGAATAACACATCCCACCGGAGTGGAAAGCTATTCAACCTCAGCAGACTGAAAGCCAAAACCAAGGTTAAAAAAAAAAATCTGTTATAGAACTCCAGTATGCTGATGACAACGTTGTCTGTGCGCATTCAGAAGATCTACAAGCCACTCTAAACACCTTTGCAGAAGCATACGAGAAGCTCGTAACATGTGGTGTACCATTAGAAAATGTTGATCATTTCTGCTACCTTGGCAGCCACCTCTCCACCAAAGTCAACATCGACACCGAAATACAACACCACCTGAGCTCTGCAAGCGCAGCATTTTTCCGAATGAAGCAGAGAGTGTTTGAGGGCCGGGACATCCGTAGGGATACCAAAGTGCTTGTTTATAGAGCTATTGTCCTCCCAACCCTGCTATATGCCTGTGAGACGTGGACTGTCTACAGACGTCACATGCAACTCCTGGAACGATTCCATCAGCGCTGCCTCCGGAAAATCCTGCAAATCTCTTGGGAAGACAGGCGGATAAATGTCAGCATGCTGGAAGAAGCAAAGACCACCAGCATTGAAGCGATGGTCCTCCGCCATCAACTCCACGTAGTCTGGATGCCCGACCACCGTCTCCCAAAGCAGTTGCTCTACTCCGAACTCAAGAATGGAAAATGGAATATTGGTGGACAAGAAAAGAGATTGAAAGATGGGCTCAAAGCCAACCTTAAAAACTCTGGCATAGACACTGAGAACTGGGAAGCCCTGGCCCTTGAGCAATCCAGCTGGAGGTCAGCTGTGACCAGCAGTGCTGCAGAATTTGAAGAGGCATGAATGGAGGGCGAAAGAGAGAAGCGTGCCAAGAGGAAGGTGCGTCAAGCCAACCCCGACTGAGACCGCCTTCCACCTGGAAACCAATACCCTCACTGCAGAAGAAGATGCAGAGCAAGAATAGGGCTCCACAGCCACATACAGACCCACAAGAATACTGGAATACAATCCTCCTCAGAAAATGAGGGATCGCCTAAGTAAGTAAGTAAGTAAGTAAGTAAGTATGTATATTGAATTGTTGCCTTTGAGTCCCCTTTGGGGTTGAGAAGGGCGGGATATAAATATGACACATAAATAAATAATAAATAGATGCAGTTCAAATTGAATAGCGTTAAAGAGAAGAGGTCTGCCAGTTATATATGATTTCGCTATTTTCGCAAAGAAAACCAGCCCTAGATCAAAAGACTTTGCACCCTGAGAATTTTGGGTGTCCAATCCAGTCCTTTATCCTTTCAGCAAGCTCCCAAGGCAAGGAGGTCATGTTTCTTTCACTTTTACACAGTTACCAAATACACTTTTTAATAGTCTTACTGTGCATGGATTTTATTGTTAGACTAATAAAATAAATAATGGATATGTACCTTTCAAGTTGCCGGTCAGCATAATGGCAACCTCATGAATTCCATAGGGTTTTGTTAGGCAAGGAATACTCAGTAGTGGAGTGGAGTACCCTGTGCTTCCTTTGCGCCTACTACCCAGAGATGACCCTGCTTAGCTTCCAAGTTTGGACAGGATCTGGTGCCTTTCGGCCTAAAATAAATAATACACAAACTAGATTGCAGATAAAGTGCTGGCTTAGAGATAAGGAATGGTTAGTTACCTGTAACTGTGTTTCTTAAAGGGGTCACCTGTGAAATTTGAACAGCCATATCTGACCAGGAAGAAGAAACACGGTTACAGGTAAGCAACCATTCCCTCTTCTTCGTGGTCCCTGTGAAACGCGCACATATGGCTGTGTGAATTTCATGGGTGACCAAAGAAACACGGTTACAGGTAAGCAACCATTCCCTCTTCTTCGTGGTCCCTGTGAAACGCGCACATATGGCAGTGTGAATTTCACGGGTGACCACTCAAAGAAACATGGTTGCAGGTAAACAACCATTCCTTCTTTTTCGTGGCCATCCATGAAATGCGCACATATGGCTGTGTGCATTTCATGGGGACCATGAAGAAAAAATAGCAAAGGATACCTGTGACTCAACACATCACAATTTTTATGAGAGGACAACCTACGATGGGCATTCCTTAAAGATTTCCCCTGACCCACTTCTATTTATCACATGTGCACATGTGTAATGACAAGTCATAGAATCCGAGAGTTGGAAGAGACCTCATGGGTCATCCAGTCCAACCCCATTCTGCCAAGAAGCAGGAATATTGCATTCAAAGCACTCCTGACAGATGGCCATCCAGCCTCTGCTTAAAAGCTTCCAAAGAAGGAGCCTCCACCACACTCCAAGGCAGAGAGTTCCACTGCTGAACAGCTCTCACAGTCAGGAAGTTCTTCCTCATGTTCAGGTGGAATCTCCTCTCTTGTAGTTTGAAGCCATTGTTCCGCGTCCTAGTCTCCAGGGAAGCAGAAAACAAGCTTGCTCCCTCCTCCCTGTGACTTCCTCTCACATATTTATACATGGCTATCATGTCTCCTCTCAGCCTTCTCTTCTTCAGGCTAAACATGCCCAGCTCTTTAAGCTGCTCCTCATAAGGCTTGCTCTCCAGACCCTTGGTCATTTTAGTCAAGGATCTGGAGAACAAGCCCTATGAGGAGCGGCTTAAAGATCTGCTTTAGAGTCACCCAGGAGGACCTGGGAATTTTTTTACCTTTTTGTGCTAAAGCAGCCAAGTGGACATGAACTGGTCATACTTACAGGTGGGGAAACACAGGCCGTAGAGAAATAGAGTAGTCTGTAAATGACACTCAGAAGTCAGCAAAAGGCTAAGATTACCCTGGAATTCCTTGCTGGATTGATGTATACATGATCCCTTTGGATGACCGCATCCAGACCTAGAGAAGGATCTTTAGAAGCATGAGCGATTATGATTTACAACAGGGGTCGTCAAACTTTTTACACAGAGGGCCAGGTCACAGTCCCTCAAACTGATGGAGGGCTGGATTATAATTTGAAAAAGAAAAGAACGAATTCCTATGCACACTGAAATAAATTATTTGTAGTGCAAAAAACACCCAAAAACAATACAATAATTAAAATGAAAAACAATTTTAGCAAATATAAACTTATTAGTATTTCAATGGGAAGTGTGGACCTGCTTTTGGCTGATGAGATAGGATTGTTGTTGTTGTGTGCTTTCAAGTCGTTTCAGACTTAAGTTGACCCTGAGTGAGGGCCGGGTAAATGACCTTGGAGGGCCGTATCCGGCCCCCGGGCCTTAGTTTGAGGACCCCTGATTTACAAAGTCCTCCCGCACCCCATAACTGTTTGAGTGGATGGATTCCAGCAAATGCAACACCACCATTCTGAAATTGTGCACAGGCAAGACAAGAGTTCAGAAAACAAGCCTCCTGCTGACCTTCGCCTGAAAAGGAGGAAGAAAAAATGCAACGGCATTGATGTCCATCAACACTTATGGATGGGCACTCGTCCAGGATTCAATGAAAAAGTCAGAGATTGCTGCGGTTGCCTCCTCTGTAGCAAATGGAGCCGGATGAAACTGAGGCGGCTGTCAGGAGCGTGAAAGACAGCCCATGTGCAAGCAGAGCAGCCAGGGAGTCTTCCCCAAGGAGCACACAAGAAAGTCACACATCATAGTTGGGCAAATAGCTGTAGGAAGGCCTGCTGGCAGATGAGGAGTTGCAGCTGCACGGGAAGAACCAGCAGATCACAAAACCTGGAAAGATAGAATCATAGAATCAAAGAGTTGGAAGAGACCTCAGACTTTGCGCTTAACCACAACCTTTGCGTTTAACCACAACCAAACTTTGTATGACCTCTACATAGAATCAAAGAGTTGGAAGAGACCTCATGGGCCATCCAGTCCAACCCCATTCTGCCAAGAAGCAGGAATATTGCATTCAAATCACCCCTGACAGATGGCCATCCAGCCTCTGTTTAAAAGCTTCCAAAGAAGGCGCCTCCACCACACTCCGGGGCAGAGAGTTCCACTGCTGAACGGCTCTCACAGTCAGGAAGTTCTTCCTCATGTTCAGATGGAATCTCCTCTCTTGTAGTTTGAAGCCATTGTTCCGCGTCCTAGTTTCCAGGGAAGCAGAAAACAAGCTTGCTCCCTCCTCCCTGTGGCTTCCTCTCACATATTTATACATGATTAGGCCTGGGCGGTTTCGTTCGTTAATTTTGTAATTCGTTATTAATTCGTTATTTTTAGCATTTACGAAACGATATCAAAACACATTTTCAAACCCGGAAGGGTTTAAAAATATCGAACCGGCAACCCCCATAGATTTAACGAGCTTCCGCTCGTTTCGTAAATGGGATGGAGGCTGCTGGTGCCCTGGGAGCCAATCCGGTGCTCCCAAGCACAGTGCACCGTGGCTGTTTCTGATTGGCCGGCGAGCCTTTTAAAAGTGGCTCCGCGCGGCCGTACAGCTCATTGCTGCAGAGGGCGAGGGAGAGAGAAGAGGTCCGGGAGGGTTTGCATTGGGTTGGCTTGGCTTGGCTTGCAACTGGATTGGATTCATTCCTTGCTCATTCCTTGCTTGGATTCATTCCTTGCTGCTGTGCTTAGTGCTGCTTAATTATATTCCTTGCTTGGATTCATTACTTCCTTCGGTTTTTGTGAATTTGTTTGTTAATTGTCCATTTTTAAATATTTTTTAATAATATTTTTAATATTATTTTTAATATTATTTTAATATTATTCTTAAAAAATACAAAAAATATTCTAAAAAAGAAAAGACTCTTCTGTTGCTGTGTGCTCTCATTTGCTGTCTCCTGCCTGTGTTTGGTCCACATCAGGGCCATGGTTCAGTTTACCATAGATTACGTGCGGGGGCTGGGGTCATCGCAAGCCCCCCGTCTGTCAGCGCAGCCTAGGCTGAATGTCCATACTGGTGGACTGGATTCTGTTGGTGTGTGCTCTCATTTGCTGTCTCCTGCCTGTGTTTGGTCCACATCAGGGCCATTTTTTGGTTAATTTTCCATTTTTAAATATTTTTTAATATTATTTTTTAATATTATTTTAATATTATTCTTAAAAAATACAAAAAAATATTCTAAAAAAGAAAAGACTCTTCTGTTGCTGTGTGCTCTCATTTGCTGTCTCCTGCCTGTGTTTGGTCCACATCAGGGCCATTTTTTTGTTAATTTTCCATTTCTGAATATTTTCTAAAAATACCTGCCTTTTATTCTTAAAAAAATACAAAAAATATTCTAAAAAAATAAAAGAGTCTTCGGTGGCTGTGTGTGGGTTTGTCATTTGTGTAGTTCCAACCAGTGCGCTCCTTTTGCCAACACAAAGTGCTATAATACAGTGCTCGCTCATTTGTGTAGTTCCAACCAGTGCGCTCCTTTTGCCAACACAAAGTGCTACATACACTGCTCGCTCATCATTTGTGTAGTTCCAAACAGTGCGCTCCTTTTGCCAACACAAAGTGCTACATACACTGCTCGCTCATCATTTGTGTAGTTCCAACCAGTGCGCTCCTTTTGCCAACCCAAAATATTTAATAACGAAGTTATTAATAACGAAGTTTTTAATAACGAAGTTTCGGAAGTCGCTTTTGCGCATGCGCAAAGCGTCCGTCGCTTTAACGAATCGATTCGTTATAACCTTAACGAATCGACCCCCCCGCCAATAACGAAGCTTCGGAAGTGATTTTGCGCATGCGCGGGGGTCCGCCATCTTAACGAATCAATTCGTTAATATTTACGAAATTTCGTAAATACCGAAACTTTTTTGGGGGAAAATTTTGTAATTATTTTAAATATCGAAACAAAAAAACACCCCAATTACAAATCGATTTTAGAAACAAATTTTTCCGTTGTTACCCAGGCCTAATGGCTATCATATCTCCTCTCAGCCTTCTCTTCTTTAGGCTAAACATGTCCAGCTCCTTAAGCCGCTCCTCATAGGGCTTGTTCTCCAGACCCTTGATCATTTTAGTCGCCCTACTCAGGCTTGTTCTCCAGACCCTTGACCATTTTAGTCGCCCTCCTCTGGACACATTCCAGCTTGTCAATATCTCTCTTGAATTGTGGTGCCCAGAATTGGACACAATATTCCAGGTGTGGTCTAACCAAGGCGGAATAGAGCATGGGGAGCATGACTTCCCTAGATCTAGACACTGCTCCTATTGATGCAGGCCAAAACCACTGATCTAGACACTATGCTCCTATTGATTCAGGCCAAAATCCCATTGGCTTTTTTTGCCGCCACATCACATTGTTGGCTCATGTTTAACTTGTTGTCCACGAGGACTCCAAGATCTTTTTCACACGTCCTGCTCTCGAGCCAGGCATTGTCCCCCATTTTGTATCTTTGCATTTTGTTTTTCCTGCCAAAGTGGAGTATCTTGCATTTGTCCCTGTTGAACTTCATTTTGTAAGTTTTGGCCAATTATCTCTCTAATCTGTCAAGGTCGTTTTGAATCCTGCTCCTGTCCCCTGGAGTATTGGCTCTCCCTCCCAATTTGGTGTCGTCTGCAAACTTGATGATCCTGCCTTCTAGCCCTTCATCTAAGTCATTAATAAAGATGTTGAACAGGACCGGGCCCAGGACGGAACCCTGCGGATGGCACTCCGCTCGTCACTTCTTTCCAGGATGAAGAGGAAGATATTAGAGTGGGGAGAAGAGAGGACGCTTGATGTGGCTTGTCACAGGGAAGCCCCCAACGCAGCCCTTCCCCTCAGCCACCTCTGCGACTTACCTCGGCCAAACACCTCCCGCAAGAGGGCAATCTTGGGCTTCCGCGTGTGGGACACCTCCTGGTGCGCCTTCTTCAGGAGTCGATTGCGCAACTGTTCAATCGGAGTCTCATCTGTGATGATAGAGACCAGCTGGAGGGCAAAAGGCATACAATGAGTATGGAAGAATATTATTTATTTATTTATTTATTTAATCGAACTTATATGCCACCACTCCCCTGGGGCTTGGAGCGGCTTACAAGAACAGGCTAAAATCTAACACAATTTAAAAACAATTTAAAACAATTTAAAAACAACAATATCAGAGATCAAAGGCCTGTCGAAACAGATATGTCTTACATGCCCTGCAGAAAGCTCATAAGTCCCGCAAGGCACGGACTTCAGGTGGCAGAGTATTCCAGAGTGATGGTGCCACTGCTGTAAAGGCTCTGCATCTGGTTGCTGTTAGACGCAAGGTCTTGACACTGGGAATTTCCAATAGATCTTGGTCCTCGGAACGGAGGGATCTCTGGGGTTGGTAGGGGGTGAAGCGGTCCCTCATGTATATCAGCCCCAGACCACGTAAGGCCTTAAAGGTGAGTACCATCACTTTGACAGTGATCCGGTGCTCAATTGGTAACCAATGCAGTTGCAGTAAGATTGGTGTCATGTGGCATCTCATCGGAATTCCCGCAAGAAGCGGAGCAGCTGCATTTTGTACCAACTTGAGCTTCCGGATCACCGACAGAGGAAGGCCAATGTAGAGGGCGTTACAGTAGTCCAGTCTTGAGATGACCGTAGCCTGGATCACCGTAGCTAAGTCATCCCTGGACAGGGAGGGGGCCAGCTGTCTAGCCTTCCGCAGGTGAAAAAAGGCAGTTCTGCTAACGGTGAAGACCTGGCCTTCATTGTCAGCAGAGGGTCCAAAAGGACTCCCAGACTCTTTACCAATGATGACGGGCCTAGTGCCTCACCCTCCAGGGTATGGCCCGGTTGACCCCGCCATAGGATCTCTGTCTTTGCTGGATTCACCCTCAACCTGCTGGCACGCAGCCCTCCAGTCACGGCCTTGAGGCACTGATGGAAACAATCAGGTACAGAGTCCGGTCGGCCTTCCATCTTCAGCACCAGCTGAGTGTCATCGGCATACTGGTAACACTCAAGCCCAAAACCTCGAACCAGCTGAGCAAGTGGTCACATATAAATGTTACACAACAGAGGGGAGAGATTGGCCCCCTGAGGAACCCCACAAGAGAGAGGGGACCTCTCAGAGACCAGGCCTCCCCTCTCCACTTTTTTTTTGTTTTTTTGTCATGTCAGGAGCGACTTGAGAAACTGTAAGTCGCTTCTGCTATGAGAGAATTGGCCGTCTGCAAAGACGTTGCCCAGGGGACGCCTGGATGAATTGATGTTTTTATCATCTTTGTGGGAGACTTCTCTCATGTCCCCGCATGAGGAGCTGGAGCTGATAGAGGGAGCTCATCCGCCTCTCCCGAGATTCGAACCTGCGACCTGTTGGTCTTCAGTCCTGCCGGCACAGGGGTTTATTTTAGTTCTTGTGGATCACTGGTGGTCCATGGACCACAGGTTGGGAACCAGTTTTAAATGAATGTCCTACACCAGTGGTTCCCAAACTTATTTGGCCTACCCCCTGGAAATCAATTTTTCTAAATCTTCTCTTCTTTCTTTTATGCTTTCACCGCCCCCTTACAGTTATTCACGACCCCCAAATGCACCTGTGGCCATTATCCCCCCCCCCCCCCGATCGCTGCAGCGCCCATCAGGGGGAGGTAACACCCACTTTGGGAATCACTGTCCTACATCCTCTGAAGTACTCCATTTCACTACTGAACAGCTCACTGTCCACGGTTGTGAAGAAAGGAGGACAGCCAATTTAAAGCTGTCCCCCTGACTCCAACAGCAGCAAGGCGGTGGGTCAAAAGATTGTGGTCAACTGTGTCAAATGCTGCTGTGAGATCCAATAACACAAGCAGCGCCGACCTGCCCTGGTCAAGCTGGCCAATGATCAAACCTGACGGAAGATGGACTCCAACAATCAGCAAAAGGGAGAGGGTGCCGCAGATTCCCCATTCCTGCCCTAAACACTTACCTGGTCATAAAATATGACTGTGACAAAGAGTCCAAAGAGGATGGATTCCACCAACAGGATGATACGGTGAGCACTAAAAAAACAGAACAAGCAAAGGTGCAGTCCGTTTGTTAGCTAGGAACATCATTAATTCAATTGAGGTTTCCAGGGCGATAACATGCAATGTAAGCCTGCTTTTTCATCAGTTGGCACATGCATCACACATATCCTCTGAAAAGTTCTTATGCGAGGGCTGAAACCGTGGCAGTAGATTACTGGTACCCCAATAAATATTGCAATATGTTAAATGTATGCGTCAGGCCTCAGCAGCAGGAGAAGGCAAGGTGACACTGAGTCAAATAAAGGAAGTCGCTCCAACTCTCCCGTCTCTACAGCTCCTATCTTTTTTTTCTTTTTTTTAGTAAATTTTTTATTGTTATCATATACATAAAAATAAAAATAAAAAGTGGTATAAAACCCCCCAAAAAACAATTTACAAGTAAAGTGGGGGAACATTGGATTATAGGAAAGTAGGAAATCTTAAAGGTCAAACTGCGTGAGAGAGAGAAAGAGAGAGAAGAAAACAAAAACCAAAAAACCAAAAACAGAACACGCACACACACATAGTTATTTGACTTCCATTCGGTGCTTTCACTTAATATGTATCCACTTTATAGTCCATATCTATCTTAGTATCATTTCATTTTTTATTTATTTAACATCTTTCCTTCATGTAGTTTTCAAATAGTGACTAGTTTGTCTCTTTTATTGGCTTTCCCGAGCTTTTTCTTAAAAAAAAAAAAAAGGTTAATTTGTCCATATTTTTTATTTCTTGTAGTTTATTTAACCAGTCCTCTATTTCTGGAATTTTGTCTATTTTCCAAATTTTAGCAAATGAAATCCTTGCTGCTGTTGAAATATAGGTAAATAAAATGTCCTTATTTGGATCTGGGGTGAATTCTGAGTCTGTAATATTTAATAGATAACCAGAATAGATTCTGGTTTTTTTGGGAATGACATTCCCAGTATTTTTTGTGTCTCTTCGTGTATATTTTTCCAATAAATTTGTGTTTTCTTGCAGGACCACCACATATGAAAGAAACTGCCCTCTATTTCTTGACATTTCCAACATTTTTTGTCCAAATTTTTATACATTAGATTTAATTTTTTAGGTGTAACATACTATCGATGAAGCATCTTAAGCCATTTTTCCTTCAAATCCATTGCATATGTATATTTTAGTTTTTTATTCCAAATTGTTTCCCATTCTCTCAAATGGATTGGTCTTCTTAAGATTGGTCTTCATAAGAAAATACAGCTCCTATCTTTCTGACAGCATGCGGTTAAGCAGTTATACAAAAGCGAGCATGGAGCAACCTCCCTTCCCCTCGGCCCCGAGCCAAGACTTTTGTGCTCCAGTTGTTCTTGGCAGGAACTTTGTGACATGGCAATTTCTTTTTCTTTCTTTTTTTCCCCTCTGCATCCCCTTCCGTACCCTCCCTCCCCTTGTATATGGATTATTTCCTTGACTGGGAGGAGGAGGAGGAAAAACTGAGTACTCACATTTGGCTGCGGTTGCCAGAAACGCCACCCTCAGCTCCTTCTGTTTTTCCTGTCGAGCCCTTGTCTGTAGGCCACAGCCAGGTGGTCAGGACCAGCCCCATGGCATACAGGCTAGCCAAGCCTTGCCGACCGGGAGAATGAGGTCAAGAAAAGCCAGGAAGGAGGGGGCAGAAAGAGGAAACATTCAAAAAGTCCATCAACGTGACCAGCCATTGTCTTTGGGGGCCATTTGTGATACATCTCCAAATATGGTCAGGAGAGAACTCTCTAGTTGATGACCTTAGCATCTCTCAAAAGTCCAGATTTCTGGACTAATGCAATCAGCTTAAAGCACTGATTCTCAACCTTCCTAATGTCACGACCCCTTAAGACACTTCCTCATGTTGTGGTGACCCCCAACCATGACATTCTTTTTGTTGCTACTGTTGTGAGTCGTAATGTAATTATCTGATATGCATGCAGGATGTATTTTCATCCACTGGACCAAATTTGGCACAAATACGCGATACACCCAAATTTACCGTATATACTCGAGTATAAGCCAACCCAAATATAAGCCGAGGCACCTAATTTTACCACAAAAAACTGGGGAAATGGATTGACTCGAATATAAGCCGAGGGTAGGAAATGCAGCATTTATGGGTCAATCTATATAAATAAAAATGTAATGTTCGTTTGTGGGATTAACATAACTCAAAAACCACTGGACGAATTGACACCAAATTGGGACACAAGACAACTAAGGAAGGAAAGGAAGGAAGGAAAGAGGTAGAGATGGAAGAAAGGAGAGAAAGAAAGAAGGAAAGAAGAGAAAGAGGGACGGCAAGAAAGAAGGAAAGAGAGAAGGAAGAATGGAAGCAAAGAGCAAAGGAAGGAGAGAAAGAAGTAGGAAAAGAAAAAGGGGGGAAAGAAGAAAAGAGATAGAAGAAGGAGGAAGGAGAGAAAGGAAGGAAGGAAGGAAGGAAGGAAGGAAGGAAGGAAGGAAGGAAGGAAGGAAGGAAGGAAGGAAGGAAGGAAGGGGAAGAAGGAACGAGGGAGCAAAGGAAGGAGGGAAAGAAAGGAGAGGGAGGGAGGGAAGGTTGGCCACAGCAACGCGTGGCGGGTACAGCTAGTCTATATAAATACAAATGTAATGTTCATTTGTGGGATTAACATAACTCAAAAACCACTGGACGACTTACAGCCAAATCTGGACACAAGGCCAATGAGTGACCATCACTCATAAAAACACTGGAAAACACAGCAAAAAAGACTTTAAAACCAAAAAACAAAATTACAACGCATGCACAAAACCACATATATATATATGCAAACACACATATACACAAATATACACACACATATATGCAAATATACACACACAAAACACATATACACAGAAAGGGGGAAGAAAGGAGAGAAGGAAGGAAAGAAAGAAAGGTAGAGAAGGAAGAAAGGAGAGAAGGAAATAAAAAAGTGAAAGAAGGAAGGACAGAGTGAAGGAAGGAGAGAAGGAATAAATGAGAGAAACAGGTAGAGAAGGAAGGAAGAAGAGAAAGAAGGAGGAAAAGAAAGAAGGAAAGGAGGAGAGAAAGAAAGAGAGAAAGAGGGAAGGTTGGCCACAGCAACGTGTGGCAGGTACAGCTAGTAGTTAATAAGGCCAGCTATAAGTGACCTGCTTTTTTAAAAAAGTAAACAATAGAAGATATTCAAAACTAGCCGTTAGGCCCAAGCTTAGAAAGCCTAAGCTTTGAGTAAAAAAATAGAGAGGCTGACATTTTGTCGGCAGATTTCATGCTTGCTAGATCTACAGTATTGAGTTTTTGAACGTGACGAGATATTAACAGAAGCCAACTATATGAAAGATGTGGATGTAGAGTTAAAGAAAAGGATCCTCCAGAGAACATTTTGAGCCATTCAAAAAATTGGCTTTCAATCACAGAGCGGAACAGAACTCACAGTCCTTTCACAGAAAGTCCACCCATTCCTTCATTGAACGAGCCAAATTTAGGCAGAAAGGTAGCAAGGTTGAGTATGTTTTATTCAAAATGTTTGGGACCAAACTGGGTGGTTTAGGAGATAAGAATTGATGGCAGTTTCAAATGAATTCCTCATATAGATGTCCTGAGTGTTTGGGGAAAGAGACCCAAGGAGCCTCAGCTCTTAGAAAGACAAAGGATTTTATTACATGCCTACAACAATTCCCGTGTTTGTATGCGTGGGTATGTATGCAGAACACATTTAGAACAAGAGCACCCTCCAGTGGTGAAAGACAGACATTGTCAGATTGCTTTTATAGTGCAAAGGCAACACCTACCAAGGTGTGTAGTGTTTTGGTGAGCACAAAACCTTACGATCAACTAAGCATTTCCCAGAGAGGAAGGCGCCTCACTTAACTCCAGAACAAACTTACCCTTTTCTCCTCCCCCTCTAGAATTGAGAATGTATGGCTTATAAAAGCAAATGATATGATGGACTATTAAAGGAGATAATAATAATAATAATAATAATAATAATAATAATAATAATAATAATGCCATCAAAGCCAGAATTGAAAAGTCGACAACAGATCCCAAATTTATATATATATGCCACCATGAGCCTCTTCTAAAGCCTCCTGGTGCATAGAAATGATCGCGCAGACAGACTACAAGCAGAGGCACAACACCGTTGCTCAGATTATTAATAGGAACGTGTGCCACAAAGACCATCTGCCTGCGACAAAGAACTGGTGGGATCACAAGCCGAAAGAGTTACAGAGAATGAAGATAACAGGATTGAAGAGAAACAACTGGAAAAGCAGTAAATAATAATAATAATCATCATCATCATCATCATCATCGAATCATAGAATCAAAGAGTTGGAAGAGACCTTATGGGCCATCCAGTCCAACCCCATTCTGCCAAGAAGCACGAATATTGCATTCAAATCACCCCTGACAGATGGCCATCCAGCCTCTGTTTAAAAGCTTCTAAAGATGATGATGATGATGATAATAATAATAATAATAATATATTATTATTATTATTATTATTATTATTATTATATTTAATATATAATGTAGACTCTGCAAGGAAGCAGATGAAACAATAGATCACATCTTCAGCTGCTGCAAGAAGATCGAGCAGACAGACTACAAGCAGAGGCACAACACTGTTGCTCAGATGATGCATTGGAATTTGTGTCACAAAGACCATCTGCCTGCAACAAAGAACTGGTGGGATCACAAGCCGGAATGAATACACCAGACTCCTCTGGGACTTCCGAATTCAGACAGACAAGAGTTTTGGAGCACAATACTCCTGACCTCACAATCGTGTTAAAAAACAAAGTATGGATCGTCGATGTCGCAATCCCAGGTGGCAGCAGGATTGAAGACAAACAACTGGAAAAGCTGACACGATATGAGGATTTAAAGATCAAACTGCAAAGACTCTGGCATAAGCCAGTCAAGGTGGTCCCAGTGGTGATCAGCACACTGGGTGCAGTGCCTAAAGACCTTGGCCTGCACTTAAACACAATCAGCACTGACAAAATTACCATCTGCCAGCTGCAGAAGGCCACCTTACTGGGATCTGCATGCATTATTCGCCGATACATCGCACAGTCCTAGACACTTGGGAAGTGTCCGACGTGCGATCCAATTCAACAGCCAGCAGAGTGTCTGCTGTGGACACATCTTGTTGTATTTCAAATAATAATAATAAATGTATTGTCGAAGGCTTTCATGGCCGGAATCACTGGGTTGTTGTAGCCATGGTCTGGAGGCATTCTCTCCTGGCGTTTCGCCTGCATCTATGGCAAGCATCCTCAGAGGTAGTGATGATGCCTCTAGACCACTACCTCTGAGGATGCGTGCCATAGATGCAGGCAAAACGTCAGGAGAGAATGCCTCTAGACCCATGATGGCAAACCTGTGCCATGCATGTCAGCACTGACACGCCTGGTCATTTTCTATGACACGCGGCCACATGCGGCTGCATACAGAGAAATATAGGGCTGCATCAGGGGCGGCTGAAGCAACTTACGCATTTCCCTGTGAAATAACATCCAGGGTGGGAAAAAGAACTCTTGTCTGTTGGAGGCAAGTGTGAATGTTGCCATTGGCCAGCTTGATTAGCATTGAATGGCCTTGCAGCTTCAAAGTCTGGCTCATTTCTGCTCAGGGGAATCCTTTGTTAGGAGGTGTTAGTTGGGCTTGACTGATTCTTGTCTGGATTTTCCCTGTTTTTTAGGGTTTATATATCTGTGGAATAACATCCAGGGTGGGAGAAAGAACTCTTGTTTGTTGGAGGCAAGTGTGAATGTTGCAATTGGCTATTTTGATTAGCCTTGAATGGCCTGGCAGCTTCAAAGTCTGGCTCCTTCCTGCTCAGGGGAATCCTTTGTTGGGAGGTGTTAGCTGGGTCTGACTGATTCTTGTCTGGAATTCCTCTGTTTCCTGAGTGTTGCTATTTCTTTACTGTCCTGATTTTAGAGTTTTTTAATACTGGTAACCAGATTTTGTTCATTTTCATGGTTTCCTCCTTTCTGTCGAAATTGTCCACATGCTTGTGGATTTCAGTGGCTTCTCTGTGTAGTCTGACATGGCTTTACTCACAATTTTTCCCTTTACGTACTTTTGTGAGACCTCTGTGCTAAATAATATCAAAACCATCAAAAGAAACAGATTGACAGATGATGTTAGTAGCACTTGCTTGGGCTTGAAGTGTACAAAATGCCAACCTTCAATTGAACATTTAGTCAATGAAATTCAGCAACAAAAAAGTCACTAATAGGCAGCTTAGTTAAAAAATTTATCCTCCCATTATGCATTTTTTGTTATTTGAACTATAAATATCACAAAATTATGGGGTTTTTTTTCCTCAAAGTGGCACCCCACCTGAATTATGCTCGTTTTTTTTTTTGGCAGATTTTGACACACCAAGCTGAAAAGGTTGCCCATCACTGCTCTAGACCATGGCCATATAGCCCGAAAAAACCTACAACAACCCAATAATAATAAAACTTTATTTATACCCCGCCACCATCTCCCCAAAGGGACTCGGAGCGGCTGACATGAGGCCAAACCCAACAACAGATCAGTAAAAACAACAAAGCAATAAGCAAATAAAACAATACAATTAATATAACTCATATATAGACAATAACGCGCAAAGATTTAAAAACCTATGGCTGGGCCAGATGTAATAGTTAATTTTTTAAAAAATAAACGCTGGACATGAACAGAGGTAGGATGTATCTAGTAGGAGGGTTTTAAAAGAAATGTAGGGAGGGCAACCCAAGAGGTAATTAAAGTGCTTCTGAGGACATTTTGCAGGGAATTGTTTCCTTTATTCAGGGAAAGCACACTGGAACAGTCATGTTTTCAGGCTCCTCCTAAAGACTGCCAATGTGGGGGCTTGCCTGATATCCTAGGGAAGTGAGTTCCAGAGTTGGGGGACCACCATAGAGAAGGCCCTCTCCCACGTCCCTGCCAATCGCGCCTGCGAAGGAGTTGGGAGCAAGAGCAGGGCCTCTCCAGATGATCAAATACATCAATTCTGATTACTATCACAACGCTTTACTCCCCCTCACTGCCCAGGACACTCCTAGGAACGCGAGTCAAGACATATTTCCACATACCTGTATAGAAGAGAAACTGGATGAAATATTTCTGGTTGAGTTCCCCAACACAGTTGTTGATCCTGTCAAGAGAGAGTATATGCTGTAACCCTCCTTCAGCCAGGTCGGAATCATAGAATCCTAGAGTTGGAAGAGACCTCGTGGGTCATCCAGTCCAACCCCCTGCCAAGAAGCAGAAAAATCACATTCAAAGCACCCCCAACAGATGGCCTTCCAGCCTCTGTTTAAAAACCTCCAAAGAAAGATTTTCCTTTTGGTACAAATGGTTGCTGAAGTTTCCCTTTCCTGAAAAGCACACACATTAATTAATTAATCTATATAAATAAAAATGTAATGTTCGTTTGTGGTATTCACAGAACTCAAAAACCACTGGACGAACTGACACCAAATTTGGACACAAGACACCTAATGACCCAATGTATGTCCTTCACTCAAAAAAATTTGATTTTGTCATTTGGGAGTTGTAGTTGCTGGGATTTATAGTTCATCTACAATCAAAGAGCATTCTGAACTCTATCAACGATGGAATTGAACCAAACTTGGCACACAGAACTCCCATGACCAACAGAAAATACTGGAAGGGTTTGGTGGGCAGTGTCCTTTGGTTTTGGAGTTGTAGATCACTGTGGACTCAAACAATGATGGATCTGGACCAAACTCTACACAAATACTCAATATGATCAAATGTGAACACTGGTGGAGTTTGGGAAAAATAGAATCTAGACATTTGGGAGTTGTAGTTGCAGGGATTTATAGTTCACCTACAATCAAAGAGCATTTTGAACCCCACCAACAATAGAATTGGGCCAAACCTCCCACACAGAACCCGCATGTGGGCCACAGCAACGCGTGGCAGGGGACAGCTAGTCTATATAAATAAAAATGCAATGTTCATTTATGGGATTAACAGAACTCAAAAACCGCTGGACAAAATGACACCAAATTTGGCAGCAAAATACAGTCTAATCCGATCTATGTCTTTCAAACAAAAAAACCCGTAAAAAATGAAGGGGAAATAACTTTAAACTCCTCAAAAAGAAAAAATGCCTTACAGAGCATGCATAAAAGCCCCTCTCCCCATTGCAGGAAGAAGTTGTGAGGGAAGAGAAGCCTCGCCATGGAGTCCCTTTCCGTGAGTGGGCCGGCCTTCCTTCCTTCCTTCCTTCCCTCCCTCCCTCCCTCCCTCCCTCCCTCCCTCCCTCCCTCCCTCCCTCCCTCCCAGTCTCCTTCCTCTCTTTGTCGGTCCCACCAAACACAGACCTCTCCTCCTTATTTTCCCCCTGGAGAGGCGGGCGGGTGGCTGCTCCGTGTGGATGCTGCTCGCCAGGCTTCACCTTCCCTTGCCTGGTCGCCGATGAGAAGGGAGCTCTGCAGCCCCCAGCCTTGCAGGGCCCGGCGGGGGGCGGGAGGCATTTTTCGAGGTGGGCCTTGCTCACCCACATTGGCCCCTTCTTTCTGCCTCAGCCGCAGGGCGCCTTCCATATCCATTCCATTTCCATCAGTGCCTCGAGGCCGTTACTGGATGGCTGTGTGCCAGCAGGTTGAGGGTGAATCCAGCAAAGATCCTATGGCTGCGTCAACCGGGCAGTGGGGACATCCAGCTGCCTACCCTGGATGGCGAGGCGCTACGCCCGTCATCATTGGTCAAGAGTCTGGGAGTCCTCTTGGACCCTCTGCTGATGATGGAGGCCCAGGTCTCCGCCGTGAGCAGAACCGCCTTCTTTCACCTGCGGCAGGCTAGACAGCTGGCCTCCTCCCTGTCCAGGGACGACCTAGCGACGGTGATCCAGGCTACGGTCATCTCAAGACTGGACTACTGCAACGCCCTCTACATTGGCCTTCCTTTGTCGGTGATCCGGAAACTCAAGTTGGTACAAAATGCAGCTGCTCGGCTTCTGATGAGATGCCACATAACACCAATCTTACGGCAGCTGCATTGGTTACCAATTGAGCACCGGATCACTTTCAAAGTGATGGTACTCACCTTTAAGGCCTTGCATGGTCTGGGGCCGATGTACCTGAGGGACCGCCTCACCCCCTACCAACCCCAGAGATCCCTCCGTTCTGAGGACCAAGATCTATTGGATATTCCCAGTATCAAGACCTTGCATCTAACAGCAACCACATGCAGAGCCTTTACAGCAGTGGCACCATCGCTCAGGAATACTCTGCCACCTGAAGTCCGTGCCTTGCGGGACTTATCAGCTTTCCGCAGGGCATATCTGTTTCGACAGGCCTTTGACTTTTAATATTGCTGTTTTTAAATTGTTTTAAATTGTTTTTAAATTGTGTTCGATTTTAGCCTGTTCTTGTATGCCGCTCCGAGCCCCAGGGGAGTGGCGGCATATAAGTTCAAATAATAAATAAATAAATAAATATGACCCTGCCTGCGTGCCCACACACCAAACAGGGAAGGCGCTCTGCAGCCATGGCAGAAAGAAGAAGGGGCGGTGCTGGGTGAGCGAGGCCTGCCTCGAAAAGCGCCTCCCGCCTGCCCTACGCCTGGCCCAGCAAGGCTGAGGGCTACAGCAAGGCTCCCTTCCTGCCGGTGCCCAGGCAAGACGTAGAGAAGAGAAGGAAGAAAAGAGGGAGAGAAGAAAGGAGAGAAAGAGGGCGGGAAAGAAAGATGGAAAGATGGAAGCAAAGAGCAAAGGAAGGGAAGAAAGAAAGAGGTAGAGAAGGAAGAAAGGAGAGAAAGAAGGTAAAGAAAAGGGGAGAGGGAGGAAAGAAAGAGAGAAGGAAAGAAAAAAAAGGAAGGAAGGAACCAAGGACACCTTGTCTCCAAAACTCAGACCAACCATATTCTCACCAAGGGCAATGGTGATCCATGCGGCGCACGCAGCGGTGACAGATGCGACAGTGGTGTGCCCGAGGTGGTCGGTATGTCTCACAGCGGTTGCACACTGTCCAGTCCTAGGGACACAAAAAGAAATCAATGCAAGCACATTTATCTGTACAACTGGGCCTAATTTGCACCAAGGTAAGATAAAGTTCTGTCAGGAAATCATCACAAGACGTAAGCATGAGTTGACATACTTTTAAAGGAGACCTAAATTTATAGGGGAAGTGGACAAAAATATTTGGGTACTGAGTCTTAACAGTGGTTTTTAGTTCTGAATATGTTTTCTGGGTTTTAATTGAATTGTTTAATACTAATGATATTGAATTCCCTTTTAATGTTTACTAGCTTGGGTCCCCGGCATTGCCCGGGTTATTAGAAACAGTTGGTCATTCTGGCAGCTAAGGATCTGATGATAAATAAGGACAGATGGAATGGAATGGACATACGGACTCTGAACACTGAGCATGAGATTGTTTCGCTATTTTAACTATGTATTGATGTTTTTAATTTGTTAACTGTTGAATTGCTTTCTGTATTTTTGTTAGTTAACTCAGGCATCGAATTGTGCCTTCGTCTGTAAGCCGCCCTGAGTCCCCTTCGGGGTGAGAAGGGCGGGGTAAAAGTAATTGAAATAAATAAATAAAAATAAATATACTCGGTTATAAGCCAACCCGAATATAAGGCGAGCCACCTAATTTTACCACAAAAAACTGGGAAAACGTATTGACTCGAGTATAAGCCGAGGGTGGGAAATGCAAATGCTACTGGTAAATTTCAAATTAAAAATAGATACCAATAAAATGATATTACTGGGTTGTTGTAGGTTTTTCCGGGCTATATGGCCATGTTCTAGAGGCATTTTCTCCTGAATCTATGGCAAGCATCCTCAGAGGACTGAAAAACTAGGCTTATACTCGAGTATATACAGTATTTGAGCTCAGAGGAGGATGCTTGCCATAGATGCAGGAGCCTCCACCACACCCCGGGGCAGCTTTTTTAATGTCCCTGTCAAGCCTGAGCTCATTTTGTGCTTCAGCCTTGCGGACCTTTTCCCTACAGGAGTTGGCTATTTGTTTGAATTCTTCTTTGGTGATTTCTCCCTTTTTCCACTTCTTGTGCATGTCTCTTTTGAGTCTTAACACAGTTAGAAGTTCTTTGGACATCAATTCTGACTTCTTTGCACTTGTCCTTCATGGTGAATAGCTCACCTGGCTGCTCTTATGGGGTGCACTGTTGCTGCTTCGCAGGTCTGAAAAGTCAAGAGCAGTGTCGGGAAGCGGGACCATGCCTGAAAGAGAGCCAGAGACCAAAGGAGTGTAAATGCACATTACTTCTCTTCAAATTGGGACAAAGGGTAGAATAGTTCTGATGCACTGGTCTGTGGAGATTCCTTTCTTTTTCACTCCCTCAGACCGAGGGAGTACAATTTGGACGCAGGTACACTCTCCAGTCCTGTTAAAGAGACACCACATACACAGTCATAAAATGGCTGCTCTCAGAGTATTTATTTAAGAAGAGTATCTTTTAATTATACGATTCTAGGTTTTGGCAAGTAATTTGTCAAGCTAACCTATTCCATAGGGCTGTTAGGAGATCAAAAGATTAATGCGGTAGTAACATAAAGGTTTCCCCTTGTCTAGTTGTATCTGACTCTGGGGGGTAGTGCTCATCTCGATTTCTAAGCTGAAGAGCCGGCGTTGTCCATAGATGTCTCCAAGGTCATGTGGCATGCATGACTATATGGAGCACTGTTAACTTCCCGCTGAAGCGGTACCTATTGATCTACTTACTGTATATACCCGAGTATAAGCCTAGTTTTTCAGCCCCTTTCATTAGGCTGAAAAAGCTCCCCTCGACTTATACTCAAGTCAAGGTTATTTATTCTTTTACTCTGTTATTAGTATTATTTTATTACATTTATTATTTTACTCTATTATTATTACATTTACATTATTTTGGGTTGTTGTAGGTTTTTTCAGGCTATATGGCCATGGTCTAGAGGCATTCTCTCCTGACGTTTCGCCTGCATCTATGGCAAGCATGCAGGCGAAACGTCAGGAGAGAATGCCTCTAGACCAGAGGTCCTCAAACTAAGGCCCGGGGGCCGGATACAGCCCTCCAAGGTCATTTACCCGGCCCTCGCTCAGAGTCAACCTAAGTCTTAAGTGACTTGAAAGCAGCAACAACAATAATATCTCATCAGCCAAAAGCAGGCCCACACTTCCCATTGAAATACTAATAAGTTTATATTTGTTAAAATTGTTCTTCATTTTAATTATTGTATATTTTCAGAGTTTTTTGTACTACAAATAAGATATGTGCAGTGTGCATAGGAATTGTTTGTTTTTTTTCAAATTATAATCCGGCCCTCCAACAGTTTGAGGGATTGTGACCTGGCCCTCTGTTCAAAAAGTTTGAGGAGCCCTGCTCTAGACCATGACCATATAGCCTGAAAAAAACTACAACAACCCAGTGATTCCGGCCATGAAAGCCTTCGACAATACATTTTACATTATTTTGCTCTATTATTATTACATTTACAGTATTTTACCCTATTATTATTATATTTATTATTTTAATCTAATTATTATTATTATTATTACATTTACAGTATGTTACCCTATTATTACATTTATTATTTTACTCTATTATTACTGTTTTTACTGCATTTTCATTATTTTACTCTATTATTTTTATTATATTTATTATATTAATAATAAGTACATTTACATTGAAGGTTAGAATAATGGTTTAATAAGAGTTGGACAGTCTTATCTTAAATTATAGTTTTATGTAAATTTTCAGAAACATTTAGCCTATTGATGCTTCAATTAATGAAATTTTATTGGTATCTATTTTTATTTTGAAACTAGCCGTCCCCAGCCACGCGTTGCTGTGGCCCAGTCTGGTGATCTGGAAAATAATGAGAAAGTGTTGGTTTCTAATATATATAATTTCTTTATGCTTGTGGGTAAACAGTATTTCTTGTTGTTTCTTTGTCAGTGTTAATGTAGAGATTGTCTGGTTTGCCTGCTCTGGAATATGCAACATATACATTGTCCTTCTTTAGGGGTCCCTTTCAAATCTATGATACTATATCTCTCTGTGTGTGAATCTATCTATATCTATGGCTGGATGGCTCTTTGTCAGGAGGGCTTTAATTAGATTTTCTTGCCCTGGTGAAGGGAGTTGGATTGGATGGCCTTAAGTATTTTCTGTTGGTCATGGGGGTTCTGTGTGGGAAGTTTGCCCCAATTCTGTCGTTGGTGGGGTTCTTTGATTGCAGGTGAACTATAAATCCCAGTAACTACAACTCCTAAATGTCAAGGTCTACTTCTCCTAAGCTCCATCTGTGTTCATATTTGGGCATATGGAGTATTCATGCCAAGTTTGGTCCAGATCCATCACTGTTTGAGTCCACAGTGATCTCTGGATGTAGGTGAACTACAACTCCAAAACCAAAGGACACTGCCCATCAAACCCTTCCAGTATTTTCTGTTGGCCATGGGAGAACCGTGTGCCAAGTTTGGCTCAATTCCATCGTTGGTGAGGTTGAGAACTATAAATCCCAGCAACTACATTTTTTTTTTGAGTGAAGGACATACATTGGGCTGTTAGGTGTCTTGTGTCCAAATTTGGTGTCAATTTGCCCAGTGGTTTTTGAGTTCTGTTAATCCCACAAACGAACATTACATTTTTATTTATATAGATTGACCCATAGTGGATGCATTTCCCACCCTCACTCAAGTCAATACGTTTTCCCAGTTTTTTGTGATAAAATTAGGTGCCTCGGCTTATATTTGGGTCGGCTTATACTCGAGTATATACGGTACTTTCTGTCCCACCCTGCTCTTCAGCTGTACAGGAACAACCAATGAGCAACTGCTGGAGCAGATGGTTTTTAGGTCCAGTCTAATAAGACAACCATTTCACTTCTAAGCAAACAAAGCAGAGGGGGGGGGGGGGTCAACTTTGCCAAGAAGAATCAAGACATTCGTTCTTTCAAAGTATATCATGAACTAAATAAACGAGAACAGACTGAACTCCGAGTAATGATGCAGGCACATGACTCAACAGTAATGTTCCATTGCTTGATGGACACATTGGTGGAATAAATATTTTGATTCAGCATTCGGAGAGGCAGGAGAGACCACACAAACAAAGCAGTCTGGCTAGTTTAAATAATGCCAATTTTGCTTTTGTCCAAATGGCACCAGCAAAGAGGGTTGATGGCCTCCCTCTCAAAATATGGAAACGGGCCAGAGGACCCCTAAGATCAAGGGTCCCTTTCCAAGGTAAGGTGACACCTCTGACGCAGCCAAAGCAATGACCTTCAGCTGGACGCTGGACAGAGGCAAACGGATATGGAAAACTAAAAGGGTCAGCAAGTCTTCTCCACTTCCTGCAGCTGCTTTGTCTCAGTGTGATAAAAAGGGAGCATGGAATATTTAGCAAGCCTTGCTTGATACCGAGTTTGGCTCAGTCTGGGTGACCGCAGTGGAAATAGGCCTGTTTGATCAAGAAAAAAATTGTTTCTAAAATCGATTTGTAATTGGGGTGTTTTTTTGTTTCGATATTTAAAATAATTACAAAACTTTCCAAAAAAAAGTTTTGGTATTTAAGAAATTTTGTAAATATTAACGAATTTTTAGAATATTTTTTGTATTTCTTAAGAATAATATTAAAATAATATTAAAAAATATTTTAAAATGGAAAATTAACCAAAAAATGGCCCAAATGTGGACCAAACACAGGCAGGATACAGCAAATGAGAGCACACACCAACAGAAGAGTCTTTTCTTTTTTAGAATATTTTTTAAGAATAATATTAAAAAATAATATTAAAAAATAATATTAAAAATAATATTAAAAAATAATATTAAAATAATATTAAAAAATAATATTAAAAATATTTTAAAATGGAAAATTAACCAAAAAATGGCCCAAATGTGGACCAAACACAGGCAAGAGACAGCAAATGAAGCAAGCAGCACTCACAGCAGCAAGGAATGAATCCAATCCCAGTTGCTAGCAGCCATTGCCAAGCCAACCCAATGCAAACTCCCTCGCCCTCTGCAGCAAGCTACGGGCCGCGCGGAGCCGCTTTGAAAGGGCTCGCTGGCCAATCAAAAACAGACAGCCACGGACCCATGGTGCACTGCTTGGGAGCGCCGGATTGGCTCCCATGCACCAGCACTCCAGCAGCCTCCACCCCATTAACGAAACGAGCGGAGGCTCGTTAAAACTATGGGGGTTGCTGGTTCGATATTTAAAAACCCTTCCGGGTTTGGAAATATGTTTCAATATCGCTTCGGAAATGCTAAAAATAACGAATTAATAACGAATTAACGAATTAACGAACGAAACCGCACAGGCCTAGAAAATAAGACTCCGAACCCATCACATAGTTCTAGGGATCTCATATGTCACTGGTGGAAAAGAATGAGATTGTAACCCTTTGATTTTGAGAAGGAAGAAATAGAGCATGGGAAAGTTGCGCTCACCATGATGGATACAGATTCTGGGACATCATTCAAAAAAGCAACTTTTCTACACTCAGCCTCCCAAATATTATCGCTGTTTGTATATTTTGTTGTTTTCCTGGATGGCTAACTCAGTTGTTTATGGAATTTTATGGATGTTTATATGCTTTTAACTGTTTATATTATTGTGGCATCTTGAAATCCAGACAAGATGCCAACTGAGTTAGCCATCCAGGAAAGAGTTGGAAGAGACCTCATGGGCCATCCAGTCCAACCCCATTCTGCCAAGAAGCAGGAATACTGCATTCAAATCACCCCTGACAGATGGCCATCCAGCCTCTGTTTAAAAGCTTCCAAAGAAGGAGCCTCCACCACACTCGGGGCAGAGAGTTCCACTGCTGAAGCTCTCACAGTCAGGAAGTTCTTCCTCGTGTTCAGATGGAATCTCCTTTCTTGTAGTTTGAAGCCATTGTTCCACGTCCTAGTCTCCAAGGAAGCAGAAAACAAGCTTGCTCCCTCCTCCCTGTGGCTTCCTCTCACATATATATACATGGCTATCATATCTCCTCTCAGCCTTCTCTTCTTCAGGCTAAACATGCCCAGCTCCTTAAGCCGCTCCTCATAGGGCTTGTTCTCCAGACCCTTGATCATTTTAGTCGCCCTCCTCTGGACACATTCCAGCTTGTCAATCTCTCTTGAATTGTGGTGCCCAGAATTGGACACAATATTCCAGGTGTGGTCTAACCAAAGCAGAATAGAGGGTTAGCATGACTTCCCTAGATCTAGACACTATGCTCCTATTGATGCAGGCCAAAATCCCATTGGCTTTTTTTGCCGCCACATCACATTGTTGGCTCATGTTTAACTTGTTGTCCACGAGGACTCCAAGATCTTTTTCACACATACTGCTCTCGAACCAGGCATTGCCCCCCATTTTGTATCTTGGCATTTCCTTTTTTCTGCCTAAGTGGAGTATCTTGCATTTGTCCCTGTTGAACTTCATTTTGTTAGTTTTGGCCAATCATCTCTCTAATCTGTCAAGATCGTTTTGAATCCTGCTCCTGTCCTCTGGACTATTGGCTATCCCTCCCAATTTGGTGTCGTCTGCAAACTTGATAATCATGCCTTCTAGCCCTTCATCTAAGTCATTAATAAAGATGTTGAACAGGACCGGGCCCAGGACGGAACCCTGCGGCACTCCACTTGTCACTTCTTTCCAAGATGAAGAGGAAGCATTGGTGAGCACCCTCTGGGTTCGTCCATTTAACCAATTACAGATCCACCTCACCATAGTTTTGCCTAGCCCACATTGGACTAGTTTCCTTGCCAGAAGGTCATGGGGGACCTTGTCGAAGGCCTTCCTGAAATCCAGGTACGCTCCATCCACGGCATTCCCCGCATCTACCCAGCTTGTAACTCTATCGAAAAAAGAGACCAGATGAGTCTGGCATGACTTGTTTTTGATAAATCCATGTTGACTATTAGCGATGACCACATTTGTTTCCAAATGTTTGCAGACCACTTCCTTAACAATCTTTTCCAGAATCTTGCCTGGTATCGACGTATGTCAACATAATAATCCCAGAGGAACCCCACATATCAAAACAACATAAGAGCCAGGCATCAATATGTACCGCTTCTGTGGGAAGGTAACAACAATCTGTGTAGTCATGCTGTGTCTCTGTTCAGAAGATCTCACCTTATTTTCTGTCTCTGTGAGGACCTGATTTTGAAAAAAATGGTTTGTTGTGGAGATAAGGATTGGAGAAAAAAGCTTCAGTGGAGACATGTTTTCACCATTATAAGAACTCTTTCAGGAGTAAATTTCCCTTCTGGGGAGTAGATTTCTCTCATTTCCTGTTGTCCCAGCCCTATTCTTAACAAGGAGTCGTTTGCAAGTCATACGTTTGTAACTCTGCCTATATAGACTGATAATTCTAACATCATCACCCTTTTCCTGGAAGTTCGTAATGTCTTTGCCTTATGAGGACACCAGTGAAATTTCTTCATAAGCAACACAATTTATGCTTTGGAGTTGGGCCAAAAAAGCTCTCACTGCCTGCCAACAAAGCTTTGAAGTATAATTTGTTACAGATAATTGTGTTCAGACAACCTCTGGATTTGAAGCTCTGTCTTAGCAATAGAAAAGGCAGCCATTCTGCATGGCCACTGTGGTCACAACTGAGAGTCCAAAGAGTTTACCTGGATCTGCAAAGACGGCTCTTGTGTGGCAGGCCAGGAGCATCACGACAATGAAGTTGAACGCCACCGCATGGAAAGGGCACCAGAGGCTGCAAGAAAGGGAAGAAGGGAAACCATGAGCTTCTAGCAAGTTTTCCACTGACTCCTCTCCAATATTTTCCCATTAAAATCTGAAAGCTATTCCTATGCCCCCATGAGAATCTTCCCTGATCTGGTTGAAATGACAATAATCTTACCAAAGTTTTGAGTAAAATTCGCTGTTAATTGTGTTTTAATGTGGATATAACATCATTTTATTTACAGGAGAATTAGTTGGACATGTGGGCTTATTAACAAAAGACCCTTCTCATAAATGTACTGTCGGGACACAGACGCCTTAAAAGGCCAGACACAGATTTAGTTCCAAAATAGAGTTTATTCAACAAAGAAAAAGGACCCAGAGACACTTAACTCAGTCAAAACTCAAAGGTAACAACCAGTCCTGGTTCAAAAAGGAAACTGAAGCAATAATCCGGATTATCCGGAGAAAAGAACCGGATTAAAATGAAGCACTCCGAAAGTCATACAAAATAGCACAGCAAGTAAACGGTTAACAAACAAAAGAGCCGCAGCGAAGAAAGCGTAGTCAAATAAAGTCCGAGGTCGTAGCAAGCCAAATCCAAAGTAGCGAAGTCCACGTAGGCAGCGTCGTAGTCAAACCGGTCCGAAGTCAAGGAAGGGGGAAATCCGCACTCATGAGAATTCAAGCTGAATCGAAAGCACACACGAACGGAAGCAGTAATCTGTAGATCCAGGACCCAATGCCGACACAAAACAGGCAGCGACAAGTACCCAATGCACGAACGTAAACCAACACCTTGCCTTCTGCAAAGATTCCCCATTTCAGAGCCTACTTTTATCTTACACATCATCATCAGAAGATGAGCTGACCTCCACCCCATCGTTATCCCTTGTAACTGTTCTTGATTCCACACATGAACTCCTACTCCCATCCCTCCAACTTCTCCATCTTCTGTCAAGACTTAGATCCCCCCAAGGCTCAGATGTATTTCCCGATTGCCAATCCTCATTACCAGAGAACCCCACAAAAGCGTCACTAGACGTCGGCTCCGCACATACATCTTGTACCTTAGTCCAGTCCTATGTATCATTCCCATCTTCATCACTCTCTAAACCAGGGGTCCTCAAACTTTTTAAGCAGAGGGCCAGATCACAGCCCCTCAAACTGTTGGAGGGCCGGATTATAATTTGAAAAAAATGAATGAATTCCTATGCATGCTGGGCATATCTTATTTGTAGTGCAAAAACACTTAAAATACAATAATTAAAATGAAGAACAATTTTAACAAATATAAACCTATTAGTATTTCAATGGGAAGCGTGGGCCTGCTTTTGGATGATGAGATAGCATTGTTGTCGTGGTGGTGTGCTTTCAAGTCATTTCAGACTTAGGTTGACCCTGAACGAGGGCCGGGTAAATGACTTTGGAGGGCCACATCCGGCCCCCGGGCCTTAGTTTGAGGACCCCTGCTCTAACCTATCGCTCCCAGTGAAACCCACAAATGATTCTTCATCTGTGGGAGCAGTAAGTATATCCTGGATCCTCTTCCTCTGTCGCTCTTCATCCGATTCCTGCTCCCGAGTAACCCTCTTTGTTCCCCTATTCCCATCCATTGTATTTCCTTCCTCTCCCTCACTCATTGACCCTTCGTCTCCAGAAAACCCTTCGAATGAGTCTTCATCGGTAGGTGCCATAAGTATATCCCAGATCCTTTTCCTTTGTTGTTCTTCATCTGACTCCTGCTCACAAGTACCCCTTTCCCCCCTTCTGGCACCCATACTACTGCTTGCAACATTACTTACAGGCTCTACTACAACATGTACAGCAGAGCAACTTATTGGCAGCAGCGCGACCCAGCTCCAGTAGCCCAAAGTGACAAGAAGAACAAAAACACAGAGACCAGTGTTATCTCTTCCTTAGGAGGCTTTTCCTTGTAGTAAAATAATATGTTGCACTATTTACAAGAACAAGGTTTCCATAACACAAATAAACAAATACACGCAGCAGCCTTCATACTGGAGCTTTCTCACACAAGGTTTCTCTCACACAGAGGTTTACCTCACACTCTTCAGGACGATACTAGCTTTGGCTCACTAATTCTAACAGGCTTCGGCCTATTCACTCTCCTCAGGACGACATTAGCTTTGACCCACTGACTCTAACATGCTTCAGCCTACTAACTCCTTCAGTGCGTGACTCACACTTTTGTAATCAAAAATGCCTAGTTAAAATTTAGTACTTCTGACAGAACTTTTGGGCACCTGTACATCACAGGTAAACACAAAAGGTCTATTTTAGGGGCATGATCGACTAGATGTAGTTAGTGATAATTTGGATACTTGTGTTTTGTGTCTCCTCCTTACTCCTGCAGAGAGAGAAAGATGTTATTTAAAAAACACAACATCCAAAGTATTGTCGAAGGCTTTCATGGCTGGAATCACTAGGTTCTTGTGGGTTTTTTCAGGCTATAGGGCCATGTTCTAGAGGCATTTCTCCTGACGTTTCGCCTGCATCTATGGCAAGCATCCTCAGAGGTAGTGAGGTCTGTTGGAAGTAGGACAATGGGTTTATATATCTGTGGAATGGCTGGGGTGGGGCAAAGAGCTCTTCTCTGCTGGAGCTAGGTGTGAATGTTTCAACTGACCACCTTCATTAGCATTTGAAGGCCTGGCTGAGCCTGGGAAAATGTTCTGTTGAGATGTGTTAAGATGTGCCTGGTTGTTTCCTCTCTGCTGTTTTGCTGTTGTAATTTTAGAGTTTTTTAATACTGGTAGCCAGAACACCCAGAGGAAAAGTCTTCCTGCCATACATCAAGGGAACCACTGACTGCATAGGGAAGCTGATGAGGAAACACGACATACAAACAATCTACAAACCCACCAAGAAAATCCAACAAATGCTACGTTCAGCAAAGGACAAGAGGGATCCTCTCACTTCTGCAGGAGTCTACCGTATACCATGCAGCTGTGGACAAGTCTACAGAGGGACCACCAAACGCAGCAATGCCCAGACACGCATCAAGGAACATGAAAGGCGCTGCAGACTACTTCAACCAGCGAAGTCAGCCATAGCAGAGCACCTGATGAACCAGCCTGGACACAGCATATTATTTGAGCACACAGAAATGCTGGACCACACCAACAACCACCATGTCAGACTACACAGAGAAGCCATTGAAATCCACAAGCATGTGGACAATTTCAACAGAAAGGAAGAGACCATGAAGATGAACAAAATCTGGCTACCAGTATTAAAAAACTCTAAAATTACAACAGCAAAACAGCAGAGATGAAACAACCAGGCACATCTTAACACCTCTCAACAAAAGATTTTCCCAGGCTCAGCCAGGCCTTCAAATGCTAATGAAGGTGGTCAGTTGAAACATTCACACCTAGCTCCAGCAGAAAAAAGCTCTTTGCCCCACCCCTGCCATTCCACAGATATATAAACCCATTGTCCTAATTCCAACAGACCTCACTACCTCTGAGGATGCTTGCCATAGATGCACAACATCCAAAGTCCAGAATATGAAATGAGCTATAGCCCTGTCTGAACCCTGAAAAGCAGCCAGACAATCTTGGAAATATATCAGATTGTTTTCAGTGATATTTACTCTATAGCAATCAGCAGCAATAAATCTTACCAACCGAAAGGTTGGCAGTTAGAAGCCGGGGTCGGTGTGAGCACCTGACCTTCAGCCCAGCTAACTGTCTACCTAAGCAGTTCGAAAACAGCTGTGAGTAAAGAAGTTAGGCGCTACTTAAGCGGGGAGTCATTTTACGGCACCATAAAAAGGGAATACCAGAAAAATGCCTGCGATCAAAAAAAGGAGGAAGTCTGTGATCAAGGGCTCTTAGAGGATGGAGCAACAGCACCCCCCTGTGGCTGGAATCGAGCACAACCTCCAGGACAGAATACCTCTATCTGTTGTCTGTCCAGTCTGTTTAAGGGCATTGAATGTGTATGTGTTCTGTGATCCGCCCTGAGTTACCTTCAGGGTGAGAACGGCTGAATATAATGTTGCAAATAAAATAAATAAGCAACCGTGTTCAATATTGTAGTTTAAATCAGCCAAGAGCTATTCAAATGGGGGGGGGGGGGAGAGGTACCCTCGGACAGTGTTGAAAAAAACAGCTTTGTACAAATTTAGATGCCATGTTAAACTGGATCAAAGGTACACCTATTCTGGAAAATAGTCTATTGCAAGCGTAGCAATAGACTATAGATGAGCAAGCGTAGCCTTCCAGAAATGCTTGCTTTTTAGCCCAAGAGACAATAGACTAGGCAATAGACCATAGAAGCAGAAGTCCAAATACATAAGAAAGGAGACACACACTGGAAGCTACCACTACTCCATTGACACTTCACTTGTTGTGTTGTGCATTCGTTCAGTCGTCTCCGACTCTTCGTGACCTCATGGACCAGCCCACGCCAGAGCTCCCTGTCGGCTGTTACCACCCCCAGCTCCCTCAAGGTCAGTCCAGTCACTTCAAGGATGCCATCCATCCATCTTGCCCTTGGTCGGCCCCTCTTCCTTTTGCCTTCCACTTTCCCCAGCATAATTGTCTTCTCTAGGCTTTCCTGTCTCCTCAATAACTGGTATATTGTCCCTTGATAAATAATAATTAATCTTCCCCTTCCTTCCTCCTCCTTCCCCCTCCTCCCTCTTTTCCCTATCTCCTCCTTTCCCTTCCTCTTTCTTCCCCTTCATTCCTCCTATTTCCCCTTCCTTCCTTCCTCCTCCTTCCCCTTCCTYCCTCCTTTCCCTCCCTCCTCCTTYCCCTTCTTTTCCCTTCYTTCCTCCTCCTTTCCCTTCCYCYTCCTYCCCCTTCCTTCCTCCTCCTTTCCCTTCCYCTTCYTTCCCCTTCCTCCTCCWTCCTTCCTTCCTCCTTCCCCTTCCTYCCTYCTWCCCCTTCTTCTTTTCMCTTCCTTCMTCTTGCTTTCCCTTCCTTCCTCTTCCTTCCCCTTCCTTCCTCCTCTTCCTTCCCTCYTCYTGCTTYCMCTTCCTTCSTCYTCCYTCCCCTTCCTTCCTYCYCCTTCCTTCCTTCCTCCTTCCCCTTCCTTCCYTCYTTCCCTTCYYCTTCYTYYYCCTTCCTTCYTCYTTYCCCTTCCTTCCTCCTTCCCCTTCYTTCCTCCTCTTCCTTCCTTCCTCTTCCTTTCCCTCCTTCCTCCTCCTTCCCCTTCCTTCCTCCTTTCCCTCCCTCCCTCCTCCTTCCTCTTCTTTTCCCTTCCTTCCTCCTCCTTTCCCTTCCCCTTCCTTCCTCCTCCTTCCTCTTCCTCTTCTTTTCCCTTCCTTCCTCCTCCTTCCCCTTCCTTCTTCTTCCTTCCTCTTCCCTTCCCCTTCCTTCCTCCTCCTTCCCCTTCCTTTCCCTTCCTTCCCCTTCCTTCCTCCTCTTTCCACTTCCTCCTCCTTCCTCTTCCCTTCCCCTTTCCCTTCCTCCTCCTCCTTCCTCTTCCTCTTCCTTCCCCTTCCTTCCTCCTTCCTCTTCCTTCCCCTTCCTTCCTCCTTCCTCTTCCTTCCCTTTCCTCTTCCTTGAGGGCCTACCTGCCCCGGAAGCCTGGCTGGAGTAGCACGTGCTCGAGGACCACATAGTCGGCGTAACCCACGCTGAGGTAGGTCAGGAGCAGGCAGAGCAGGCCGCAGGGATCCGCCCGGCGCCCTCCTTGCCCGCCACACCAGCACCAGCAACGACCCCCGGCCGCAGCCACCGCCGCCGCGCCCATGGCAACCCTCTGCAGCCGGTTCCGGCCCCGCCCCCTCGCCCGCCGCCAGCCAATCGCCGCGCACGCGAGCCCAGAGCACCGCCCCTCCACTTCCGGCTCTCTCCTGTTGCTATGGCGACGGGGCCTTGCAGGTCAGGCTAAGCCTCTCCTTGCGTGGAGGGCTTAACGTCACTTCGTCTGAACCCAGCAGTAATAGAATGAATGGGAAATTAATTTACAAACCCTACAAAAATGAACTATAATTTGGGTTTCCTTTCTAACTAATGTAATATAGACAGCCTGGGAGTCTGAGGCTGCCTGGCCATCTATCTGGAGGGCTTTGATGGTGCCTTCCTTTATGGGAACAGGGGGCCGGACTAGATGGCCTTTGGGGTTCCCTTCTCACTGGAATGTAATATAGACAGACTGGAAGTCTGAGGCTGTCTGGCCATCTGTCTGGAGGGCTTTGATGGTGTCTTCCTTTGTGGCAAAAGGAGGTTGGCCTTTGGGGTTCCCTACCAACTGTAATGTAATATAGACTGCCTAGGAGTCTGAGGCGGCCTGGCCATCTGTCTGGAGGGCTTTGATGGTGACTTCCTTTATGGCAAAAGGGGGTTGGAATGCATGGCCTTTGGGGTTCCATAGACAGCCTGGGGGTCTGAGGCTGTCTGGCCATCTGCCTGGAGGGCTTTGATGGCGTCTTCCTTTATGGCAACAGGGGGCTGGACTGGATGGCCTTTGAGGTTCTATAGACAGCCTGGAAGTCTGATAGAATCACAACATTGGAAGAGACTCCAAAGGCCATCCAGTCCACACTATAACCCCCTTTGCCACAAAGGAAGACACCATCAAAGCCCTCCAGACAGATGACCTACCAACTGTAATGTAATATAGATTGCCTGGGAGGCCATCTGTCTGGAGGGCTTTGATTGGTGTCTTCCTTTGAGGCAAAAGGGGGTTGGACTAGATGGCGTTTGGGGTTCCCTTCTAACTGGAATGTAATATAGACAGCCTGGGAGTCTGAGGCTGTCTGGCCATCTGTCTGGAGGGCTTTGATGGTGTCTTCCTTTGTGGCAAAAGGGGGCTGGACTGGATGGCCTTTGGAGTCTCTTTCAGTGCTGTGATTCTATGAGGCTGTACTGCTATCTGTCTGGAGGGCTTTGACGGTGTCTTCCTTTATGGCAACAGCGGGCCAGACTAGATGGCCTTTATTTATTTATTTATTTATTTATTTGGGGTTTTTCTACCCCGCCCTTCTCACCCCGAAGGGGACTCAGGGCGGCTTACAGTAGCAAGGCACAATTTGATGCCTGCATCATAAAACAAGTGTACACAAAATTACATCAAATCAATTAACAACAATTCATACATAAATTTATTTATTTATTTATTTATTTATTTATAGCATTTGTTGACCGCCGCTCTCAGCCCTAGGGCGACTCGCGGCGGTGTACAACATATAAAAACAGTTTACAATAAAGCACAACAAAAAAAAATCAACGTAACAATAATACACACTAATCTAAATTACACTAAACTAATCCGCATCGTCACAACATAGAATCATAACCAATCTCATAGTCCATATTTCGTTCCAATTGTCATTGCCAGTTAATATAGCACTCAGTTAAATGCCTTCTCACATAGCCAGGTCTTTAGGCTCTTACGGAAAGCCATAAGAGAGGGCGCCTGTCTGATGTCAACAGGGAGGGTGTTCCACAGCCGGGGGGCCACCACCGAGAAGGCCCTTTCTCTCGTCCCCGCCAGACGTGCCTGTGAGGCAGGCGGGATCGAGAGAAGGGCCTCCCCAGACGATCTCAAGGCCCTCGTGGGCTCATAGGCCAAGATGCGGTCCGAAAGGTATTTTGGGCCGGAACCGTTTAGGGCTTTGTAGGATAACACCAGCACCTTAAATTGGGCCCGGTAGCAGATCGGCAGCCAGTGGAGCTGGGACAACAAGGGCGTTGTATGCTCCCTGCGTCCTGCTCCCGTTAGTAACATGGCTGCCGCGCGCTGGACTAGCTGAAGCTTCCGGGCCGTCTTCAAGGGCAGCCCCACGTAGAGAGCGTTGCAGTAGTCAAGGCGGGATGTGACCAGAGCGTGTACCACCGTGGCCAAGTCAGACTTCCCAAGGTACGGGCGCAGCTGGCGCACGAGCCTAAGCTGTGCAAATGCTCCCCTGGTCACCCCTGAAACCTGGGGATCCAGGCTCAAAGATGAATCCAGGGTCACACCCAAGCTGCGAACCTGCGCCTTCAAGGGGAGTGCGACCCCGTCCAGCACAGGCTGTAACCCTATACCCTGTTCGGCCTTGCGACTGACCAGGAGTACCTCTGTCTTGTCTGGATTTAGTTTCAATTTGTTCTCCCTCATCCAGATCCGTTACAGCGGCCAGGCACCGGTTCAGGACCTCGACAGCCTCCTTAGTAGCAGGTGGAAAGGAGTGACAGAGTTGGACATCATCTGCGTACAGATGACACCGCACCCCGAAACTCCGGATGATCTCACCCAGCGGCTTCATGTAGATATTAAACAGCATGGGGGACAGTATAGAACCCTGTGGAACCCCACAGGTCAAAGGCTGTGGTGTTGAACAGGAGTCCCCCACTAACACCTTCTGGGTACGACCCTCCAGAAATGACTGGAGCCACTGCAAAGCAGTGCCCCCAAGACCCATCTCCGCAAGGCGCCCCAGAAGAATACCGTGGTCGACGGTATCGAAGGCCGCTGAGAGGTCCAGGAGCACCAACAGGGACACACTCCCCCTGTCTAGCTCCCGGCGCAGATCATCCACTAAGGCGACCAAGACCGTCTCAGTACCATGTCCCGGTCTGAAACCAGACTGTGCCGGATCCAGAAAATCCGTGTCTCTCAAGAATACCTGGAGTTGTGAGGCCACCACGCTTTCCATGACTTTGCCCAAAAAGGGGAGATTGGAAACAGGCCGGAAGTTGTCAAATTTAGTGGGGTCCAATGATGGTTTCTTCAACAGCGGTTTTATAACTGCTTGTTTTAAGCACGCTGGAATCTTGCCTTCCCGAAGGGAGGCATTAACCACCACCGTTACCCACTCAGCCAATCCCCCTCTGGCCTCCTTCAGAAGCCAGGATGGGCAGGGGTCTAGGATGGACGTGGTGGGCCTCATTCCTCCAAGTATCTTGTCCACATCCTCGGGCTTCACAAACTGAAAAGAATCCATCAAAATAGGACAAGCAGGTGCTCGTGTCACATCCTCAGAGACTGCATTTAACATGGTGTCCAGACTAGAACGGATCAAAGCGACTTTGTCTGCAAAGAACCGAGCAAATGCTTCACAGCGCGTGACCGAATTGTCAGGGCTCCCGCCTGAGGTGGCGGGAGTTAAAAGACCTCTGACAATCCGAAACAACTCCGCCGGACGGTTTTTTGCAGACGCAATAGTGGCCGCAAAGAAAGATTTCTTTGCGGCTTTTATTGCCGCGGCATATGCCCTTAAAAAGGACACAAACCGTGCTCGATTTGACTCGCTTGGGTCCGAACGCCACACGCTCTCTAGTTCCCTCTTCCTTCGCTTCATCACTGCCAGCTCCTCAGTAAACCAAGGAGCTGGTTTAGCTCGGCTACTTGAGAGGGGACGTTCTGGAGCGATCGTGTCTATTGCCCTAGTCATCTCCCCATTCCAGAGAGCGACCACAGCATCAACAGGATCACCAACCGAGGTGGCGGGAAAATCCCCAAGAGCCGTCAGGAATCCATTCGGATCCATAAGCCTCCTGGGGCGGACCATCTTAATGGGTCCTCCACCTTTGCGGAGGTTAGGGGGTGCAGTGAGCCTAAATCTGATCAGGAAGTGGTCAGTCCATGGCAACGGAGAGATAGACAACTCCTCCACACCGCCACCCTGCTCCCATCCCTGACAGAAAACCAAGTCCAATGTGTGTCCAGCACAGTGGGTGGGGCCAGATATTTGTTGGGACAGCCCCATGGTTGCCATGGCAGACATGAAGTCCTGAGCCGCTCCTGTGAGGGTCGCCTCGGCATGGATATTGAAGTCTCCCAGCACGAGAAGCCGTTGAGACTCCAACGCCAGGCTCGAGACTACCCCCGCTAGCTCAGGTAGGGAGACTGTAGTGCAGCGAGGTGGACGGTACACTAGCAGAATCCCTATTCTGTCCCGGTCACCCACCCTTAGGTGGACACATTCAAAATTTGTGGTCTGCGGGATGGGGCTCCTGGTCAGATGGATGGAATCTCTATAGACCACTGCAACCCCGCCTCCCCGTCCTCCGGATCTCGGTTGGTGCTGTACGGAGAACCCTGGGGGACAAAGCTGGGTCAGATTCACCCCCCCAGCTTCATCCAGCCAGGTCTCCGTAATGCACGCCAGATCTGCCCGCTCATCCAGGATTAGATCCTGGATAAAGGTCGTTTTTCCGTTGACAGATCTGGCGTTCAGCAGCACCACCTTCAATCCAGAGGGCCCGCTCACCTGGTTACACCAATTTACCTTAGGAGACCGATTTGGGATTATTTGGTAAGCGGTCCGAATTAGGCCGAATTTGAGGTCTCCTTTCATACATTATTCCCATAAAACCAATAAAATCAATAAAAACCCCATACAAACCCAATTTCTCCTTTTACATGGTCAGCGTTTGCTCATTCATAGTTCTAGTTTCCTGTTCCACTTCATCAGTCCTGCTGGTCTTACTCGCCTGAATGTCTGCTTTAATTGCTGGAGTGCCCAAAGGCCTGGTCCCACAACCACGTCTTCACCCTCCTCCTAAAGGCGAGGAGGGATGATGCTGCCCTGATTTCCCCGGGGAGTGAGTTCCACAGGTGAGGAGCCACCACTGAGAAAGCCCTGCTCCTCGTCCCCACCAGCCTCACTTGTGAGAGTGGTGGGGTCGAGAGCAGGGCCCCCCAGATGATCTCAAGGTCCGGGGTGGGACGTAGAGGGAGATACGTTCGGACAGATACACTGGACCGGAACCGTACAGGGTTTTGTAGGTCAAAACCAGCACCTTGAATTGTGCTCGGAACTGAACCTTTGGGGTTCCCTACCAACTGTAATGTAATATAGACTGCCTTGGAGTCTGTGGCTGTCTGGCCATCTGTCTGGAGGGCTTTGATGGCGTCTTCCTTTGTGGCAAAGGGGGGGGGGGGACTGGATGGCCTTTGGAGTCTCTTCCAATGCTGTGATTCTATGAGGCTGTACTGCTATCTGTCGGGAGGGCTTGAATGGTGTCTTCCTTTGTGGCAACAGGAGGTTGGACTAGATGGCCTTTGGGGTTCCCTATCAACTGGAATGTAATATAGCAGGCATGGGCAAACTTGGGCCCTCCAGGGGTTTTGGACTTCAACTCCCACAATTCCTAACAACCACAATTCCAACTCCCTGCCATGCCTACCGGCTGTTAGGAATTGTGGGAGTTGGAGTCTGTTAGGAATTGTGGGAGTTGAAGTCCAAAACCCCTGGAGGGCCCAAGTTTGCCCATGGCTGCAATCGAGTCTTCCTGGGAGTGTGTGACCTCTTCCTGTGTCCCTTTAAAGAGGAAGCCAATCAGGGCTCCGCCCCGGCGCCTACGTCATCGCCCCGCCCCTTCGGTGAGCCAGCCCCGCCCCTGCATTGCCGGCTCACCTTTCGAAGATGGCGGCGGTGGGGCCTGGGGGGGTCCTTGGGTGGGGCTGAACTCCGGCGTCTTGGCCAGGAAGACTTCCAGCACCCCGGCTACAAGGCCGGGCCCGGTCCGGAGAAGAGGGAAGGCTGCAAGGAGGGTGAGCAGTCCATATGCTTTCCTATATTTGGACCAGCAGAGAGGGAGGGGGCTTCTCTTTGGATCAAGTGCCCCAGGATTGATTGATTGATTGATTGATGGCTGTCTGTCAGCCCTTTGGGGAGATAGAAGGGTGAAACCAAGGGAAGGTCAGCACAAGGGCTCCCATAATAGGTATTGGAGTCCCCTCCTTCTCTGGAGGTCTTTAAGCAGAGGCTGGATGGCCATCTGTTGGGAGGGCTTTGATGGTGTCTCCTTGCAACCGACTGGATGGCCCTTGAGTTCTCTTCCAAGTCTAAAATTATGTAATTATTATTATTTATTAGAAAAATATTATTATTATTAGAAAAATATTATTATTTAATAATAATTTTATTATTATTATTATTTAAAATATTAAATAATTAATAATAATAATTAAATAAAATAATAATAATAATAATAATAAGCAGAGGCTGAATGGCCATCTGTTGGGAGAGCTTTGATGGTGTCTCCTTGCAACCGACTGGATGGCCCTTGAGTCCTCTTCCAACTCTAAAATTAAGTAATAATAATAATGATGATGATGTATAATAATAAGGATGATGAGGATGGAGTCTCCTTCCCTGGATGGCCATCTGTTGGGAGAGCTTTGATGGTGTCTCCTTGCAACCGACTGGATGGCCCTTGAGTCCTCTTCCAACTCTAAAATTAAGTAATAATAATGATGATGATGATGTATAATAATAAGGATGATGAGGAGGGAGTCTCCTTCCCTGGATGGCCATCTGTTGGGAGGGCTTTGATGGTGTCTCCTTCCAACCTACTGGATGGCCCGTGAGTTATCTTCCAACTCTAAAATTATGTAATTATTATTATTATTATTTATTAGAAAAATATTATTATTAGAAAAATATTATTATTTAATAATAATTTAATAATAATTATTTAAAATATTAAATAATTAATAATAATTATAAATTAATTAAATTAATAATAATAATAATAATAATAACAATAAGCAGAGGCTGGATGGCCATCTGTTGGGAGGGCTTTGATGGTGTCTCCTTGCAACCGACTGGATGGCCCTTGAGTTCTCTTCCAACTCTAAAATTATGTAATTATTATTATTATTATTTATTAGAAAAATATTATTTAATCATAATTTTTTATTATTATTTAAAATATTAAATAATTAATAATATTTATAAATTAATAAAATTAATAATAATAATATTATAATAATAAGCAAAGGCTGGAGGGCTTTGATGGTGTCTCTTTGCAACCGACTGGATGGCCCTTGAGTTCTCTTCCAACTCTAAAATTAAGTAATAATAAGAAGAATATTTTTATTATTATAAGAATATTATTATTTAATAATAATTTTATTAAATAATATTATTATTTAAAAATATTAATAATTAATAATTATTAAAATATTGAACAATAAATTATGAAATTATTATAATTATTATAATTATTATATAATTATTATGAAATTATTATTATTTATAATAATAAGGATGATGAGGATGGAGTCTCCTTCACTGGATGGCCCCCTGTCAAGAGGGCTTTGATGGTGTCTCTTTGCAACCGACTGGATGGCCATTGAGTTCTCTTCCAACTCTAAAATTATGTAATAATAATAATAATAATAATAATAATAATAATAATGTATAATAATAAGGATGATGAGGATGGAGTCTCCTTCCCTGGATGGCCATCTGTTGGGAGTGCTTTGATGGTGTCTCCTTGCAACTGACTGGATGGCTCTTGAGTTCTCTTCCAACTCTAAAATTAAGTAATTATAATAATAATATTTTTATTATTATAAGAATATTATTATTATTTAATAATTATTTATTTATTTATTATTTGATGTACTTATTAACCGCCATTCTCAGCCCTACGGGCGACTCATGGCGGTGTACAATACACATAAAAGACAATTACAAAAGTCAGTTTCACAACATACAGACTATACGACAACTACAAACTACACTAAAATCCGCTTCGCCTCTTAGTGGAATCATAGCCGGTCTCATATTCCTAGTTCCATTCCAGTTCTCATAACCATATTATTAGCACTAGATTAATTAAATGCCCTCTCGAAAAGCCATGTCTTGAGGCTCTTCCGAAAGGACATGAGGGAGGGCGCCTGTCTGATGTGTGCAGGGAGAGTGTTCCACAGCCGGGGGGCCACCACCGAGAAGGCCCTTTCCCTCGTCCCCGCCAAACGTGCCTGTGAGGCAGGCGGGATCGAGAGCAGGGCCTCCCCAGACGATCTCAAGGTCCTCGTGGGCTCGTAGGCCAAGATGCGGTCGGAAAGGTATTTTGGGCCGGAACCGTTTAGGGCTTTGTAGGCCAACACCAGCACCTTAAATTGGGTCCGGTAGCAAATCGGCAGCCAGTGGAGCTGGGACAACAAGGGCGTTGTGTGCTCCCTGCCCCCCGCTCCAGTTAGTAACATGGCTGCCGCACGCTGAACCAGCTGAAGCTTCCGGGCCGTCTTCAAGGGCAGCCCCACGTAGAGAGCGTTGCAGTAAGTCCAGGCGGGATGTGACCAGAGCGTGTACCACCGTGGCCAAGTCAGACTTCCCGAGGTACGGGCGCAGCTGGCGCACGAGCCTAAGCTGTGCAAATGCTCCCCTGGTCACCGCTGAAACCTGGGGATCCAGGCTCAACGACGAATCCAGGGTCACACCCAAGCTGCGAACCTGCGCCTTCAAGGGGAGTGCGACCCCATCCAGCACAGGCTGTAACCCTATACCCTGTTCGGCCTTGCGACTGACCAGGAGTACCTCTGTCTTGTCTGGATTTAATTTCAGTTTGTTCGCCCTCATCCAGACCATTACAGCAGCCAGGCACCGGTTCAGGACCTTGACAGCCTCCTTAGTAGCAGGTGGAAAGGAGTGACAGAGTTGGACATCATCTGCGTACAGATGACACCGCACCCCGAAACTCCGGATGATCTCACCCAATATTATAAGAATATTATTATTTAATAATAATTTTATTATTATTATTTAAAAATATTAAATAATTAATAATTATTAAAATATTGAATGATAAATAATTAAATAATTGTTTTATTATTATTACTATATAATAATTATTATGAAATTATTATTATTTATAATAATAAGGATGATGAGGATGGAGTCTCCTTCCCTGGATGGCCATCTGTTGGGAGTGCTTTGATGGTGTCTCCTTGCAACTGACTGGATAGCCCTTGAGTTCTCTTCCAACTCTAAAATTATGTAATAATAATAATAATAATAATAATAATAATAATAATAATAATTTATAATAAGATGATGAGGATAGAGTCTCCTACCCTGGATGGCCATCTGTCAAGAGGGCTTTGATGGTGTCTTCCTGCCTGGCAGAATGTGGTTCGGCTGGATGACCCTTGGGCTCTTCTAGGATAATTCTCTGATTCAGAGGTTAGTTGGTCATCTGTTGGGAGGGATTTGATGGTGTCTTCCAGCCTGGCAGAATGGGGTTCGTCTGGATGTCCCTTGGTCTGTTCTAGGATTGGATAATTCTCTGATTCAGAGGCTAAATGGTCATCTGTCGGGAGGGATTTGATGGGGTCTTCCTGCCTGGCAGAACGGGCTTCGTCTGGATGACCCTTGGGCTCTTCTAGGATAATTTTCTGATTCAGAGGCTAAATGGTCATCTGTTGGGAGGGATTTGATGGAGTCTTCCTGCCTGGCAGAACGGGCTTCATCTGTTTACCCTTGGGCTCTTCTAGGATTGGATAATTCTCTGATTCAGAGGCTAAATGGTCATCTGTTGAGAGGGATTTGATGGGGTCTTCCTGCCTGGTAGAATGGGGTTCGTCTGGATATCCCTTGGGCTGTTCTAGGATTGGATAATTCTCTGATTGACAAGCTGGAATGTGTCCAGAGGTGGGCAACTAAAATGATCAAGGGTCTGGAGAACAAGCCCTATGAGGAGCGGCTAAAGGAGCTGGGCATGTTTAGTCTGAAGAAGAGAAGGCTGAGAGGGGATATGATAGCCATGTATAAATATGTGAGAGGAAGCCACAGGGAGGAGGGAGCAAGCTTGTTTTCTGCTTCCATGGAGACTAGGACAAGGAACAATGGCTTCAAACTACAAGAAACGAGATTCTTCTGGAGAGTCCCTGCTCTCTATCCCACCGGCTTCCCAAGTGCGGCTGGCGGGAACGAGAGACAGGGCCTTCTCTGTGGTGGCCCCTCGGCTTTGGAACACCCTCCCTATAGAGATACGATCAGCTTCTTCGCTGATGGTCTTTCGGAAGAGATTAAAAACATGGTTGTGTAAACAAGCATTCAATTAGTTTGTTACTATTGAATTTATAGACTAAGGACTGGTTAATTATGGATGACGAACTCTGGACTGTGATTTTTGTGACGAGAAGCATGGTATTATTATTGGTGGCCCAATAATTTGTATTGTTTACGTGTTGTTGTTTTAAATTGTACATTACTTTTAATTGTTGTAAACCGCAATGAGTCGCCGATTTAGGCTGAGATATTAGTGGTATACAAGTGTATTAAACAAATAAATAAATAAATAAACATGAGGAAGACCTTCCTGACTGTGAGAGCTGTTCAGCAGTGGAACTCTCTGCCCCGGAGTGTGGTGGAGGCTCCTTCTTGGGAGGCTTTTAAACAGAGGCTGGATGGCATCTGTCAGGGGTGATTTGAATGCAATATTCCTGCTTCTTGGCAGGGGGTTGGACTGGATGGCCCAGGAGGTCTCTTCCAACTTTTTGATTCTATGATTCTATTATTCAGAGGCTGAATGGTCATCTGTTGGGAGGGATTTCATGGGGTCTTCCTGCCTGGCAGAACGGGGCTTCATCTGGATGACCCTTGGGCTCTTCTAGGATAATTTTCTGATTCAGAGGCTAGATGGTCATCTGTTGGGAGGGATTTTATGATGTCTTCCTGCCTGGCAGAATGGGGTTCATCTAGATGTCCCTTAGGCTTTTCTAGGATAATTCTCTGATTCGGAGGCTAGATAGTCATCTGTCGGGAGGGATTTGATGGGGTCTTCCTGCCTGGCAGAACAGAGTTCGACTGGATGACCCTTAGACTCTTCCACTTCTAGGATTCGATAATAATAATAATAATAATAATAATAATAATAATAATTACTGTGATTCCGAGGCTGGGTGGCCATCTCTTGGGAGGACTCTGAAGGTGTCTTCCTGCCTGGTGGAAGACACCTTCAAAGTCCTCCCAAGAGATGGCCACCCAGCCTCTGAATCACAGTATTTATTATTATTATTATTATTATTATTATTATTATTATTATTATTATTGAATCCTAGAAGTGGAAGAGTTTGTCTGGACGGCCTCTCAGTCTCTCAGTCTAGGATCCAATCCACTAATTAATCAATTGATCAATTCCTTACACGGCAGAATGGAGTCGGACTGGCCCTCGGGGGCGTCTGTTTCAGGTTGAACTGGTTGGGATGTGATGCGATAGTCATTGAAAAACTAGAGAAAAACTAGTATGTCTTGCAAAAAACAAAGTTTGGCCAGTTCAATAAACTTTTTCCATGTTTTGATGATAGAACCAATTAGGAAATGACATTGATAACGCAGGTACAAACATCTGCTACATGTTGTTGTTGTTGTTGTTGTTTAAAAGGGCAACCCAAGGCCTGTCATTCTGCAAACAAGCCTCTCTGCTTTCTTCTAGGGGCGTCCCTCTCCTGTCTCTCCCGGTGGGAAGGAGGCCTCTCCGCCCCCAGCATCATGCTCCGTCGGGTTCTGGACCGGCCGTGCACCTTGGCCCTCCTCATCGGCTTCCAGTTTGCCTTCATGGCCTACTTCTCTCTGGGCGGCTTCCGGAACCTGGCCTCCTTCTTTGGGCACGAGGCCAGCCCCGCCTTCGACTACTCCCGCACCCACGACGTCTACACCAACCTCAGCCTCTTGCCCCAGCAGCCCTGGCCGGGCAGCGGACCCCTCCACGCCCTCCCTTTCTGCCCGGAGCGCTCGCCGTACCTCCGTGAGTCCAAACTGTGCGGCTAGTGAAAGAAACAAAGGGCTACTGTATTCAGAGCCAGGGCACAAAAGCATAAGGAGTTGGCGATCGGGCAGGCGAAAGGCTCTGGAGGGGTTCCTCTGTAAAGAAATTCTAATTATTAAATTATTTTTATTACTAGCCATCCCCTGCCACGCATTGCTGTGGCCCACTCTGGTGGTCATGTTTTTTTTACTCTTGTTTACTAGGCTTGGGCAATCCATGGTTCTAAATGGTTCTAAAGTACTTACAAAACTAAAGTTCTGGTGGTGAAAATTTCAGAACTCTAACAAAACTTTAATTATTATTTCATTATTGGTGATTTTAATGACAGAACCAATTAGGAACTGCCATTTATTATGAAATTTTGAGGGTTTTGTTAGAGTTCTGAAATTTTCACCACCAGAACTTTAGTTTTGTAAGTACTTTAGAACCATTTAGAACCATGGATTGCCCAAGCCTATTGTTTACCTGTCATGATTTATAAAGAATGAATAATGATAGCCTCTAGTATTTTAGGTTAATCATCCTATTATTATTATTATTATTATTATTATTATTATTATTATTATTACTATTATTATTACTATTATTATTTAAAGTATAATCTATATAAATAAAAATGTAATGTTCGGTTGTGGGCTTAACAGAACTCAAAACCACAGGACCAATTGGCACCAAATTTGGACACAAGACACCTAACAACCCAATGTATGTCCTTCACTCAAAAAAAATTGAGTTTGTCATTTGGGAGTTGTCGTTGCTGGGATTTACAGTTCACCTACAATCAAAGAGCATTCTGAACCCCACCGACAATAGTGGCACACAGTTCTCCCATTACCAACAGAAAATACTGGAAGGGTTTGGTGGGCAGTGTCCTTTGGTTTTGGAGTCGTAGTTCACCTACATCCAGAGATCACTGTGGACTCAAGCAATGATGGATCTGGACCAAACTCTACATGAATACTCAATATGTCCAAATGTGAACGCTGGTAGAGTTGGGGAAAAATATAATCTTGACATTTGGGAGTTGTAGTTGCTGGGATTTATAGTTCACCTACAATCAAAGAGCATTCTGAACCCCACCAACAATGGAATTGAACCAAACTTGGCACACAGTTCTCCCATGACCAACAGAAAATACTGGAAGGGTTTGGTGAGCAGTGTCCTTTGGTTCTGGAGTTGTAGTCCACCTACATCCAGAGATCACTGTGGACTCAAGCAATGATGGATCTGGACCAAACTCTACATGAATACTCAATATGTCCAAATGTGAATGCTGGTAGAGTTTGGGGAAAATATAAGTTGTAGTTGCTGGGATTTATAGTTCACTTACAATCAAAGAGCATCCTGAGCCCCACCAACGATGGAATTGGACCAAACTTGGCATACAGTTCTCCATTACCAACAGAAAATACTGGAATGGTTTGGTGGGCAGTGTCCTTTGCTTTTGGAATTGTAGTTCACCTACATCCAGAGATCACTGTGGACTCAAACAATGGTGGATCTGGACCAAACTCTACACGAATACTCAATATGCCCAAATGTGAACACTGGTAGAGTTTGAGGAAAATAGAATCTTGACATTTGGGAGTTGTAGTTGCTGGGATTTATAGTTCACCTACAATCACAGAGCATTCTGAATCCCACCAACGATAGAATTGGGTCAAACCTCCCACACAGAACCCCCATATGGGCCACAGCAACGCGTAGCAGGGGAAGGCTAGTTATTATTATAAAGTTCTTGCTGTTTAATCAACACTTTTCATGTTTTATGATCAAACCAATTAGTAAATGGTATTTATAACCCAGGGAAAAAATGTGTTACAGAGTGATAAGTGCTCAACCTTTTTGAACCCAGACTGCCTGCCTGATGATGCTCCTGTCGTTCTCTTTCTCTCTCAGTCGGTCCCCTGACGGTGAGCTTCAGCCGGGTGCCAACACTGGAGCAGATTCAGGAGAAGAACCCGGCCGTGGCCCAAGGGGGCAGGTACCGCCCAGCTGCCTGCGAGTCTCGTTCCCGCACCGCCATCATCATTCCGCACCGCAACCGGGAGACACACCTCCGCCACCTGCTGTACTACCTGCACCCCTTTCTTCAGCGGCAGCAGCTACAGTATGGCATCTACGTTGTCCATCAGGTGAGTTTGCATGTAGGTGGAGGGACTCCAGGTATTTATTTATTTACGACATTTATATGTCGCCCTTCTCACCCCAAAGGGGACTCAGAGCGGCTTACAAGATATATATATATACATACAATATATTATATTATTAGCATAGTACAATATCAGTATTATATATTACTATATTGTACTATACCATTATTGTCGAGACACAGAGGCCTTAAAGTAACCTATTCAACTTGTATGCAGAACATATCATGTGATGTGCAGGGCTTGACGAATGCAAGGTTGGGATGAAAATTGCTGAAAGAAACATTAACAACCTTAGATATGCAGATGACACCACTTTGGTGGCCAAAAGCGATGAGGAGCTGAGGAGCCTTCTAATCAAGGTGAACAAAGAAATCACAAAAGTTGGGTTGCAGCTAAACATTAAAAAAAAACCAAGATTATGGCAACAAGAATGATTGACAACTTGGAAATAGAGGGAGAAAACGTGGAGGCCGTGACAGACTTTGTATTTCTAGGTGCAAAGATTACTGCAGATGCAGACTGTGGCCAGGAAATCAGAAGACGCTTACTTCTTGGGAGGAGAGCAAGGTCCAGTCTCGATAAAATAGTGAAGAGTAGAGACATCAGAATGGCAACAAAGATCCATTGCCTAGTCAAAGCCATGGTATTCCCTGTAGTAACCTACGGATGTGAGAGCTGGACCTTAGGGAAGGCTGAGCGAAGGAAGATCGATGCTTTTGAGCTGTGGTGTTGGAGGAAAGTGCTGAAATGCCTTGGACTGTGAGAAGATCCAACCAGTCCATCCTCCAGGAAATGCAGCCCAACTGCTCATTGGAGGGAAGGATATTAGAGGCAAAGATGAAATGCTTTGGCCACATAATGAGAAGACAGGAAAGCTTAGAGAAGACAATTATGCTGGTGAAAATGGAAGGAAAAAGAACGAGGGGCCGACCAAGGGCAAGATGGATGGATGGCATCCTTGAAGTGACTGGCTTGACCTTGAAGGAGCTGGGGGTGGTGACGGCCGACAGGGCTGGTCCATGAGGTCATGAAGAGTCGGAGATGACTGAACGAATGAACAATCAAACAGTATTTTGGCGCCCACCCCCAACCAATCATCTATATATATAACAATGGAAAGGGTGTTCAACGGGACAGCAAAACGCGGAGAAACCCTGACGAAAACTCACCCAATTTGCCGTGCACATACCTCAACCCACAAAGTATGCACAACACTCATCAAAATTCCAAACAACATTTCAACAAACTCACAATTACAAAAACCAACTGAGCATGCACAATGCCCAGGGGAGGAAGTACGCACGCAATGCAATCTGAGAACTGTAGTTCTAGAACGCGGCCTGCTCGCTGGCGGCCAGGATGCTGCGCGAACAGAGAAAGGAAGGAAGGAAGGGAGGGAGGGAAGTTGAGAAGGTATATGAAAGAAGAAAGGTAGGAAAAGAAAGAAGGAGGAACAGGAAGGGAGGGAAAGAAAGGAGGGGGTGAAGAAAGGAGGGATGGAAGGAAATGAAGGGGAAGAAAATGAAGAAAGGGAAAGAAGAAGGAAAGGGAGGGAGGAAAAGAAGGGAAGGAAGAAGGAAGGAAGGAAGGAAGGAAGGAAGGAAGGAAGGAAGGGGAATTTCGGAAGGGGAAGAGAGGAAAAAAAGCAAAGGAAGAAGAGAAAGAGAGGGAAGAAAAGAAAGAAAAGGAAGTCAAAGTCAAGAGCAAAGGAAGGAAGGAAAGAGATAGGGAAGAAAGGAGAGAAAGAGGAAGGAAAATAAAAAGGGAGGAGGAAGGAAAGAGGAAGAGAAGGAAGGAGGAGAGAAGGAAAGAAAAAGGGAAGGGAGGAAAGACGCAGCAAAGGAAGAAGAGAAAGAAGGAGAGAAAGGGAGGGAAGGAAAGAAATAAAGAGAAGGATGGGAGCAAAAAGCTAAGGAAGGAAGTAAACAGGTAGAGAAGGAAGAAAGGAAAGAAGAAAAGAAAATGAAGGAAGGAGAGAAAGAGGGAGAGAAGGTTGGCCACAGCAACGCGTGGCGGGTCAAGCTAGTATATATATATAAATGCTCTGTGCATAATGAGTACCTTAAAAACAAAAGAACCAATTAACGAAATCACACCAAATTTGGCAACAAAACGTTGCACAACACAAGGAGCGACCATCACTTAAAAAAAATATGATTTAGTCATTTGGGAATTATAGTTGCAAGGATTTATAGTTTACCTACAATCAAAGAGCATTCTGAACTCCACCAACGATGGAATTGAACCAAACTTGGCACACAGAACTCCCATGACCAACAGAAAATACTGGAAGGGTTTGGTGGGCATTGACCTTGAGTTTGGGAGTTGTAGTTCACCTACATCCAGAGAGCACTGTGGACTCAAACAGTGATGGATCTGGACCAAACTTGGCACAAGCACTCAATACACCCAAATATGAACACAGATGGAGTTTGGGGAAAATAGACCTTGACATTTAGGAGTTGTAGTCACTGGGATTTATAGTTCACCTACAATCAAAGAGCATTCTGAACCCCACGAACGACAGAATTGGGGCAAACTTCCCACACAGAACCCTCATGACCAACAGAAAATACTTAAGGCCATCCAGTCCAACTCTCTTCACCAGGGAAAGAAAATGTAATCAGAGCCCTCCTGACAAAGACCCATCCAGCCATAGATATAGATTGATATATATGATTCACACACACAGAGATATAGTATCCTAGATTTGAAAGGGACCCCTAAAGAAGGACAGTGATATGTTGCATGTTCCAGAGTAGGCAAACCAGACACTCTCCACATCAACACTGACAAAGAAACAGCAAGAAATACTGTTTACCCACAAGCAGAAAGAAATTACATATATTAGAAACCAACGCTTTCCCATTACTTTATTTCCAGATCACCAGACTGGACCACAGCAATGCGTGGCAGGGGACAGCTAGTTATAATATATATATGTACATACAATATATCAGTGGTTCTCAACCTTCCTGATGCTGCGACCCCTTAAAACAGTTCCTTCTGTTGTGATGACCACCAACCATAACATTATTTTCATTCCTACTTTAGAACTGTAATTTTGCTACTGTGATGAATCGTTCACTGGACCAAATTTGGCACAAATACCCAATACACCCAAATTTGAATACTGGGGGGGGGGGGGGGGGGGGTTGTTTTGTCATTTGGGAGTTGTAGTTGCTGGGATTTATAGTACACCTACAACCAGAGAGCATTCTGAACTCCACCAATAATGAAATTGAACCAAATGAACCAAACTTGGCACAAAGAATTCCCATAACCAACAGAAATTACTGGAAGGGTAACTGAAAATAAGACACATGAAAGCATGCCCAACAGATGGCCATCTGTCGTCTGGATTGTAGAATCCTAGAGTTGGAAGGGGACCCCAAAGGTCATCTAGCTCAACCCCATTCTGCCAAAAAATAAGACACCATGAAAGCACGCCCAACAGATGGCCATCTGTTGTCTGGATCGTAGAATCCTAGAGTTGAAAGGGTACCCCAAAGGCCATCTAGTCCAACCACATTCTGCCAGAAAATAAGACACCATGAAAGCATGCCCAACAAATGGCCATCTGACATCTGGATCATAAAATTATAGAGTTGGAAGGGGAACCTAAAGGCCATCTAGTCCAACTCCATTTTGCCAGAAAATAAGACACAATGAAAGCATGCCCAACAGATGGCCATCTGTCCTCTGGATCATAGAATCCTAGAGTTGGAAGAAACCGCAAAGGCCATCCAGTCCAATCCCATTCTTCCATTCAGGAAGACATAATCTTCCGATCATAACCAACTGCCGCTCTGGGGCCAGAGTGAAGAAGAGGAGCCTGGACAGCACATTTCCACTATGTCTCCTGGGTCATCAGTTGGGAGCCCTCCCCCCAGCAACAATATAGTAATAGATAATACTAATATTGTGCTTTTCTAATAATATGATTGTATATGCATATAATATTGATAATAATATTATAATGTAATGCAATCTAATACTACTAATGCAATATAATAATTCCAATCAGCCTACTCACCAGGGGGGAGGGGTTTCGAATGGGTCAGGTGCCATTGAGGTGGTGTGGGGAAGGAGGAAGGTCGGTCACTATCCAGGGAGAAGCGCAACAGAGTTCTTGCGACCCTGGAGAAGGTTAGGTCTCCATGACAGACCATCCCCCCCCCCCCCCCCACTCAAGATCCTGCAACAGTAAGACATCTGTCATTCAGGACTTGATCCTGGATGAGGAGGCAGATGTGGTGTGCATCACCGAGACCTGATTGGATGACTTGGGGGGGTGGGGTAAACCTTACCCAGCTTTGTCCACCAAGTTTCGGGGTGCATCAACAGGGTAGGTTTGGGAGGAGGGGTCACAGTGATCTTTCGGCAGTTTATCGCCCTGATCAGATGCACCGTTCCACAATCTCCAAGGTTCAAGTGTGTCTACTTGAAGGTGGGAGCCCGAGACAGCCTGGGGATCCTGCTGGTGTACCATCCACCCCGCGACCCAGCAGTTTCCCTGTCTGAGCTAGCGGAAGTGGTCTCAAATTTGGCCTTGGCCTCCCAACAACTTTTAGTTTTGGGAGACTTTAACATCCACGCTGAGACCACATTGACAGGCGCAGCTCAGGATTTCATGGTTGCCATGATGACCACGGGGCTGACTCAAGTAATATCTGGCCCCACAAATCAGGTGGGACACACACTGGACCTTGTTTTTATTGTGGACGGTGGGCTGGTCAGAGTGGAAGAGCAAAACATTCTCCCAATGTCATGGTCTGACCACCATCTGATCTGTTTAAGATTAACTGTGCCCTCTAACCTCCGCAGAGGTGGTAGACCCGTTAAGATGGTCCGCCCCAGGAGGCCGATGGATCCAGAAGGATTCCTGAGGTCTCTTGGGGATCTTCATGTCCTGGAGACTGACAATCCTGTCGACGCCCTTGTTGATTGCTATAATAGTGAGATGGGCAGGGCGATTGACACGATTGCTCCTGAATGTCCCCCCTCGTTTATTTATTTATTTATTTATTTATTTATGCATTTATTAACCGCCCTTCTCAGCCCTTGCGGGCGACTCACGGCGGTGTACACTACAAAAAGGCAAATTTACAAAAGACAAATTACAAGCAACATCAGCAAAAACCGCAATACACAATTAAAATTTTACACTAACTAATCCGCTTCGTCTCATAATTAAAATCGTATCCAATCTCGTATTCCTCGTTCCATTCCAATCATCTTTACCACATTGTTAAGCGCTTAATTAAATGCTCTCTCGAACAGCCAAGTTTTGAGATTTTTCCTAAAGGCCATGAGGGAGGGCGCCTGCCTGATCTCCACAGGGAGAGTGTTCCACAGCCGGGGGGCCACCACTGAGAAGGCCCTCTCTCTCGTCCCCGCCAGACGTGCCTGTGAGGCAGGCGGGATCGAGAGAAGGGCCTCCCCAGACGATCTCAAGGTCCTCGTGGGCTCATAGGCCGAGATGCGGTCCGAAAGGTATTTTGGGCCGGAACCGTTTAGGGCTTTGTAGGATAACACCAGCACCTTAAATTGGGCCCGGTAGCAAATCGGCAGCCAGTGGAGCTGGGACAGCAAGGGCGTTGTGTGCTCCCTGCGTCCCGCTCCGGTTAGTAACATGGCTGCCACGCGCTGAACCAGCTGCAGCTTCCGGGCCGTCTTCAAGGGCAGCCCCACGTAGAGAGCGTTGCGCAGAACCACACCGACTCCTTGGTTCACTGAGGAGCTGGTTGTGATGAAGCACTGGAGGAGGAGTCTAGAGTGCATCTGGAGGAAATCTCGCGACGTATCTGACCAAGCACGTGCTAAAGCCGCTATTAGGGCTTACTCCGTGGCTTTGCAAGCAGCCAAGAAAGCATTCTCAACTGCTCGCATAGCGTCTGCAGCAAATAGACCTTCAGAGTTGTTCCGAGTTGTTGGGGAGTTCCTCTGGCCTCCTGAGGTTGGGGAGCTTCCTGACGACTTGGCAACTCGGTGCAGTGATTTTGCACACCATTTTGCAGGCAAAGTTGCTCAGATACGACTTGAGCTGGACTCCAGTTTAAACGCAGTGCCAGATGAGGTAACCGAGGAATCTGTTCCATATTATGGGATTTTTTCCATCTTGTTCTTCCTGATGACATGGAGGGGATCCTTGGGACGGTGAGGGCGACCACTTGCACTCTGGATTGTTTCCCTTCCTGGCTTGTTAAACTGGCCAGAGAGGGGTTGTTGGACTGGTTTGTTGCAATAATAAATGCTTCACTGGGCCAAGGGAAATTTCCGTCCTGCCTTAAGCAGGCAGTGGTAAAACCTCTATTAAAGAAGGCCTCCCTTGACCCGACCAACTACAGACCAATTTCCAACCTCCCTTTTCTGGGCAAGGTTCTGGAGGAGGTGGTCGCCTCGCAGCTCCAGGGATTCCTCGATGACACTGATTTTCTGGATCGTTCGCAGTCTGGCTTCAGGCCTGGACACAGTACCGAGACGGCTTTGGTTGCCTTGGTGGATGACCTCCGCAGGGAACTAGATAGGGGGAGTTTGACCATGCTTGTTCTCTTGGATATCTCAACATCTTTCGATACCATCAACCATGGTATCCTTCTGGGGAGACTCACTGGGATGGGACTCGGGGCCATGGTTTTACTGTGGCTCCGGTCCTTCCTGGAGGGTCGTTCCCAGTCGGTGAAGCTGGGGGACTCCTGCTCGGACCCCTGGCTGTGTCGTCTTCTTCGATTGTGGTTCACTCGACCTTTGATCCTTTTGCAGGCTGGGAATGCCACTTTCAACCGAGCCAAGCTCCTGAATGTGGGAGTGAAGGAGGCCTTGAAGGACGAGGAGTGGAACTGCCTCTTTGTCCACGACGTGGACCTCATCCCAGAGAACGACCACAACCTCTACGTTTGTGACCCCTGGAGCCCTAAACACGTCTCCATCGCCATGAACAAGTTTGGCTACAAGTGAGAGAATGGAATGGGGTGGGGACAGTAACGAGGAGATACTTGTCTGTTCTTAAGATGAAAAAGCATATGCCAGCATTTTAGATGGATTAGTAATCAGTTGGCTTCTCCTGTAATAGCCAGTAAGAACGCCTAAAGCTTTGGAAAGCTTCTGTTCGACCATTTCAAAGCTCCCTGCTTGAGTGGTGATGGCACAGTCGTCAGCATAGATGAAACTCTCTGTCCCATCTGGCAGTGGCTGACTTGCAGCATGCAACTAAATATAGTAGTGATCATAATGATATAGTGATAATAATGCTAATAATATCAATAATAATATACCAGTAGTAATTAAAGTATAATAATAATCATCGTCATCATCTTCAAATAGTAATAATCAAATAATAATCAAATGGAACTCTGAAAAAGGAGACAAAGGAGGGCCTGTTTCTGGCAGCCCAAGAACAAGCCATTAGAACCAATGCCTTCATGGCCAGAATTGAAAAGTTGACGACAGATCCCAAATGTAGACTCTACTTACTTATTTACTTACTTACTTAGGCAATCCCTCATTGGCTGAGTAGGATAGTCTTCCAGGATCAGTATTCTGGTGGGTCCATAGGTGGCAGTGAAGCCCTATTCTTGACCTGCATCTTCTCGCGCAGTGAGGGCATTGGTTTCCAGGTGGAAGGTGTTCCTGGTCGGGTTTGGTCTGACGCACCTTCCTCTTGGCACGTTTCTCTCTTTCACCCTCCATTCATGCCTCTTCAAATTCTACAGCACTGTTGGTCACAACTGACCTCCAGCTGGAGCACTCAAGGGCCAGGGCTTCTCAGTTCTCAGTGTCTATGCCAGAGTTTTTAAGGTTGGCTTTGAGCCCATCTTTAAATATCTTTTCCTGTCCACCAACATTCCGTTTTCCGTTCTTGAGTTCGGAGTAGAGCAACTGCTTTGGGAGGCGGTGGTCGGGCATCCGGACAACGTGGCCGGTCCAGCAGAGTTGATGGTGGAGGACCATTGCTTCAATGCTGGTGGTCTTTGCTTCTTCCAACAAGCTGGCATTTGTCCGCTTGTCTTCCCAAGAGATTTGCAGGATTTTCCAGAGGCAGCGCTGATGGAATTGTTCCAGGAGTTGCATGTGACGTCTGTAGACAGTCCACGTTTCGCAGGCATATAGCAGGGTTGGGAGGACAATAGCTTTATAGACAAGCACCTTGGTATCCCTACGGATGTCCTGGTCCTCAAACACTTTCTGCTTCATTTGGAAAAATGCTGCACTCGCTTCAATGCTGGTGATATTTGTTTCTTCCACCATGCTGACATTTGTCCACTTGTCTTCCCAAGAGATTTGCAGGATAATTAAATAATAATAATAATAATAATAATAATAATAATAATAATAGTTCTAGTGGAAATCATTGGTTTTTTTTACTCTTGTTTACCTGTGATGATTTATAAAAATGAATAATGATAGCCTCTAGTATTATAGCTTAATCATCCTATTATTATTATTACTATTATTATTTAAAGTATAATCTATATAAATAAAAATGTAATGTTCGTTTGTGTGATTAACAGAACTCAAAAACCACTGGACGAATTGACACCAAATTTGGACACAAGACACCTAACAACCCAAGATATGTCCTTCACTCAAAAATTGATTTTGTCATTTGGGAGTTGTAGCTGCTGGGATTTATAGTTCACCTACAATCAAAGAGCATTCTGAACCCACCAATGATAGGGTTGAAGCAAACTTGGCACACAGAACTCCCATGACCAACGGAAAATACTGGAAGGGTTTGGTGGGCATTGACCTTGAGTTTGGGAATATTTATTTATTTGTCGTGTCAGGACAACCAGTCAAATTATATTACATTTCTAACAGAACAAAGAAAACAAACAGACAACATACAAAAATTTTTAGTTTGGTAGTTGATTAAATGTCCTTTGACCAGTATCTGGCCACATGGAGTGCCTCTGGTGTTGCTGCAAGAAGGTCCTCCATTGTGCATGTGGCAGGGCTCAGGTTGCATTGCAGCAGGTGGTCAGTGGTTTGCTCTTCTCCGGACTCGCATGTCATGGATTCCACTTTGTGGCCCCATTTCTTAAGGTTGGCTCTGCATCTCGTGGTGCCAGAGCGCAGTCTGTTCAGTGCCTTCCAAGTCGCCCAGTCTTCTGTGTGCCCAGGGGGGAGTCTCTCATTTGGTATCAGCGGTTTTGGAGTTGTAGTTCACCTACATCCAGAGGTCACTGTGGACTCAAAAATAATGGATCTGGACCAAACTCTACATGAATACTAAATATGCCCAAAAGTGGAGTTTGGGGGAAATAGACTCTTGACATTTGGGAGTTGTAGTTGCTGGGATTTATAGTTCACCTAAAATTACAGAGCATTCTGAACCCAGCAACGATAGAATTGGGCCAAACCTCCCACACAGAACCCCCGTGTGGGCCACAGCAATGCGTGGCAGGGGATGGCTAATAATAATAATAATAATAATAATAATAATAATAATAATAATAATAATAATAATAAGGCAATTAAGCTAAAATACTAGAGGCTATCATTATTCATTCTTTATAAATAATCACAGGTAAACAAGAGTAAAAAAAACCCCAATGATTTCTACTAGAATTCTTGTTCTCCTGGTTACCTGGAATGATGTATCATTATATTATATTATATTATATTATATTGTATTATATTATATTATATTATATTATATTATATTATATTATATTATATTATACTATACTATACTATACTATACTATACTATACTATACTATACTATACTATACTATACTATACTATATTATATTATATTATATTATATTATATTATAGCCGTCCCCTGCCATGCATTGCTGTGGCCCAGTCTGTTGATCTGGAAAATAAAGTAATGAGACAGTGTTGGTTTCTAATATATGTACTGTCTTGATGCTTGTGGGTAAACAGTGTTTCTTGCTGTTTCTCTGTCAGTGTTGATGTGGAGATTGTCTGGTTTGCCTACTCTCGAACATGCAACATGCAAATTGTCCTTCTTTGGGGTTGTGTGAATCATATATATGATTCAATACTGGACAATACTTGACAATGAGGAGACGCTGATGATTTGGTTTTATTGTTTTTATTATTATGTGGTGTATGAAATTGCAATGTTTTTTAAACTGTCTTATGATATTATGTTTACTGTTTTGTTGGAAACCGCCTTGAGTCGCCAATTGGCTGAGAAAGGCGGTATACAAATACAGTAAATAATAAATAAATAAATAAATATATCTATATCTATGACTGGATGGTTCTTTGTCAGGAGGGCTTTGATTACGTTTTCTTGCCCTAGTGAAGGGAGTTCGATTGGATGGCCTTAAGTATTTTGTGTTGGTCATGGGGATTCTGTGTGGGAAATTTGGACCAGTTCTGTCGTTGGTGGGGTTCAGAATGCTCTTTGATTGTAGGTGAACTATAAATCCCAGTAACTACAACTCCCAAATGTCAACGTCTATTTTCCCCAAACTCCATGTTCATATTTGGGCATATGGAATATTTGTGCCAAGTTTGGTCCAGATCCATCATTGATTGAGTCCACAGCACTCTCTGGGTGTAGGTGAACTACAACTCCCAAACTCAAGGTCAATGTTGACCGAACCCTTCTAGTGTTTTCTGTTGATCATGGGAATCCTGTATGCCACGTTTGGTTCAATTCCATCACTGGTGGAGTTCAGAATGCTCTTTGATTGTGGGTGAACTATAAATCCCAGAAACTACATCTCCCAAATGACAAAATCATTTTTTTAGTGAAAGACATACATTGGGTTGTTAAGTGTATGCTGTCCAAATTTGGTCTCAATTCGTGCAGTGGTTTTTGAGTTATGTTAATCCCACAAACGAACATTACATTTTATTTATATAGATATGTAATGGACAATGATGGAGAGTGTCTCATCATATGCAAAGTGATCTTGTATTGTTTTAGAGATTGAATGACATTGGTAGCATAAGTCAAAGGATGTGTCACAGAATCGTATGCAAAGGGAGCTTACATCACCATAGAGAACATCTAAGGATGCTGATAACGTTTTCAAAAGCGGATGGCGCTGCCTTTGTTCTCGAATGTGATGCAAGCTGCCTTTGCATACGATTCTCTGATCCACCCTTTGCCTTGCAGACTTCTCTCTCTCCCTCTTTGAAGGCAGCAGGCTAATTGGCCTTCTCTCTGTGTCCAGCCTTCCCTATTTGCAGTACTTTGGCGGTGTGTCGGCTCTCACTCCGGAGCAGTACCTGAAGATCAATGGCTTCCCCAATGAATACTGGGGCTGGGGTGGAGAGGACGACGACATTGCCACCAGGTGAGTCTCCGTTTGCCACCGTCTCCCTTCTCAGACGTATTTTCTTGGGCCTTGTTTGTGTCTAAGGCTTCTGGTTCACCATTCATCCTCCCTCCCATTTGTGTGACGCTTTGGCACCTGGCTCAGTAGGATCTCCAAAGCCAGGTGATGCCGATACAGGTGGGCCATGGATTGGTTATCATCCTGTTTCTTGGAAATCTTACTCAAACATTCTTATACTTTGTATGGCAAATACTGCTTTACACTCCCAAATGCATTTTGTCAAGCTTAAGGGCTAGAAACTTGTTTTCAAAAGCAGCTGCAGCTCAGCTTTAAGGCTCCACCTAAGCTGCCATATAATGTAGTTTGAAATTGCATTGTGTGGTCAGTGTAGACAGATATTTAACTGCATTATATGAGTCTACATAGGCTTGGGCTGGATACCTCCTATAACGATAGCAGTCAAGTAGTAGTGAGATTTTAAAACTGATTTATCAGACAGGGAAATATAGAAAAATAATCCCACCAAATTATAACGATGACACCTCCACAACTGACTAGCTCACCAAAATATAGAGGGAGTATGGTGGTTGAACCCACTGTCTATTTAAAACTTAGGAACTGGGGACCACTGGAACTGAGAGACTTAAAATGATTCCTCAAAAGATTTCTGCTGCCACCATATTAATAATAAACAGGCAGAGGTATTATTGAGAGGTTGTTTAGTAACACACTCTGTCACTATAGTTTTTCTTAGAGGCTGTTAAAAGCTGACTTGAATAATGCTTTGACCACAAAGGTATTCACACTGAGGCTGGTATAAGTTGATAAAAATAACAAGAATGTTTATTGAACAGGCTTGAAATATTCAGGTACAAATACTTAATAGTTTCAGTAAAATACTGGCATAAACAACCTGTTATCGCAGCCTATTGTTTTGTTATTGTTATTTTTAAAGCTAATTGCATTGTTTTAATCTGCTTCTGTAAACCGCTCTGAGCCAAATTGGGAGTAGCGGTATACAAGTTAAATAAATAAATAAAAAACTTGTGGTTGCCTTTGAGTAAAGATCTTAAAAACTTCTGGGTTTCAGTTAGCAAGTTTAGCAGTTCTGTGCCACCGGGGGCTCCATTTTGGATACCTTCAATATTTTGGACCTTCTTTAGCACTAGTCTTCCTCTCATCTCATTTTGTTGTGTTTGTATTGTGATACAGGTTTCCAGCCAGAAACCCCAGTCTTGGGTTGCTGTGAGTTTTCTGGGCTGTAGGGCCATGTTCCAGAAGCATTCTCTCCTGACGTTTCACCTCCATCTGTGACAGGCATCCTCAGAGGTTGTGAGGTACCTCTGAGGATGCTCTGTCATAGATGAGGATGAAACGTCAGGAGAGAATGCTTCTGGAACATGGCCAGACAACCCAGAAAACTCAAACAACCCAGTGATTCTGGCCATGAAAGCCTCTGACAACACAACCCCAATCTTATTCCATTTCCTTATTTCATTTGTCACTTGCTTCTTTGTTTCCATCATCATCGTTTCTTTTTTTTCTCTTTCTTTCTCCATTCCGCCTTATGCTCTCTCTCTCTCTTTTGGATCATTGCATGCTCATTTCCCCTTCCCATACAGAATGGGTCATTCAGGTAAGCTGGAACGACACTGTATATAAGTCTCATTTAAAGGCAGAAGTCCACTATAGACCAAAAAGTAATACAGTTATATACTCACAATAATGTATCTCATATCTATGCTTAAACATTCAATGTACTGGGTTGTTGTAGGTTTTTTCGGGCTATATGGCCATGTTCTAGAGGCATTTTCTCCTGACGTTTCACCTGCATCTATGGCAAGAGGTAGTGAGGTCTAATGTGTGTCCCAAGGTGGCACCGATGGGGAGAAGAAGGACTCAGAACTGGGCCAAGTTTCGTTGGTTTCCGTCCACAGGAAACCAGTGGGTCAGGGGAAATCTTTCATAGGTTATATCAAAAGCACTTGAATGACTTCTCAGTGAGCATGGCACCTTAAAAATAGGTCTTATTATTAGCAACAACAAGAACAACAAATCCTTGTAACATATAGTTTTAAACTTATCCAGTAATAAACAATGGCAAATTTGGATTGGATTGGATAGATAGACAGACAAATAGACAGATAGGCAATGGAAGAAGGCATGGCTATTTATTTATCGTGTCAGGAACAAACCAAACAGTCGTATTGCATGTTTTAACAAACAAACAAACAAAACACAAAGTTTGCAAGCTTGGTAGTTGATTAAATGTCCTTTGACCAGTAGCTGGCCACTTGGAGTGCCTCTGGGGTTGCCGCAAGAAGGTCCTCCATTGTGCATGTAGCAGGGCTCAGGTTGCATCGCAGCAGAAGGTCTGTAGTTTGCTCCTCTCCACACTCGCATGTCGTGGATTCCACTTTGTGGCCCCATTTCTGAAGGTTTGCTTTGCATCTCGTGATGCCAGAGCGCAGTCTGTTCAGCGCCTTCCAAGTTGCCCAGTTTTCTGTGTGCCCAGGGGGGAGTCTCTCATTTGGTATCAGCCATTGGTTGAGGTTCTGGGTTTCAGCCTGCCACTTTTGGACTCTCGCTTGCTGGGGTGTTCCAGCGAGTGTCTCTGTAGATCTTAGAAAACTATTTCTTGATTTAAGTCATTGATGTGCTGGCCGATACCCAAACAGGGGATAGGCTGGAGATGTATTGATTGTTTTTGTTATAGCCTTTGTTTACTGATGTACTGTGCGCTTGGCCTCATGTAAGCCACACCGAGTCCCTTGGGGAGATATTAGTGGGGTATAAAGTTGTTGTTGTTGTTGTTGTTGTTGTTATTATTATTATTATTATTATTATTATTATTATTATTATTACTATTATGTCACTGCCTTGGTCCTTTCACTATTGACTGCTACTTCCCGACGGATGTCAGCCGGCAATACCGGCTAAACAGTGTAATTGCATGGATAATAAAATGTGAATGTAGCTCTGATGGGCATGCTCAAGGATTTTGCACTCTCCTCCTCAGTTGTGCCGATGTAATGAATTTAGCAAAGAGTGTCCATCCATCCCCACGGCAACTCTTCCTTCTTCCTCAGCAAAGAAAGCACTTACATCCTTTTTCTTCTCTCTCGGCTCAAACTTCCTTCTGAGCTGAGCCAGGAGAAAGGGAAGGTTGGTATCTTAGGCTCAGGAGGTTGGTTCGTGTGTCTGGCCTTCGCCGCTTCTTCGATTTGGAAAGCAAGCCATTGTGAGAAACAGAAAGAGCCCTAAAATATCCTAATGACCTTGCCTTGCATTGTTGCTCCTCCCAGAGTGCGTCTGGCTGGCATGAAGATCGCCCGGCCTCCAGTTTCCATCGGACACTATAAGATGGTGAGGCATAAAGGAGACAAAGGCAATGAGGAGAACCCACACAGGTATGTTGTTGTTATTCTTCTTTGCAATGGATTCAAATGGAAGAGCTTCCTGGCCGTAAGAGCTGTTTGGCAGCAGAATATGCTACCTCTGAGTGGAGGTTTTGAAACAGAGGCTGGATGGCAATCTGTCGGGAGGGCTTGGATGGTGTCATCCTGCCTTGCAGAATAGGGTTGGACTGGACGGTTTCACGGACAACAGATAGCAGCCGGGCTTTCTATAGCATTGGAGAAGCCATTGTTATTTATTTATTTATTAGCCGTCCCCTGCCACGCATTGCTGTGGCCCACATGGGGGTTCTGTGTGGGAGGTTTGGCCCAGTTCTATCATTGGTGGGATTCAGAATGCTCTGTGACTCTAGGTGAACTATAAATCCCAGCAACTACAACTCCCAAACATCAAGATTCTATTTTCCCTGAACTCTACCAGTGTTTACATCTGGGCATATGGAGTCTTTGTGTAGAGTTTGGTCCCGATCCATCATTGTTTGAGTCCGCAGTGATCCCTGGATGTAGGTGAACTACAACTCCAAAATCAAAGGATACTGCCCACCAAACCCAGTATTTTCTGTTGGTCATAGGAGAACTAAGCCAAGTTTAGTTCAATTCCATCGTTGGTGGGGTTCAGAATGCTCTTTGATTGTAGGTGAACTATAAATCCCAGCAACTACAACTCCCAAATGACAAAATCAGTTTTTTTGAGTGAAGGACATACATTAGGTTGTTAAGTGTCTTGTGTCCAAATTTGGTGTCAATTCGTCCAGTGGTTTTTGAGTTCTGTTAATCCCACAAACAAACATCACATTTTTATTTATATAGACTAGCTGTACCCCCCACGCTTTGCTGTGGCCAACCTTCTCTCTTTCTCTCCTTCTTTCCCTCCTTCTTTCCCTCCTTCCTTCACTCCCTCTTTCCTTCCTTCCTTCCCGTCTTTCCTTCTCTTCTTCTTCCTTCTCTCCTTCCCTTTCTCTACATCTTCCCCCCTTCCTTCGTTCCCTCTTTCCTTCCTTCTTTCCCTTTTTTTCCTTCTCTCCTTCCTTCCTTCTCTACCTCCTTCCTTCCTTCCTTCTCTCTTTGCTTCCATGCTTCCTTCTCCCTTTCCTTGTTTGTTTGAACAAAATCTGGCTACCAGTATTAAAAAACTCAAAAATCACAACAGCAAAACAACAGAGGGGAAACAAACAGGCACATAAAATCACTCTCAACAAGAGATTCCCCCCAGGTGCTTCCAGGCCATTGAATGCAAATCAAGGTGATCAGCTGAAACATTCACACCTAGCTCCAGCAGACAAGAGTCCTTTGTCCCACCCTGGTCATTCCACAGATATATAAACGCATTTTTCCTAATTCCAACAGACCTCACTACCTCTGAGGATGCTTGCCATAGATGCAGGTGAAACGTCAGGAGAAAAATTGCCTCCAGAACATGACCATATAGCCCGGAAAAACCTACAACAACCCAATTTGTGATGTCTTCGTGCTGTCAGAAATTGACTCCTGACAGTTCCTCTTTGTGTCTCTCCCTCTCCTCTTGTAGGTTTGACCTCCTGATTCGGACACACCGGGCCTGGACTCAGGACGGGATGAACTCCCTGACCTACAATCTCCTGTCCAAGGAGCTGCTCCCGCTTTACACCAACATCACGGCTGACATTGGCTCCAACCCGCGAGCTACCAAAGGCGGGAAGGACTCCTTGCCGGGCCTCCGAGTGAAGAACTTCCAGAGTGGGAGCAACCACGACTTCCGGGAGGAGATGCTCCGCAAGACACCCTTTGCCAAGCTCTCCCAGGCCATGGGTTGGGGGGAAGCGACCATCCAAGCCCTGCTGGATGCTGGGAAGAAAGAGAAGCCCAAAGCAGGGACAGAATCCCCCAGTAACGTCAGGACGGGATCCCCCAGTAACATCAGGATGGCAGTCAAGGAAGCACCAAAGCACACAGAAGAGGGTCGGGAAGAGAAGCAGCGGCTGGACTCGGGCTCTTCCAGGGATTTGGTCGCAGCCACAACGCTCTGGAAGACGAGAAGCAATCACACTGGTTGAAAGACCTTGGATTGAAGGAAGGAAGTGGGCCCGAGCGCTCCGAGCCACAACCAGCCTCTATGTCTAGACCCAAATTATTAGGCATTGTGGAGACTCTCCTAATGTGAATTACGCACTTATGGGCCTGGTTTGCCCAATTTAGACGACAGAAATCCCATTGGGAAGGTACTCCCGTGTTTCCTTCTCTTTACTGGTGGGCTCCCTTTCGGCAAACAGGAAACGTTGATTACGACTTCCTGCAAGAGAGGAATCTTTTGTAAGCGGCTCAGGGTTGCAGTCACTCATTGGTTCTCTAGATTCACTTTATTGAAGGGTGATAAAGCGTGTGTGTGTGTGTTGCTGTGGAATGGTGGGGTGTCCCAAATGAGATAAACAGCCCATTGTATGTGGATGAATTGGGGAACTAGGTTTCACACCAGCAGGGGTATGTTGTTCCTGCAAAGGCCTGGACCTCATCACAAACTGCCCTTTGCTTTAGAAAAGGAGGCCGGTTCTGGGCCTGGCTCCTACTACTGACAAATTCCTTCACAGAGAGGACCAGAAAGGATATTATGGAATAACCAGACTGTTTTGGGCCCTTAGTTGGACTCCTCCCACCAGGCAAATGGATTTGGAGACGAAAGCAGGCCCTGATCTTGGTTTTGCCTCTCCTTTCGCACTCCATGGGCACATCGGAGAGGAGAGAGGATCCCTCAATCAACCTGACTTCTGTGGAAGAGGCAAGGCCCCAAATCCTTCCAAAGGCCCGTGCGGATTCCACCAACCAGAGTGCAGTCCAAGCAATGACTTCGGCAAATGCGCTAGACCAGTACCGGCTGTGCCCCTGTTCAGTGCCTTTGGCTCCTTCGAACCAAGCCTGGTTTAATGCTGGAACCTTAGCACCAGTGAGAAATCCATGCCAAGATGATGACTAGTTTGGAGCGTAATCATGTCCTTTTTTTCCCTCTTGAGCAATAATCTTTTGTCCTCAGAAAGTTGGTCACATCAGTGCTGTAGACTCCGTTCCACGTCTGTGACGGTGACCACTCTTTGGGCTGGAAAATGGTCACCCTGGACACTTAGGAGATCTTGGATTCATAGGTCGCAATCACTACGACTCCAAAAATGCTGGAACGTAGGTTAACAGGAATAGAAGTCGTACCTCTATGGTGTTGGACACCTAACTATGGTGTTGGGCACCTAACTACAAAAGTATCTTGCTTATCTGACATTTAGGAAATATTGGGTTTATAGGTCACAATCACTACGACTCCAAAAATGCTGGAATGTAGAAGGTTAGCAGGAACAGAAGTCGTAGCTCTATGGTGTTGGGCACCTAACTACAGAAGAGTCTCGCTTATCCGACCTTTGCTTATCCAACGTTTAGGAGGTATTGGGATTATAGATCACAATCACCACCACTCCAAAAATGCTGGAAAGTAGAGGGTTAGCAGGAACGGAAGTTGTAGCTCTATGGTGTTGGGCACCTAACTACAGAAGAGTCTCGCTTATCCGACCTTCGCTTATCCAACGTTTAGGAGATAATGGGTTTATAGGTTGCAATGACTACCACTCCAAAAATGCTGGAAAGTAGAGGGTTAGCAGGAACAGAATTCATAGCTCTATGGTGTTGGGCACCTAACTACAGTAGAGTCTCGCTTATCCGACCTTTGCTTATCCAACATTTAGAAGATATTGGGTTGATAGGTCACAATTACTACGACTCCAAAAATGCTGGAATGTAGAAGGTTAGCAGGAACAGAAGTCGTAGCTCTATGGTGTTGGGCAGCTAACTACAGAAGAGTCTCGCTTATCTGACATTTAGAATATATCAGATTTTAGGTCACAATAATTACCACTCCAAAAATGCTGGAAAGTAGAGGGTTAGCAGGAACGGAAGTCGTAGCTCTATGGCGTTGGGCACCTAACTACAGAAGAGTCTCGCTTATCCGACCTTAGCTTATCCAAGATTTAGGATATTGGGTTTATAGATCACAATCACTACCACTCCAAAAATGCTGGAAAGTAGAGGGTTAGCAGGAACGGAAGTCGTAGCTCTATGGTGTTGGGCAGCTAACTACAGAAGAGTCGCGCTTATCTGACCTTTGCTTATCCAACATTTAGAAGATACTGGGTTTATAGGTCACAATCGCTACGACTCCAAAAATGCTGGAATGTAGGTTAGCAGGAACAGAAGTCGTAGCTCTATGGTGTTGGGCACCTAACTACAGAAGAGTCTCACTTATCCAACCTTTGCTTATCCAACGTTTAGGAGGTATTGGGTTTATAGATCACAATCACCACCACTCCAAAAATGCTGGAAAGTAGAGGGTTAGCAGGAACGGAAGTTGTAGCTCTATAGTGTTGGGCAGCTAACTACAGAAGAGTCTCGCTTATCCGACCTTAGCTTATCCAACGTTTAGGATATATTGGGTTTTAGGTCACAATCACTACCACTCCAAAAATGCAGGAACATAAGTAGTAGCTCTATGGCGTTGGGCACCTAACTACAGAAGAGTCTCGCTTATCCGACCTTAGCTTATCCAACATTTAGGATATTGGGTTTATAGATCACAATCACTACCACTCCAAAAATGCTGGAAAGTAGAGGGTTAGCAGGAACAGAAGTAGTAGCTCTATGGTGTTGGGCACCAAACTACAGAAGAGTCTCGCTTATCTGACATTTAGGATATATTGGGTTTTAGGTCACAATCACTACCACTCCAAAAATGCAGGAACATAAGTAGTAGCTCTATGGCGTTGGGCACCTAACTACAGAAGAGTCTCGCTTATCCGACCTTAGCTTATCCAACATTTAGGAGATATTGGGTTTATAGATCACAATCACTGCGACTCCAAAAATGCTGGAAAGTAGAGGGTTAGCAGGAACAGAAGTCGTAGCTCTATGGGGTTGGGCACCTAACTACAGTAGAGTCTCGCTTATCCGACCTTCGCTTATCCAACATTTAGGAGATATTGGGTTTATAAGTCACAATCACTGCGACTCCAAAAATGCTGGAAAGTAGAGGGTTAGCAGGAACAAAAGTTGTAGCTCTATGGTGTTGGGCACCTAACTACAGAAGAGTCTCGCTTATCCGACCTTCGCTTATCCAACGTTTAGGAGATAATGGGTTTATAGGTTGCAATCACTACTACTCCAGAAATGCCTGAAAGTAGAGGGTTAGCAGGAACGGAAGTTGTAGCTCAATGGTGTTGGGCACCATAAGTAGAGTCTCGCTTATCCGACAATCCGTCTTATCCGACGCCCCGTTTTCCTCCAGAATTTCCCATTCAATTAGGGGAGTGCTCCTCAACTCTCTCTCCATTCCCAATCAGTGAAAAAGGCAAGACGAGGAGGGAGGAAAGGGGCAAAAGAGGCAGGACCGGAAGTGGAAGTGTCTTCCCTCCATGATTTCCATGCTCCTCTTCCACATCCAGGCACTTCCTGCTGGGCCCCTCTTGCCCCAAGGTGTTGCCTTGCCTTAACTCTTTGATTTCCTGTTGTTAGTATTCTAGGTGTCTAACGCCATGTCGGACGGGTAACAGTAGGAGACTCGGTATTATCCAACATTTTTGTTTATCCGATGTTATGTTGGATAAGCGAGACTACTGTAGCTACTTTCCAGCACCTCTTCCCCCATATTTTTGTCTTGGGGCTGGCCCCAGCCTGCCCTTTCCCTCCCATCTGCGTCTCACAATCTAGTTCTCTGTCAGTGGTGTGTAGCTATTTATTCTATTTATGGAGTTCTCTCTTGGTGTAGCTGCTGCTGTTCCCCATCCTGTTTTTGATAATTGATTTTTACAAAAATAAAATAGTGTCCTACAAGTCATTTTTGGTCACTGCCTCGTTGCCTTTATGGGGACCGATCCACAAGTGTAACTCTTCTATCAGAGCAAGGGGATTTTTCCAAACTACAATTCCCATAGTGTTTCACCAATTGCTAGGCTCTAGACCAGTGTTTCTCAACCTGGCGATCAGGACTCCTGGGTGGGTCGCAAGGGGGATTTCAGAGGGGTCACCAAAAAACATAGTAGCCAATACTCCAGAGGACAGGAGAATTCAAAACGATCTTGACAGATTAGAGAGATGGGCCAAAACTAACAAAACGAAGTTCAACAGGCAAGATACTCCACTTGGGCAGAAAAAATGAGATGCAAAAATACAGAATAGGGGGCGACTGGCTCGAGAGCAGTACGTGTGAAAAAGATCTTGGAGTTCTTGTAGACAGGAAATTAAACATGAGCCAAAAATGTTATGTGGTGGCAAAAAAGTCAATGGGATTTTTGCCTGCATCAAGGAGTCTAGTGTCTAGATCTAGGGAAGTCATGCTACCCCTCTATTCCGCCTTGGTTAGCCCACACCTGGAATATTGTGTCTAATTCTGGGCACCACAATTCAAGAGAGATATTGACAAGCTGGAATGTGTCCAGAGGAGGGCGACTAAAATGATCAAGGGTCTGGAGAACAAGCCCTATGAGGAGCGGCTTAGGGAACTGGGCATGTTTAGCCTGAAGAAGAGAAGGCTGAGAGGAGATATGATAGCCATGTATAAATATGTGAGAGGAAGCCACAGGGAGGAGGGAGCAAGCTTGTTTTCTGCTTCCTTGGAGACTAGGACACGGAACAACGGCTTCAAACAACAAGAAACTGAACATGAGGAAGAACTTCCCGACTGTGAGAGCTGTTCAGCAGTGGAACTCTCTGCCCCGGGATGTGGAGGTTCCTTTTTTGGAAGCTTTTAAACAGAGGCTGGATGGCCATCTGTCAGGGGTGATTTGAATGCAATATTCCTGCTTCTTGGCAGAATGGGGTTGGACTGGATGGCCCATGAGGTCTCTTCTAATTTCTTATAGAAATATGTTCTATAAGAGAACATATTTCTGATGGTCTTAGGAATCCCTTTGGCAGAGAAGACTGAAGATCTCTCCGCCTGTCCTCTTCCTTTTTGGAAACACAGCAAATGCTCCCAACAAAAGCCCTCCTCATGTTGTAAATGGCTGACCTCCGAGTCAAGGGGAGGGCTGTGTTTTAGACTCCAAACAGGGAGAGCAGGCGTGCTCAGCCCATGGCAGTGTGAGGCGCATGTGCAGGTGAGGGAGAGCACGCGACTCTGGAGGGAGGCTCGTTCCAGTGAGTCTCTGTGGGTTCTGTGTGAGAAGTTCGGCCCAATTCTATCATTTGTGGGGTTGTATGCTCTTTGATTGTAGGTGAACTACAACTCCCAAATGTCAAGTTCTATTTCCCCCCAAACTGCACCAGTGTTCACATTTGGGCATATTGAGTATTTCTGCCAAGTTTGGTCCAGATGCATCATTGTTTGAGTCCACAGTGCTCTCTGGATGTAGGTGAACTACAACTCCCAAAATCAAAGTCAATGCTTACCAAACCCTTCCAGTATTTTGCGTTGGTCATGAAAGTTGTGTGTGCCAAGTTTGGTTCAACTCCATCGTTGGTGGAGTTCAGATTGCTCTTTGAGTGTAGGTGAACTATAAATCCCAGCAACAACTCCCAAATGTCAAGGTCTATTTTCCCCAAACTCCACCAGTGTTCACATTTGGGCATATTGAGCATTTGTGGTAAGTTTGGTCCAGATGCATCATTGTTTGAGTCCACAGTGCTTCTCTGGATGTAAGTGAACTACAACTCCCAAACTCAAGGTCAATGCTTACCAAACCCTTCCAGTATTTTGCGTTGGTCATGAAGGTTGTGTGTGCCAAGTTTGGTTCAACTCCATCGTTGGTGGAGTTGAGATTGCTCTTTGAGTGTAGGTAAACTATAAATCCCAGCAACTACAACTCCCAAATGTCAAGGTCTATTTTTCCCAAACTCCACCAATGTTCACAATTGGGCATATTTATAGATCTGTGAAATAATGTCCAGGGTCGGAGAAAAAACTCTTGGGTTGTTGTAGGTTTTTTCGGGCTAAATGGCCATGTTCTAGAGGCATCCTCTCCTGACGTTTCGCCTGCATCTATGGCAAGCATCCTCAGAGGTAGTGAGGTCTGTTGGAACTAGGAAAAGGGGTTTACATATCTGTGGAATGACCAGGGTGGGACAAAGAACTCTTGTCTGCTGGAGCTAGATGTGAATGTTTCAACTGACCACCTTGATTAGCATTTGATGGCCTGGCAGTGCCTGGGGCAATCTTTTGTTGAGAGGTGATTAGATGTCCTTGTTTGTTTCCTCTCTGTTGTTTTGCTGTTGTAATTTTCTTCTCTGTTGTTTTGCTGTTGTAATCTTGTCTGCTTGAGGCCAGTGTGAATGTTGCCAGCTTGATTAGCATTCATAGAATCAAAGAGTTGGAAGAGACCTCATGGGCCATCCAGTCCAACCCCATTCTGCCAAGAAGCAGGAATGTTGCATTCAAATCACCCCTGACAGATGGCCATCCAGCCTCTGATGTCCTATCTGCTTCAATGCCTGGCTGCTTCCTGCCTGTGGGAATCCTTGGTTGGGAGGTGTTATGTAAACCTCACTTGCCTATTTTCCATCAAACCACACATCCTCTGAGGATGCCTGCCATAGATGTGGGGAAAACATCAGGAGAGAATGCTTCTGGAACAGGGCCAGACAAACTCGCAGCAACCCAGTGATTCTGGCCATGAAAGTCTTCGACAACACATTGGTATCAGATATGGTTTTTAATGTATTGTTATTATACCTGACCGAGGTATAGGGTGGCAACCTGTGCTGGATGGGGTTACACTCCCCCTGAAGCCACAGGTCCGCAGTTTGGGAGTCCTCTTGGATTCATCGCTCACGCTTGAGGCTCAGGCGTCGGTGGTGTCTGGGAGGGCTTTTGCACAATTGAGACTCGTGCACCAACTGCGACTGTACCTCGCAAAGGCTGATCTGGCCGGGGTGGTCCATGCCTTGGTCACCTCCAGATTGGACTACTGCAATGCGCTCTACGTGGAGCTGCCCTTGAAAACGGCTTGGAAGTTCCAACTGGTCCAACGAGCAGCAGTCAGGATGTTAACTGGCGCTCCTTACAGAGAGAGGTCAACCCTCCTGTTCAAGGAGCTCCACTGGCTGCCGTTTATTTTCCGAGCCCAGTTTAAGGTGCAGGTGCTTACCTACAAAGCCCTGAACAGTTTGGGACCAGCCTACCTGCGTGACTGTATCGTTGTCTACGAACCCACGCGTTCATTATGCTCATCTGGAGAGGCCCTGCTCGTGGTCCCGCCTGCGTCGCAAGCACGTTTGGTGGGGACACGAGACAGGGCCTTTTCCGTGGTGGCCCCCCGACTCTGGAACACCCTCCCCAAAGATCTTAGACAGGCCCCTACATTGGCAGTCTTCAGAAAGAACTTGAAGACCTGGCTGTTCCGATGTGCCTTCCCAGAATAGGAAATCTCCAATACCAAGTCCCAGACGCACTTTATAAGAACCAAGATGGCTGCACACCGCACACTGCACTTGCCCTATAAGCCTTATATACCACCTGTCACATCAGCACTTTTAATCCTGTACCTATTACTCTGGCCCGGCCCAGTTTTATTGTGCCTTAGTGTATTGTTTCTTGCTTGTTGTTTAATGTTGCTTTAATTGTTTTTAATTTGCCTTTGGTTTGTATTATGTTGTGTGTTGAGGCCGTGGCCTTTGTAAGCCGCATCGAGTCCTTCGGGAGATGCTAGCGGGTACAAATAAAGTTTAATAATAATAATAATAATAATAATAATAATAATAATAATAATGGGGGTATCAGTTTTAAAAGTGGAGAATAATTGAATACACCCAAAATGGTCAGAAAATTGGAAAATTCGGTCCATGTAAAGGTTGTGAAGAAGAGGAAATTGGATTATTATCTGGTTGTATAGGAGCATCCGGTGGCACAATGGGTTAAAAACCTTTGTGCTGGCAGGACTGAAACCCAACAGGTCGCAGGTTCTAATCCGGGAGAGCGGATGAGCTCCCTCTGGCAGCTTCTACAAGGCAGAAAAAGCAAAATGCAAAGATACAGAATGGGGGAATGCCTGGCTCGAGAGCAGTACGTGTGAAAAAGATCTTGGAGTCCTCGTGGACAACAAGTTAAACATGAGCCAACAATGTGATGTGACGGCAAAAAAAGCCAATGGGATTTTGGCCTGCATCAATAGGAACATAGTGTCTAGATCTAGGGAAGTCATGCTACCCCTCTATTCCGCTTTGGTTAGACCACACCTGGAATATTGTGTCCAATTCTGGGCACCACAATTCAAGAGAGATATTGACAAGCTGGAATGTGTCCAGAGGAGAGCGACTAAAATGATAAAAGGGCTGGAGAACAAGCCCTATGAGGAGCGGCTTAAGGAGCTGGGCATGTTTAGCCTGAAGAAGAGAAGGCTGAGAGGAGATATGATAGCCATGTATAAATATGTGAGAGGAAGCCACAGGGAGGAGGGAGCAAGCTTGTTTTCTGCTTCCTTGGAGACTAGGACGCGAAACATGGCTTCAAACTACAAGAAAGGAGATTCCATCTGAACATGAGGAAGAACTTCCTGACTGTGAGAGCCGTTCAGCAGTGGAACTCTCTGCCCCGGAGTGTGGTGGAGGCTCCTTCTTTGGAAGCTTTTAAACAGAGGCTGGATGGCCATCTGTCAGGGGTGATTTGAATGCAACATTCCTGCTTCTTGGCAGAATGGGGTTGGACTGGATGGCCCAGGAGGTCTCTTCCAACTCTTAGATTCTATGATTCTATGATTCCTCTTAGAATGCCTTTCAAACCTTTCTCACCTGATGAAAAGATGCAGCACATACTTATATTCCGGCATATAAGACGACTGGGCGTATAAGACGACCCCCAACTTTTCCAGTTAAAATATAGAGTTAATACGACTCCCATGCATAAGACTACACCTGCGTATAAGACGACCCCTGACTTTTGAAAAGATTTTCTTGGGTTAAAAAGTAGTCTTATACGCCAGAATATACTGTACTTTTGTTTACTTTTTGACCACAATACTTGGGAATTTTTCTTACAGCCAACATGGCTTACTTTTGCTTTCTGCATCGCATTTTTAAAATACCATCGCAATGGCGACAAGAGGGAAAAGGCACTCCTTCCTGCGCCCTTGCTTGCCATTCTTAGAAAGTCTCTTGCCCGCCAAGAATGTGCATTTCAGTTCCAAAAAGCACCCACAAAAATACCACCTTCCACCTTTTAGAAGCGATAAGACATCTGAAGCCAATCTCCTGCTGCCTCGGTTCTCTGAAAGAGACCCTGAAGCATCCGAGAGGAGAATCCAAGCTGAAGGATGACCTCCTTCCTCAAGACTGGCCGAGAAGCTTGACCACCGCCGTCCGAGCACCGGAGATGCAGTCGTTCACAGAGACTCCTTCATAGGAAGCCCCAATCAGGCTCAGAGGGAGCTTCTGCTGCACCAGGTAAGCGGCTGCATTCTCTACAGAGAAGGGGAGAGAGATCAGGAAATAATTTTCCATGTGAATATCCTGAGATTCCCATACTTAGGAATGCTGTTACCCTCATCCAATGACTGATCAGGACCAAACTTGGCACATAGACCTCTCATGACCCACTTTACGTCCTGGTGCGGTTTGGCCAGGGATGGACCATGGATTATGGGACTTGCAGTACGTTTGCTCAATTCTTGAGACCACTGCAACCCTCACCGATAAAGACCAAACTTGGCACACTGAGTCTCCATGACGCACTCTACATCCCGGTGCAGTTTGGAGGAGGATGCACCATGGAAGATGGGAGTCCCTTCCTAAGACCATTACAACTGATGGATCAGGACCACAATTCACACAGAGAGCCCGCATGACCCACTCTACATCCTGGTGCGGTTTGGAAGAATTTGGCAATGGATGATGGGACTTGCAGTCACTTCACTCACTTCCTGAGACCCTCGCCAATGACTGATCAAGACCAAACTTGGCACACAGAGTCCCCATGACCCACTTTACGTCCTGGTGTGGTTTGGCCAGGGATGGACCATGGATTATGGGACTTGCAGTATGTTTGCTCAATTCTTGAGACCACTGCAACCCTCATCCAATTACCGATAAAGACCAAACTTGGCACACTGAGTCTCCATGACGTACTCTACATCCTGGTGCAGTTTGGAGGAGGATGCACCATGGACGATGGGAGTCCCTTCCTAAGACCATTACAACTGCCAACAATGATGGATCAGGACTACAATTCACACAGAGAGCCCGCATGACCCACTCTACATCCTGGTGCGGTTTGGAAGAATTTGGCAATGGATTATTTATTTATTTATTTACTTTATTTGTATACCGCACTCTCTCAGCCCGTAGGCGGTTAAGCAGTGCATTTTACAACCAAACCAATATACAAAGTGCACAACATTAGCAATTAAAACAGTAACTAAGGCAACTACATCAATATAACAATACATCAGTACATCAATATAACATCAATACATCCATATAACTAATCCATCACGTCTCATCAGTAAAGTCATAATCCGATCTCCTCGTCCATTATTCCAAGTTCCAAGATCAATCAATTAATTGCACTGCTTAATTAAATGCCTGTTCAAAGAGCCAGGTCTTTATTCTTCTCCTGAACGCCAGCAGGGAGGGGGCCGATCTAATATCTGCGGGAAGGGCATTCCACAGCCGAGGGGCCACCACTGAGAAGGCCCTGTCTCTCGTCCCCGCCAGCCGTCACTTGGAGTCACTTCACTCACTTCCTGAGACCCTCGCCAATGACTGATCAAGACCAAACTTGGCACACAGAGTCCCCATGACCCACTCTACATCCTGGTGCAGTGTTGGAGGAGGGTTGACCATGGATTATGGGACTTGCAGTACCTTCACTCACTTACTGAAACCACTGCCACCCTCATCCAATGACTGATAAAGACCAAACTTGGCACACAGAGCCCCCATGACCCACTCTATAGCCTGCTGCTGTTTGGAGGAGGGTGGACCATGAATGATGGGACTTGCAGTATCTTTACTCATTTACTGAAACCACTGCGACCCTCATCCAATGACCAATCAAGACCAAATTGACACACAGAGCCCCCATGACCCATTCTACATCCTGCTGCAGTTTGGAGGAGGGTTGATCATGGAAGATGGGACTTGCAGTACCTTTACTCACTTACTGAAACCACTGCGACCCTGAACCAATGACTGATCAAGACCAAACTTGGCACACAGAGCCCCCATGACCCACTCTATATCCTGCTGCTGTTTGGAGGAGGGTGGACCATGAATGATGGGACTTCAAGTACCTTCACTCACTTCCTGAAAACAATGCAACCATCATCCAATGACCAATAATGACCAAACTTGGCATACAGAACCACCATTACCCACTTTCTCTAATAACCCGGGTAGCGCCGGGTCCCCAAGCTAATAATAATAATAAAGCTTTATTTATACCCCGCTCCATCTTCCCCAGGGGGACTCGGGGTGGCTTACATGAGGCCACGCCCATCAGTACAGTAATAATAATAATAATAATAATAATAATCATCATCATCATCATCATCATCTATATAAATAAAAATGTAATGTTCATTTGTGGGATTAACAGAACTCAAAAACCACTGGAGGAATTGCCACCAAATTTGGACACAAGACACCTAACAACCCAATGTATGTCGTTCACTCAAAAATTTTGATTTTTTCATTTGGGAGTTGTAGTTGCTGGGATTTATAGTTCAGCTACAATCACAGAGCATTCTGAACCCCACCAATGATGGAGTTAATCCAAATGTGGCATGCAGAACTCCCAACATAAAACACTAGAAGGGTTTGGAGGGCATTGACCTTGAGTTTGGGAGTTGTAGTTCATCTACATCCAGAGAGCACTGTGGACTCAAACAATGATGGATCTGGACCAAACTTGGCAGAAATATTCCATTTGCCCAAATATGAACACAGATGGAGTTTGGGGGAAATAGACCTTGACATTTGGGAGTTGTAGTTACTGGGATTTATAGTTTGCCTACAATCGAAGAGCATTCTGAACCCCACCAATGACAGAATTGGGCAAATTTCCCACACAGAACCCCCATGACCAACAGAAAATACTTAAGGCCAACTCTCTTCACCAGGGCAAGAAAAAGTAATCAAAGCCCTCCTGACAAAGAGCCATCCAACCACAGATATAAATAGATAGATATGATTCACACACACAGAGATAATATGCCTGCTCTAAGAGATAGAGTTGGAGAACTGTTGTAGTTGCTCTACTTCTTAGCTCCAAGTCGTCTCCGACTTTCCAAACATTTTACTTTTGGGAAAGGAACTTGCAAAACGTTTTACTAAACCTACCTATGTGCTTCCAGTGACCGATTTCATACTGTGGGATGCAAGCCTGCAAAAAGAAATAATAATTAAAAATTAAAAAAGAAAGAAAGAAAAAGAAAGAAATAGATAAAGAATGGGCAACATCTCCAAAAATGAGATTACAGATAAAGCAGCAAAGTCCAGAAAGGCCCCTTGGTGGTGCAGCAGGTTAAACCGCTGAGCTGCTAAACTTGCTGACCAAAAGGTTGGCAGTTCAAATACAAAGAGCAATGTGAGCTCTCGCTGCCATAGAATGAAAGAGTCCTCATGGGCCATCCAGTCCAACCCCCTGCCAAGAAGCAGGAATATTGCATTCAAATCACCCCTGACAGATGGCCATCCAGCCTCTGTTTAAAAGCTTCCAAAGAAGGAACCTCCACCACACTCCGGGGCAGAGAGTTCCACTGCTGAACGGCTCTCACAGTCAGGAAGTTCTTCCTCATGTTCAGATGGAATCTCCTCTCTTGTAGTTTGAAGCCATTGCTCCATTGCATCCTAGTCTCCCGGGAAGCAGAAAACAAGCTTGCTCCCTCCTCCCTGTGGCTTCCTCTCACATATTTATATATGGCTATCATACCTCCTCTCAGCCTTCTCTTCTTCAGGCTAAACATTTATTATTATTTTATTTATTATTTATTATTTACAGCTTTTATATTCCGCCCTTCTCACCCTGCAGGGGACTCAGGGCGGATTACAGGGTGGATTACACATATATGGCAAACATTCAATGCCAATTTTTGACATACAAACATATACAGACTTAAACCAAGGCTATTTTTTAATTTTTTCTGGCCACCGGGGGAGCTGTCGCTTTCATCGTCCATCTGCGACGCTGATGAAGCACTTCCACATTCCCCGCATGCTTCCCCGCTGGAATGCTTTGCTGGAGTCTTCATGGCCTCATAAATCAGTTAATTTAACCTCCCCACACTTTAAGGTGGTACCTAATTTTCCTACTTGACAGATGCAACTGTCTTTTGGGTTGCAAAGGTCGACAACAGGCTACACACAATTGGTTGGAAACCCACTCCAACCCGGGCTGGCTTTGAACTCATGACCTTTTGGTCAGAGTGATCTTAATGCAGCTGACACTCAGCCAGCTGTGCCACAATCCCGGTGCCTAGCTCCTTAAGCCGCTCCTCATAGGGCTTGTTCTCCAGACCCTTGATCACTTTAGTCGCCCTCCTCTGGACACAGTCCAGCTTGTAAATATATGCCTTCCATTGTGGTGCCCAGAATCGGACACAATATTCCAGGTGTGGTCTAACCAAGGCAGAAGAGAGCATGAGGAGCATGACTTCCCTAGATCTAGACACTATGCTCCTATTGATGCAGGCCAAAATACCATTGGGTTTTTTTTGCCGCCACATCACATTGTTGGCTCATGTTTAACTTGTTGTCCATAGAATCATAGAATCCGAGAGTTGGAAGAGACCTCATGAGCCATCCAGTCCAACCCCATTCTGCCAAGGAGCAGGAATATTGCATTCAAAGCTCCCCCGGCAGACGGCCATCCAGCCTCTGTTTAAAAGCTTCCAAAGAAGGAGCCTCCACCATGAGGACTCCAAGATCTTTTTCACATGTCCTGCTCTCGAGCCAGGCATTGTCCCCCATTCTGGCTGAACAAAAGCTTGGCAGGTCAAATCCAGGGAGCGAGGTGAGCTCCTGCTGTTAGCCTCAGCTTCTGCCAACCTAGCAGTTCAAAAACATGCAAATGTGAGTAGATTAATAGGTTCTGCTTCTGTGGGAAGGCGACAGCACTCCATGCAGTCGTGACAGCCATATAACCTAGGAGGCGTCTATGGACAACGCTGGCTCTTCGGCTTAACAATGGAGATAAGCACCAACCCCCAGACTCAGACCCTTAATGTCAAGGGAAAACCTTGACCTTATTGACTTGTTTTAATTTGCTTCCTATATTTCTGCCCTGCCCTGTATCTCAAGGTCTCTTGCCAACTTACATCAAAATATATCACCATGGTCAATCATGGATCTGAACTTCCTCTCCCGGAATTAACACTCAGACCACCATGGCTCCCAGTCAACCCATTTCTTTTTACCTTGATAAGCATTTAGTATCTGGACAGGGAATTGGGCAAAAAAAGCTTGCAAAAATAAACAATTGTTGTGGCTCCAGAGAATGTACCTTCTGCACCTTGACAATGGCCCGGGAGGGCTCCGAGGATATCCCAAGATGTTTCTTGACTGCTGCTTTGGCACACCTCAGTAACACAGTATGGGAAACGGTGTCAGGGTCACCAAGACCCGGCTTGAACCATGCGCCACCCAGCATCACCTGAAAAGCAGAAGAACCCATACATTAGGTCTGGGGTGTCAAATTCATTTTCATTGAGAGCCACACCTGTCTTATGGTAGTCTTCAAAGGGCCGTTGAATACATGGATGATATATATATATCCACACACACACATACATACCTACACATCTGTCTGTGAGAAGGCCTCACAGTGTGAGGTAGATCTTTGTGAGAAAGCCTCATAGTGTGAGGTAGGCCTTGGTCTGTGAGAGAAGCCTCTGTGTGAGGTAAGCCTTGGTATGAGAAGGCCTTGTGTGCAAAGGCTGAATTTTATTTGTCTCTAAGGAATCAGAAAACAAACTTGGTCCCTCCACCATATGACATCCTCCACCATATATACACTCATATACACACACACCTACACATTTACACATTAGTCTGTGAGAAGGCCTCACAGTGTGAGGTAGATCTTTGTGAGAGAAAACCTCACAGTGTGAGGTAGGCCTTAGTCTGTGAGAACGCCTCACAGTGTGAGGTAGGCCTTAGTCTGTGAGAACGCCTCACAGTGTGAGGTAGGCCTTAGTCTGTGAGAGAAGCCTCTGTGTGAGGTATGCCTTGGTATGAGAAGGCCTTGCGTGTGAAGCTCCAGTGTGAAGGCTGAATTTTATTTGTCTCTAAGGAATCAAAAAACAAACCTGGCCCCTCCACCTTATGACATCCTCCACACACATATACTAGCTTGGATACCTGGCATGCCAGGTTAACCCCTAAAAATGCCATCAGTACTTAAAGTTTGTTATATTGGGCAAGTTTGCTCTAGAAACATCATCGGTGTGGTTCACTGTGCTCTCTGGCTGTAGGGTAAACTACAACTCCCACTCTGGGGAGTCAGTCCCCTTAAACTCCTCCAATAGGTTCAAGTAGTCATGGGGGTTCTGTGTGCCGAGTTTGGTCCAGGTCCATCATCGGTAGAGGTCACAGATTCTCTGGTTGTGGGTGAACTACAACTCCCAGAAAGGAAGGCAAGTTCCCCTCACCCCATTAAAAAAACTCTCCAATAATCAAATTTGGGCATATCAGGTCTGTGTTCCAAGTTTGGTCCAGATCCATTGGTGTTTGGGTTCACAATGCTCTCTGGATGTAGGTGAACTACAACTCCCCCAAATCAAGGTGAATCTTTCCCCAAAGACTTCCAGTATTTTTTGCTGGTGGGGGTCGGGGGGGGGGGGGGGCTGTGTGTCAAGTTTGGTTCATTGAATTGACTGCAGGTGAACTATACATCCCAGTATCTACAACTTCAAAACATCCAGGTCAATTCCCCTCAAAACCTATCAGTATTCAAATTTGAGCATATCGAGTATGCATGCCAAGTTGGGTCCAGATCCATCATTGTTTGGGTTTGTTATGCACTCTGGATGTAGGTGAACTACAACTCTTCTAAATCTCTCCAAAGACCTCCAGTATTTTGTGTTGGTCATGGAGATTCTGCGTCCAAGTTGGTTCCAGGCCCTTCACTGGTGGAGTTCAGTGTGCTCTGGAGCTCTTCCCCTTCTCTGAAGCCAGTTCTTACCGTGAGGCGAAGGGCAGGCCCACTGGATCCATCCTGCTCAGGAAATGCCACCGAGTCATAAACGATGCCGAGTAAGGAGCTGTCCTCAAAAGATGGCACCAGGTGCCCAAAACCCTAGAGCAAAAGATGGTCAGAAAAGTACACAACAGGTTCGTTTGGGCGGTATTCGTTTCTGCTTCACTGTAAGAACTCTGGAAAGGAGAGCCAGCTCTTGGAACAGTCCAATCCCATTCGGCCATGTAGGAAGACACCATCAAAGCACTCTCAAAAGGATGGCCATTTGCATAAAAAAAACCTCAAGAAAAGGAGTCTCTGCCAGAAATATTGAAAATTAACTAGGTATTTTTAATTACTGAAGGGGTTAAATCAATGCAATGACACAGCAAAAGCTGCAGTTCTATATAAGCAAGTGTGCTTGTAGCTCAGTAGCCCTCAGTCTGAGGTAAACCTCAGTGGGAGAAAGGTCTCAGTCTAGAAGGCCTCACAGTGTGAGGTAGGCCTTAGTCTGTGAAAGAGGACTTCACAGTGAGGTAGGCCTTCGTCTGTAACAAGACCTCATAGTGTGAGGCAGGCCTTAGTCTGTGAGAAAGCCTCACAGTGTGAGGTAGATCTTTGTGAGAGAAGGCCTCACAGTGTGAGGTAGGCCTTAGTCTGTGAAAGAAGACTTCACAGTGTGAGGTAGGCCTTAGTCTGTAAGAAGACCTCATAGTGTGAGGCAGGCCTTAGTCTGTGAGAAGGCCTCACAGTGTGAGGTAGATCTTTGTGAGAGAAGGCCTCACAGTGTGAGGTAGGCCTTAGTCTGTAAGAAGACCTCACAGTGTGAGGTAAATCTTTGTGAGAGAAAGCCTCACAGTGTGAGGGAGGCCTTAGTCTGTGAAAAAAGACCTCACAGTGTGAGGTAGGCCTTAGTCTGTGAGAAGACCTCATAGTGTGAGGCAGGCCTTCGTCTGTGAGAAAGCCTCACAGTGTGAGCTAGATCTTTGTGAGAGAAGGCCTCACAGTGTGAGGTAGGCCTTAGTCTGTGAGAAGGCCTCACAGTGTGAGGTAGATCTTTGTGAGAGAAGGCTTCACAGTGTGAGGAAGTCCTTAGTCTGTGAGAGAAGTCTCTGTGTGAAGTAAGCCTTGGTATGAGAAGGCCTTGTGTGTGAAGCTCCAGTGTGAAGGCTGAATTTTATTTGTCTCTAAGGAATCAGAAAACAAACTTGGCCTCTCCACCATATGACATCCTCCACCACCCCACAGTTGGCCATCTTGTGTACTACAACACTCAGAATCCCCTCTGCTGGAGAAAGAAGCCTTAGGAGGGTTCCTTACCATAACCGGGAGCCCCACGTTTTCATACTTGAGGTTGACCACAGCTACAGACACAGCTTGGATGTTTAGCAGCTCCTGAGAAAGTGGTTCAGCCCAGCTGGGGAGAGATGCTGCAAGCGCTGAAAGCAAAAAAAGGGAAACATATGACGGTAAGACCACTTGGCAGTGGAACATCCTGCCTGGAAGTACAGTGGAGTCTCCTTCTCTTGAGGTTTTGAAGCAGAGACTGGATGGTCATCTGCAGAAGGGCGTGGATTGTGTCTTCTTGCATGGCAGAATGGGGTTGGACTGGGTGGTCCTTGAGATCTCTTCCAACTCTACGATATTTTAGGCCTCATATAATTATTTTCCACACTTACAATATCTATTTCCTCAAGCTTAAACATCTGATCTCTCTTACCTTTGGCTGGCAAAGCACTGATGACATGATCTGCCTCTATACTGCCATCTTCCAGCATTATCTAAATGAGGAAAGCACAAATGGTGTCAGTCTTGTTCCTCATTAACTACACTATTGAGGAACAAGAAAGTCACAGAGGTATCTTCACCTCCGCCTTGGACATGTATGACATGTATGCTTTTTCATCACAGTGAAAGGCCACTGAGCCCAATGATAGTTTCGATGGAAGGAAGGACAACCCATGTAGCATTCAGACATGTATGCTTTTCATCTTAAGAGCAGACAAGCACCTCAAGCTCTGAGGATGGTCACCTCACCCGCTTCAGAGGAAATCTGCTGCAAAACAGGAGCTTTTTTGTTGAGTTCCAGAGTCAGAGAAGCAGATGGCAAAAACAGAAGAAAGGCCTGTCTCAGAGGAGCATGCTTGCTCCATTCATGTTTAACATTTACACACATGTTCAGGCACTGGTAGAATGGACATTTCATCTATGCTGACGATTGTGCCATCACTGCCCAAGCAGGGAGCTTTGAAATGGTGGAAGCTTTACGTGCTCTTACTACCTATTCCAGGGAAAACCAGCTGATTCCTAATCCATCTAAAATGCAGATGTGTGCTTTTCGTCTTACGAACAGACAAGCATCTCAGGCTCTGAGGATTACCTGGGAAGGAATTCCACTGGAGCATTGCAGCACAACAAAATACCCGGGAGTTACTCTGGAGTCTAGACTGTGCTCTGACCCACAAGAAGAACTACTTGAATTTCAAGCAAAAAGTGGGCGCTAGAAATTGTCATGTTTTACAAATGTATTGTAATGTAATATAGCTGAGTCATGCACTGCTAATAGGCTTCTATTGGAAATGCTGAGTCATGCATTAACTGTATATAGAACTTCATTTGGGGAATGTGTTCTGGCCTAGTCCAGGTGATTGTGAATGATGTAATCCTGGGTCTGAGTTAAGTCAATGAGTTGGGAATCAATCAGAGATTGCTATGTGTAAAGGTACAGAATTGTATATAAGGAAGTCATGTACAGTGTATATTTCTCTCCTTGTGCTGTGATGCTGTTCGTTGAAGGCTCTATGTAATTGATTAAAAGAACCTGTCTGCTAAGACAAGATATAACTGTATGCTGTGGTAAGTTTGTAATGTCATCTAGACTGGGGGAAAGACAATGGTAAAACTGACAGTGGCCGGGCATGTGCTCAAGTGTCTGTAAATAAGTTCCAGAGTGACTGCAGTTTCTGGGAGCAGTTGACTGAAAATACTGTGCAGGAAGCAGCTACTGGAAAGCACTGATCTGCTGAATTGTGAAATTAATCTCAACAGAAATAATATCGAATGAAAGTTGACTGGCACAACCTGGGGATCACAACCAGACACAGTGAAGACATCAGCCCTTGTGCTATGCTACTCTGCTGCTGAGTACACATGCCTAGTGTGGAAAACATCTCACCACTCTAAAACAGTACACGTGGCTCTTAATGAGACATGCCGCACTATCACGGGGTGTCTGCGCCCTACACCACTGGAGAAATTACACTGTCTAGCCGGTATTGCACCACCTGATATCCGCCGGGAAGTAGCAACCAACAGTGAAAGGACCAAGGCAGTGACATCTCCAGCTCATCCCCTATTTGGGTATCAGCCAGACTTACATCAAGAAATAGTTTTCTAAGATCTACAGAGACACTCATTGGAACACCCCAGCAAGTGAGAGTCCAAAAGTGGCAGGCTCAAACCCAGAACCTCAATCAACAGCTCATACCAAATGAGAGACTCCCCTCCTGGGCACACAGAGGACTGGGCGACTTGAAAGGCGCTGAACAGACTGCGCTCTGGCACCACGAGATGCAGAACCAACCTCAAGAAATGGGGCCACAAAGAGGAATCCACGACATGTGAGTGTAGAGAAGAGCAAACCACTGACCACCTGCTGCAATGCAACCTGAGCCCTGCCACATGCACGATGGAGGACCTTCTTATAGTAACACCAGAGGCACTCCAAGTGGCCAGCTATTGGTCAAAAGACATTTAATCAACTACCAAGATTGCAAATTTTGTGCTTTGTTTGTTTGTTAAAAATGCAATACAACTGTTTGGTTTGCTCTTGACACGATAAATAAAATATGCTAAAACAGTGGATATGGCTCTTAAGGAGACATGCCACATTATCACAGGATGTCTACATCTGACACCACTGGAGAAATTATACTTTTTAGCAGGTATTGCACCACCTGACATCCATCAGGAAGTAGCAGCCACCAATGAAAGGACCAAGGCAGTGACATCTCCGCCCCATCCTCTGTTCGGATATTGTTCGGATTTAAGATGTTGGCCAACACACCAACATCTTAAATCAAGAAACAGCTTCCTAATCTCCACAGAGAAAACCTGGAACCTTAATCAGTGGCTGATACAGGATGACAAACTCCTTTCTGGGTACACAGAAGAGTGGACAACCTGGAAGATTGGCTCTGCATCTCTGGCACCACGAGATGCAGAGCCAATCTGAGTGACATGCTGAAAGGGTCTTTGAGTGAAATTAGCAAAGCTAAGCAAGGGGCTTTGAATGAAATTAGCAACAAAGGAGAAATGTACCCTTTCTCTAATAAAAAAAGGAGCAACACAGAAGAAAATGTTTTAAAAACAAGAGGTGACATGAAGAGGTCCTACAAAGTTAGGTTGTGGTTAAGCGCAAAGGTTGTGGTTAAGCGTAAAGGTTATGGTTAATCGCAAAGTCTGCAGGTGCAAGAAGGTACTTTCCATCAAGAGGTTGATGGGACAGAAGAATAAAGGTCAAAGTACTTTCCATGACAAAAATGTTCTTGTTTACTTGAGGGTATATAAAGGTTTACAAACGCCGAGGGGCGCGCGGCAGCACTTACAAAGATGCTGTCTGTTCACCTCGTGCTGATCAGCTTGAATAAACTGTGTCTTACATGAACCTATTGGACTCTGGATTTTTTCGAAAGGGGACCCCGCACCCTAAACCCGTGATCCCTTACAATGCGACTATGAAAACAGCAAACCACAGAGTATTTACTATAACTGTATCCTCAATTTGGTCCTGACACGATAAAAAAGGGAAAAAAACCTCCCTCATTCCACCTTTGTGAGATCAGAAGAGCAGAACCCACTCACCGCATCCAGAAGTTGACTCCAGACCCATGTTCTTAAGAGTGTCTTACCCTCCAAGAGCCAGATGCCATTCTCTCCAGCTGTTTGACAGGGGCGTCACGGTGGATGTCCACCCCGCGCTGCTTCAGGAATCCTTCGAGAGCTTCAGGGAGGGACTGCATCCCACCCCGAAGGGACCACTGGCTCCAGCGCTCCTCCTTGGCCCTGCGGATGAGTGGGGAATCCAAGGGGGCACCTTTCCCTAAACATGGAGAGACAGAAAGGATGAAGCATCTCGCTCCTGGGTGGCTAACCTTACCACTTGATATTGCACTGAAGCGGTTTAAAACTATGCACAGTTTTGTTCTGTTTACACCTCTGGATCTGGTCCCCAAGCCTATGCTGGACAAATGGTAGCAATGATCAGTGGGTTCAGCCTGGTTCCATGTAACCAGCTTCCTTTCGAATCCTTGATCCACGGTTATTCCAGGTGAAATTTGACCAAAGCAGAATAGAGGGGCACCATTACTTCTTTTTCTTTGGACACTAGACTCCTTTTATTGCAGCCCAAACTCTCACTGGCTTTTTGAGGTGATTCTAACAAGCTTCGGCCTACTCACTATCCTCAGAACGACACTAGCCTTGGCTCACTGACTCTAACAGGCTTCGGCCTACTCACTCTCTCAGGACGACACTACTTTGGCACACTGACTCTAACAGGCTTCGGCCTACTCATTCTCCTCAGGACAACACTACCTTTGGCCCTGTTTCGACAGGCTCCGGCTTGCACACTCTCCTCAGGACGACACTAGCTTTGGCCCACTGACTCTACCAGGCTTCGGCCTACTCACTCTTCTCAGGACGACACTAGCTTTGGCCCAGTGACTCTAACAGGCTTCGGCCTACTCACTCTCCTCAGCACACTAGCTTTGGCTCACTGACTCTAACATGCTTCAGCCTCCTCACTCTCCTCAGGACAACACTAGTTAAGGCCCACTGACTCAAAAAGGCTCTAAGGCCCACTGACTCTAACAGGCTTTGGCCTACTCACTCTCCTCAGGACGACACTAGCTTTGGCCACTCTCTAACAGGCTTCGGCCTACTCACTCTCCTCAGGACGACACTAGCTTTGGCCCACCGACTCTAACAGGCTTCGGCCTACTCACTCTCCTCAGGACGACACTAGCTTTGGCCCACTGACTCTTACAGGCTTCGGCCTACTCACTCTCCTCAGGACGACACTAGCTTTGGCCCACTTACTCTAACAGGCTTCAGCCTACTCACTCTCCTCAGGAAGACACTAGTTTTGGTGCACTGACTCTAACAGGCTTCGGCCTACTCACTCTCCTCAGGACGACACTAGCTTTGGCCCACTGACTCTAACAGGCTTCGGCCTACTCACTCTCCTCAGGATGACACTAGCTTTGGCCCACTGACTCTAACAGGTTTTGGCCTACTCACTCTCCTCAGGACGACACTAGCTTTGGCCCACTGACTCTAACAGGCTTCGGCCTACTCACTCTCCTCAGGACGACACTAGCTTTGGCCCACTGACTCTAACATTCTTCGGCCTACTCACTCTCCTCAGGACGACACTAGCTTTGGCCTAGTGACTCTAACATGCTTCGGCCTACTCACTCACCTCAGGACGACACTAGCTTTGGTCCAGTGACTCTAACATGCTTCGGCCTACTCACTCTCCTTGGGACGAAGCACTAGCTTTGGCCCACTGACTCTAACATGCTTCGGCCTACTCACTCTCCTCAGGACGACACTAGCTTTGGCCCAGTGACTCTAACATGCTTCGGCCTACTCACTCTCCTCAGGACGACACTAGCTTTGGCCCACTGACTCTAACATGCTTCGGCCTACTCACTCTCCTCAGGACGACACTAGCTTTGGCCCACTGACTCTAACATGCTTCAGCCTACTCACTCTCCTCAGGACAACACTAGCTTTGGCTCACTGACTCTAACATGCTTTGGCCTACTCACTCTCCTCAGGACGACACTAGCTTTGGCTCACTGACTCTAACAGGCTTCGGCCTACTCACTCTCCTCAGGACGACACTAGCTTTGGCTCACTGACTCTAACAGGCTTCGGCCTACTCACTCTCCTCAGGACGACACTAGCTTTGGCCCACTGACTCTAACAGGCTTCTGCCTACTCACTCTCCTCAGGACGACACTAGCTTTGGCCCACTGACTCTAACAGGCTTCGGCCTACTCACTCTCCTCAGGACGACACTAGCTTTGGCTCACTGACTCTAACATGCTTCAGCCTACTCACTCTCCTCAGGACAACACTAGCTTTGGCTCACTGACTCTAACATGCTTTGGCCTACTCACTCTCCTCAGGACGACACTAGCTTTGGCCCACTGACTCTAACAGGCTTCTGCCTACTCACTCTCCTCAGGACAACACTAGCTTTGGCTCACTGACTCTAACATGCTTTGGCCTACTCACTCTCCTCAGGACGACACTAGCTTTGGCTCACTGACTCTAACATGCTTCAGCCTACTCACTCTCCTCAGGACGACACTAAAATGGAGCCAGAATCCTGAACTAGCTCAGTTCCTATCACATGGACCCTTCTTTCAGATGGGAGTTGGACTTCTTGTTACCCCTTGCTGCCTCTCTGAAGAGTTACCTCCAGCCAAAGCCATGCCCAGGATGACGGAACGGTGTGTCCTCTCGGCCTGGAACAGTGCCGGGAAGCAGGAGCGCACACTCAGCGCCCGGCAGTCGCCAGCAAACACCCCGCGGCAGAGGCTGTCAATCACGATGTCCGCCATCTATGGAAGCCAAGGATGTAGTAGTCAAGCAGATGGAATCACAATATCTTATGAAAGGCTTTCATGGAATCACTGGTTTGCTGCAGGTTTTCCAGGCTGTCTGTCCATGTTCCAGAAGCATTCTCTCCTGACGTTTCACCCACATCTATGGCAGGCATCCTCAGAGGATGTGAGGTTTGATGGAAACTAGGCAAGTGGGGTTTATATATCTGTGGAATGTCCTAACACCTCCCAACCAAGGATTCCCCCAGACAGGAAGCAGCCAGGCTTTGAATCAGATAGGACATTCAATGCTAATCAACTTGGCAACATTCACACTGGCCTCAAGCAGACAAGAGTTTTTTCTCCGACCCTGGACATTATTCCACAGATTTATAAATATGCCCAGTTGTGAAAATTGGTGGAGTTTTGGGGAAATGGACCTTGACATTTGGGAACTGTAGTTGCTGGGATTTATAGTTCACCTACAATCAAAAAGCATTCTCAACTGCACCAATGATGGAATTGAACCAAGCCTGGCATATAGAACTCCCATGACTAAGAGAAAATACTGGAAGGCTTTGGTTGGCATTGAGCTTGAGTTTTGGAGTTGTAGTTCACCTACATCCAAAGAGCACTGTGAACTCAAACAATGATGCATCTGGACCAAACTTGGCACAAGTACTCAATATGGCCAAATGTGAACACTGGTGGAGTTTGGGGGAAATATACCTTGACATTGGGAGTTGTAGTTGCTGGGATTTATAGTTCACCTACAATCAAAAAGCATTCTGAACTCCACCAATGATGGAATTGAACCAAACTTGGCACACAGAACTCCCATGACTAAGAGAAAATACTGGAAGGGTTTGGTTGGCATTGACCTTGAGTTTTGGAGTTGTAGTTCACCTATATCCAGAGAGCACTGTGAACTCAAACAATGATGCATCTGGACCAAACTTGGCACAAGTACTCAATAAGCTGGTGAACACTGGTGGAGTTTGGGGAAAATAGACCTTGACATTTGGGAGTTGTAGTTCACCTACAATCAAAGAGTATACAACCCCACCAACAATAGAATTGGGCCAAACTACCCTCACAGAACCCGCATGCCTTGCAGCTTCAAAGCCTTGCAGCTTCAAAGCCTGGCTGCTTCCTGCTCGGGGGAATCCTTTGTTGGGAGGTGTTTGTTTCCTGTCAAGAATTCCCCTGTTTTCTGAGTGTTGCTCTTTATTTACTGTTATGATTTTACTGATTTACTGGCCAGTCAATGCTAATCAAGGTGACCAATTGCAATATTCACCCTTGCCTCCAACAGACAAGAGATCTTTCTCCCACCCTGGACATTATTCTACAGATAGATAAACCCCGTTGCCTAGTTTCCAAAAGACCTCATAACCTCTGAGGACTCTTGCCATAGATGTGGGTGAAATGTCAGGAGAGAATGCTTCTGGAACATGGCCAGACAGCTCGGAAAACTCAAAGCAACCCAATCACAATATCATTTTTTTTGTTTTATGACAGGTATTGCCAGCCAAAATGAGCCAAGTACAATGCTAAGGATGCGTACGTGGCTTTCTGCTTTTACAATGGGCCACATCCTAGCTTTTCTGTGCACGTTTCAAAACTCTGATAAGGACGATATGTGAGACTATAGGGCGGAGCAACATGCTTTCGCTGCTTCTTCCAAGCAGTGTTGCAAGATGATAAGGTCAGGAAACCAGGTTCCACCCTTGAAAACAACAGAGAAAAATATGCACTGACCAACTTTTGAGGTGCCTGGGTGTCCATTTACAGAGACAACCACAAGCTTTTTATACCAGTAATTTACTGAAACCATTAAGCATTTGTACCTGAATTATTTCAAGCCTGTTCAATAAATGTTCTTATTATTTTTATCAACTTATACCAGCCTCAGTGTGAATACCTTTGTGGTCGAAGTATTACTAAAAGTCAGCTTCACAGCAGCCTCTGAGAAACTACAGTGGCACAGTGTGTGTTACAGAACAAACTCTCAATATTACCTCAGCCTGATTAATATTGAAATGGTGGCAGCAGAACTCATTTGAAGAATCATTTTTAAGTCTCTCAGTTCCAGTGTTTCCCAGTTCCTACCTTTTTAAATTACCAAGTGTCTCACCCTCTTCTCTGATCGAATCTCCCCTGGTTTTGTTATATAATCAGTGGGATATATTTCAACAAATAAATTAAAGAGATATTTAAATATACAGTTTGTTCAGCAACCATACTCCCTCTTCCTTTTGACGGCTTTTTATATTTTTGGGTGAACAGCACGTTCATTATATTCTTTAGGTGGTGCCTGTGTGTTTGTAGATGATGGTGGGAGCGTTATAATTTTGGCTGAGCAGTGTTGGGATTATTCTATATATTTCCCTGTCTGAATAATTTAAATTTTAAAATCTTACTACTACTCGGCCGCTCATTATAGGGGACATTTGCCTTGATTTGGGGGAGTTGTAGTTCACCTACATCCAGAGAGCACTGTGAACCCAAACACCAAGGTTGGTACTCATGCCTGATATGCCGAAATTTGATTACTGGAAGGGTTTTGGGGGGAACTGAACTTCTTTTCTGGGAGTTGTAGTTCACCCACAATCAGAGGAACTGTGACCTCTACCGATTATGGACCTGCACCAAACTTGGCACACAGAACCCCTAACCCTAATCCTATGACCAACTAAGCCTACTGGAGGGCTTTGAGAGGAGTGACTCACCATAGTGAGAGTTGTAGTTTATCCTGAAATCAGAGAGCACACTGAACCCCACTGATGATGCATCCAATGCAAACCCGCCCAACATGACATACTTTAAGGACTGATGGAGTTTCTCAGGGTTGATCTGGCATGATGGGAGTTGGAGTTCACCCACAACCTTATGCATTTTGGATTTTTTTTAAATGACATTTTCAAATAACCAAGCTAGTAGTAGTAATAATCTATATAAATAAAATGTAATGTTCGTTTGTGGGACTAACATAACTCAAAAACCACTTGATGAATCGACACCAAATTTGGACACAAGACACCTCTCAGGCAAACAAGTGACCATCATTCATAAAACATTGAAAAACACAGCAAAAAAGACTTAAAAAGCCAAAAAACCCCAAAAAATTACATTACAATGCATGCAGAAAACTATATAGATACACACACACATATATATACACCCAAAACACATATACACAGACTGGCCACAGCAACGCGTGGCAGGGGATGGCTAGTCTAGGAAAGAAAGAGGGAGGGAAGGAAGGAGAGAAAGTAAGAAGGAAAGAAAGAGGGAGGGAAGGAAGGAAGGAAGGAGGGAAAGGAAGAAGGAAAGAAAGAGGGAAGGAAGGAGAGAAAGGAAGAAGGAAAGAAAGAGGGAGGGAAGGAAGGAAGGAGAGAAAGGAAGAAGGAAAGAAAGAGGGAAGGAAGGAGAGAAAGGAAGAAGGAAAGAAAGAGCCAAGGAAGGAAGGAGAGAAAGGAAAAAGGAAAGAAAGAGGGAGGGAAGGAAGGAAGGAGAGACAGGAAGAAGCAAAGAAAGAGGGAGGGAGGGAGGGAGGGAAGGAAGGGAGGAAGGAAGGAAGGAAGGAAGGAAGGAAGGAAGGAAGGAAGGAAGGAGGAAAGGAAGAAGGAAAGAAAGAGGGAAGGAAGGAAGGAGAGAAAGGACGAAGGAAAGAAAGAGGGAGGGAAGGTTGACCACAGCAACATGTGGCAGTACAGCTAATAATAATAATAATAATAATAATAATAATAATAATAATGGAGCCTCCCTCTCTGGAGGTTTTTATGCAGAGACTGGATGGCCATCTATTGGGAGGGCTTTGATTGTGGTAGAGGGTTGGACTGGATTCTTTTTAAAGTACCAAGAGGACAATTAGGTAGGTACCTCCTGGCCGAAGCGACGATTCACAAAGGCATGGATGGTCTCATCAGGTTCGGAGCCTCGAGGAGCTACTATTTCTTTCAGGCCGCTCCAGAGCAGAGGACGGGTGAAAGGAGGCACAGTCCGGACAACGCCACTGGACCCCAGGCCCCAAAAAAGGGAAAGGAAAGAAAGAAGCCGGCACAATCAGGCCCGTAGCGAGGGGGGGGGGTTTAGGGGTTCAACCCCCCCCGAAATGTTTCAGATTTTTTAAAAAACCTGGTTTACTCATGAATTTTAACTGGTTAACCCAATCCCCATGCTAAGTCTATGAGATGCAAAAAATCAAGAGTCCCTCCAGAACTGCAAGCACTATCTCAAGCAAATATTAGCAATTTATTCACACTGTCATTACTTGCAGCAATAGCCGATGTAGTTGTTCTGGTACAGCTGTACCAGGAGCTCCAACTTTATTTGCTTTGTATTAAATGTTTGCTTGCAGTCCTAGGTTTCAGGGACTCTGCAGATAGGTGGCTTCTTTGGTTGCAGTCATAGGGCAAGTCACCTGTCCATCATCGTTAAGTTTTGGTCCACCCCTTGCTCAGGGCAATTGGGAAGGGAGCCATTTTTAGTTAGTCTCAGCAAGATAAGCTTATGTATAGGATGTGTGCAAGCTTCCCCTGTACAAAAGCTTCAACCCTTAAGACCTTCCGGGGGAGAAAGGTCTTAAGAGTCTCCAAAGAATTTCCAGGAAAACAGCCCTAAAGACCAAAGAACTCCAGCTGGAGAACATCTACTGCCTTGCTGGTAGGTCCACTCGGCGTTCGAGACGCAGTTCGACCCGGTAGCGGAGCCCACATCAGTAAGGGTTAGATTACAGTCAGCCTGGGAGAAGTTAAAAAGGGGATTTTCCTTTAAAAAAGAAGTTATTGAAGACAGTTGCCTGTCCTTCGTGGGCAAGATTAGGAATTCACCAGTTGCCTAAAAGCTTGGAATCATTTGCTTAACTTTACTGAAGACAAGAGAAGTTTCTGTTTGATTGTTCATTAATAAAAGACTTTGTTGTACTTCTCAAGCCATCTAAAGACTGTTTGTGGTGGAAACTTCTGAGAACTTCTCTTTAGGCCCCCTGGCTTCCCGCTGGGCAAAGGTTGCACATCCTGTTCTAAAGACAATTATTTACAGGCCCAGCGCATGACAGAACAGTAGTGAAGCCACCAAGTTTGGGGGGGGGGGGGATGTTGAATGCTCTCATGAAGGAGGCCAGACTTGGTGGAGGTGGTTGACAAGGGCGGAGCTGCAGGCTATTGAAGGCTGCTCTGCCCCCTGCTGTGCTCTTGGCTTCAGCGTGAGCTAGGAGGCAGGTTTCAACCCGCCCCCCCCCCCCACCAAATTTTCTGGCTACGGCCCTGGTTGTCACTACTAGATTAGAAAGAAGAGCTCGCTCACAGTCATCTCTAGGGTTCCTGGGAATGTCACTTACCCAATGCTTGAAGGGAGTTTATGCAAAGCCCCTTGAACATAGAGATAGCGGTTTTTGGAGGCCGGGTGGTCACCCGGGACAGGAAGGACATCACTCTCAAGTCCAAGTTCAGAGACCTAGGGAGGAACGGCAATCCCATAATATTCCGTCTTATTGCAGCCTTTCATTTACACCAACCATTAACTGATTTACATTTTGTGTCACTCTTCCTTTCCACGACACAGACATTCGATATTTTAGCGGCATTTCAGAATTAATAAATGGAATGGAGTCTCCTTTAAGAGAGGAAAAGGGGAATATAAATAAAAAAATTCGTGTCAGGAGCGATTTGAGAAACTGCATGTCGCTTCTGGTGTGAGAAAATTGGCCGTCTGCAAGGATGGTTCTAAGACAGTGTTTCTCAACCTGGGGGTCGCGAGAGGGTGTCAGAGGGGTCACGAAAGACCATCAGAAAACATAGTATTTTCTCTTTGTCACGGGTGTTCTGTGTGGGAAGTTTGGTGGGGTTCAGAATGCTATTTCATTGTGGGTGAACTATGAATCCCAACAACTACAGCTCCCAAATGTCAAGGTCTATTTTCTCCAAACTCTACCAGTGTTCACATTTGGGCATATTGATTATCTGTGCCAAGTTTGATCCAGATCCATCACTGTTTGAGTCCACAGTGTTCTCTGGATGTAGGTGAACTACAACTCCAAAAACTCAAGGTCAGTGTCCACCAGACTCTCCCAGTATTCTCTTGGCCATGGGAATTCTGTGTGCCAAGTCTGATTCAATTCCATCATTGGTGGAGTTCAAAAGGCTCTTTGATTTTAGGTGAACTATAAATCCCAGCAACTCCAACATTCCCAAATGACAAAATCAATCCCCTCCAACCCCACCAGTATTCAAATTTGAGCGTATTGGGTATTTGTGCCAAATTTGGTCCAGTGAATGAAAATACATCCTGCATATCAGATATTTATATTACGATTCATAGCAGTAGCAGAATTAAAGAAGTAGCAACGAAAATAACGTTATGGTTGGGGGGTCATCACAACGTGAGGACCTGTACTAAGGGGTCGCGGCATTAGGAAGGTTGAGAACCACTGTTCTAAGAGGACACCCGGATGTTTTGATCTTGTTCCATCCTTGTGGGAGGCTTTTCTCATGTCCCCGCATGGGGAGCTAGAGCTCACAGAGGGAGCTCATCCATGTTCTCCCCAGATTCGAACTTCCAACCTGTTGGTCTTCAGTCTTGCCGGCCACTAGGGGCTCCAATAATAATAATAATAATAATAATAATAATAATAATAATAATAATAATAAATTTAGACTCTGCAAGGAAGCAGATGAAACAATAGCATCCTCAGCTGCTGCAAGAAGATCGCGCAGACGGACTACAAGCAGAGGCACAACACCGTTGCTCAGATGATTCATTGGAACTTGTGCCACAAACACTATCTGCCTGCAACAAAGAACTGGTGGGATCACAAGCCGGAAAAAGTTACAGAGAATGAACACGCCAAACTGCTCTGGGACTTCCGGATTCAGACAGAGTTCTGGAGCACAACACTCCTGACCTCACAATCGTGTTAGAAAACAAAATATGGATCGTTGATGTTGCAATCCTAGGTGACAGCAGGATTGCAGAGAAACAACTGCAAAAGGTGACATGATATGAGGATTTAAAGATCGAACCGCAAAGACTCTGGCCCAAGCCAGTCAAGGTGGTCCCAATGGTGATCGGCACACTGGGTGCAGTGCCTAAAGACCTTGGCCTGCACTTAAACACAATCAGCGCTGACAAAATTACCATCTGTCACCTGCAAAAGGCCGCCTTACTGGGATCTGCACGCATTATTCACCGATCCATCAAAGTCCTAGACACTTGGGAAAGTGTCCAACATGTGATCCAATACAACAGCCAGCAGAGTGTCTGCTGTAGACTCATCTTGTTGTGTTTGTGATTTGATTGTTATGTATAATGTGTTTTAAGTGCTTATGATACTGTCTTGTGATAATTTGTACTATGTAAACCGCTCTGAGTCGCCTAAGGGATGAGAAAAGCAGTATAGAAATAAAGTAAATAAATAAATAAATTCCTAATAATAATAATAATAAACCATTAATTATATATTATATTAAATATATTATATTATTAGTGATATTTCCCTTTTAATATGTATATTTTTAGAAATCCATTTTTATCTGTATCTTTTATAGAAATACATTTTAATACGTGTATTTTACAATGTTTAAGTGTTTTAATTATTCTGTAACCCGCCTCGAGCCATGAGGAGAGGTGGTTAAGAAATTATTCTAAAATAATAAAAATATATTATAATATATTCAATATATTTAATATATTTAATATTTAATTTAATGTAATATAATATATTATAAAAATAACCCATCTCGAGCCATGAGGAGAGGTAGATAAGAAATTATTCTAAAATAATAAAAATATAATATATTTAATATAATCTATATATATAAATTTCCTCCTGGCGTCGTATGAGGAAACAAAACTCTAAAACCCCCCAACGAAACTCCACCAAACTTCCCATGCCCCAAGGGCAACCAACAAGGTACAAACTAATCCAGTCAGAAATCAAAAACACACAACAACAACCACAATAAACGGCAAAGCAACTGAGCATGCGCACTGGCGCAAACTCCCTGGCGCGCGCACACACATGGCCCCTCACCCCCCCCGCGCCCCTTCACACCCCCCGCGCGGCATTAGATCCATAGAATAGAGTTGAAAGGGACAGTCGAGAAGTAATGAGAGAAGGAGGGAAAGAGAAGGAATGAAGGAGAGAAAGGGGGAAGGAAGGAGAAAAGGAAATAAAGTTAAAGGAAACAGAAGGAAGGAGAGAAGGAACAAAAGACAGAGGGAAGGAAGGAAGGAAGGAAAGAGGGAAAGGGCGAGGGGGGGCGAGGGGGGGCCCGGCTCCCCCTCCGCCTCTGCCGCCTCCTCCTCTGCAGGCAGACCCGGGAATCTCGCCCCTGCCACCGCCACCGCCGCGCCTGATGTCACCGGCCCCGCAGGTTGGTTGCGGGAGAGGCGCGCCATTCCCCACAGACACGCCGCCGCCAAAAAGGGGCCGGCCAAGCAGGACGCCCCGGTGAAGGAGGCCCACAACGTCGCCTTGCCAACTGGGATGCCCCCCCCCCCCCCCCACCCCCCCCCTGCCTCGCCAAGGGGATCCGAGAGAGGGAGAAGGGGCGCGCCGGAGGCAGGGGTTTCCTACTGCCGCTGCTTCCAGACAGGGGTCTGCCCCGCTGTCATACCGGTTGTGGGTCCACCACCTGAGTCGGGAGCAACATCACGGTTGGGAAGGGGGAGGCAGAAACAGAAGGAAGGAGGGAGGGAGGGAAGGAAGGAAGGAAGGAAGGAGAGAAAGAAACACAAGGAAAAAAGGAAGGAGGGAAGGAAAGACAGAAGAAATAAAGGAGGGAAGGAAAGAAAAAAGGAAGGAAGGAAAGCAGAAAGGGAAGACTGAAATGGAAGGAAGGAAGGAAGGAAGGAAGGAAGGAAGGAAGGAGAGAGAAACACAAGGAAAAAAGGAGAGGGAAGGAAGAAGAAGAAAAGGAAGGAAAGAAAGAAAAAGGAGGAAGGAAAGAAAAAAGTGAAAGGGAAGGAAGGAAGGGAGGAAGGAAGGAGGAAGGGAGGAAGGAAGGAAGGAAGGAGAGAAAGAAACACAAGGAAAAAAGGAAGGAGGGAAGGAAAGACAGAAGAAATAAAGGAAGGAAGGAAAGAAAAAAGGAAGGAAGGAAAGCAGAAAGGGAAGACTGAAATGGAAGGAAGGAAGGAAGGGAGGAAGGGGAGGAAGGGAGGAAGGAAAGGACAATACATCTATCAGGCCATTGAGTTACCATCACTCATAAAAACACTGAAAAACACAGCAGACGAGACTTACAAACCCAAAAAACAAATCCACTACAATGCATGCACATAACCACATTGTTCCCCTGACATTAAGTCCAGTTGTGTCCGATTTGGGGGAGGGGGGGGGTGTTGGTGCTCATCTCCATTTCTAAGCCCAACAGCCGGCGTTATCCATAGACACCTCCAAAGTCATGAGGCCTGCATGGAGCACCCTTACCTTCCCGCCAGAGAGGTACCTATTGATCTACTCACATTTTCAGGTTTTCAAATTCCTAGGTTGGCAGAAGCTGGGGCTAACAGCAGGAGCTCATGCCGCTCCCTGGATTCAAACCTCCAACCTTTCCGTTACCAAGTTTCACAGTTTAACCCACTGCGGGCTTCAGCATAACCACATGTGTATTTATGCATAAACACATACACACACACATATACACATATATACACACACAAAACACATACACAGAGATTGGGCCACAGCAACGCGTGGCAGGGGACAGCTAGTATAATATAAAATTTAATATAATATATTATAAAATATAAAATAATAAAAATATAAAAAGGGAGCTAAGTCATAGAATAATAGAATAATAGAGTTGGAAGAGACCTCCTGGGCCATCCAGTCCAACCCCATTCTGCCAAGAAGCAGGAAAATTGCATTCAAATCACCTCTGACAGATGGCCATCCTGCCTCTGTTTAAAAGCTTCCAAAGAAGGAGCCTTCACCACACTCCGGGGCAGAGAGTTCCACTGCTGAACAGCTCTCACAGTCAGGAAATTCTTCCTAATGTTCAGATGGAATCTCCTTTCTTGTAGTTTGAAGCCAGTGTTCTGCGTCTTAGTCTCCAGGGAAGCAGAAAACAAGTGTATTGTGTTGTTGTTCATAGAATCATAGAGTTGGAAGAGACCCCATGGGCCATCAATGTCCAACCCCATTCTGCCAAGAAGCAGGAATATTGCATTCAAATCATCCCTGACAGATGGCCATCCAGCCTCTGTTTAAAAACTTCCAAAGAAGGAGCCTCCACCACACTCCGGGGCAGAGAGTTCTCATTATTCTCATTATTATGAGATTATTATTATTATTCTGCAATGGACTGACCCTTCAAAGAAGGAGATAAGGGAGGCAGGGATATTATTGTGAGAATATTGTATTATTATTGTTGTTGTTGTTGTTGTTATGCACAAGGCAGACCACCCCCCTCCCTCCAAAGGGAGCCAGATATATTATTATGAGAATATTACTATTATTATGCACTGGGCTGCCCCCCCAAAAAGGGAGATAGCAGAAGAAGGGATATTATTGTGAGAATATTGCATTATTATTATAATAATTATTATTATTGTTATACACTAGGCCAGTGTTTCTCAACCTGGGGGTCGGGACCGCTGAGGGGGTCGCGAGGGGGTGTCAGAGGGGTCGCCAAAGACCATAAGAAAACACAGTATTTTCTGATGGTCATGGGGATTCCATGTGGGAAGTTTGAGCCAATTCTATTGTTGGTGGAGTTCAGAATGTTCTTTGATTGTAATGAACTATAAATCCCAGCAACTCCAACGTCCAAATGTCAAGATCTATTTTCCCCGGACTCCACCAGTGTTCACATTTGGGCATATTGAGTATTCATGCCAAGTTTGGTCCAGATCCACCATTGCATGTCCACAGCGCTCTCTGGATATAGGTGAACTACAACTCCCAAACTCAAGGTCAATGCCCATCAAACCCTTCCAGTGTTTTCCATTGGTCATGGGAGCCAAGTTTAGTTCAAATCCATCGCTGGTGGAGTTCGGAATGCTCTTTGATTATAAGTGAACTTTAAATCCTAGCAACTACAACTCCCAAATTACAAAATCAATCCCTGCCCAACCCCACTAGCATTCACATTTGGGTGTATTGGGTATTGGTGCCCAGTTTGGTCCAGTGAATGAAAATGCATCCTGCATATCAGATATTTACATTATGATTTATAACAGTAGTAAAATGACTGTTAGGAAGTAGCAATGAAAACAATATTATGGTTGGGGGTCACCACAACATGGGGGACTGTATTAAGGGGTCACGGCCTTAGGAAGGTTGAGAACCACTGCACTAGGCCAATATATTTTAACACATATATTAAATTAAAGAATTGTGTAATGCTATATTAAATTGTATTAGCTACATTAAATTGTTATGTAATGTTATTAAAATAGCCCAATTCCATTTTGACGCAAGCTGGCTGAATCGGCTATCATGGCTGTGTCTCCATTCCCTCCCTTCTCTTCTATAGGCCCAACATACCATAAGAAGGGTATTCTTGCCCACATTCCCAGCGGGCCGGACCCCTCTGGGGCCATGTTCAAAAACAGCTCCATCCTCTGTCCGCGTGGAACTGATCCAACCTCCCAAGCGGCTGCTGCTTTCCAGAAGGATGACCTAAAGAAGAAGAAGACCTGAATGTGATCCAACAGGACGATGTGTCGGCTTTCCCCATCATTTCCTCTATTGCAGTGTTTCTCAACGTTGGGACCCCTGGGGGGTCGCCAGGGGGGTTTCAAAGGGGTCGCCAAAGACCATCAGAAAACACATATATCTGATGGTCTTAGGAACCCTTTTGGTAGAGAAGGCTGAAGATCTCTTCACCTTCCCTTCTCTTCCTTTTTGGTGTTGGTGAACTACAACACCCAGAATTCAAAACCAACGCCCACCTCAACCCCACCAGTATTCAATGTTGGCCATGTAGGTAGTGTACCAAGTATGGTACAAATCCATTTTGGACTGGGTTCAGATTGTAGGTGAACTATAAATCCCTGCAACTACAACTTCCAAGGTCTATTTTCTCCCAAACTCCACCAGTGTTCACATTTGGGCATATTGAGTATTCATGCTAAGTTTGGTCCAGATCAATCATTGTTTGAGTCCATAGTGCTCTCTGGATGTAGGTGAACTACAGCTCCCAAACTCAAGGTCACTTCCCACCAAACCCTTCCAGTATTTTCTCTTGGTCATGGGAGTTCTCTATGCCAAGTTTGGTTCAATTCCATTGTTGGTGAAGTTCAGAATGCTCTTTGATTGTAGATGAACTATAAATCCCTGCAACTACAACTTCCAAATGTCAAGGTCTATTTTCYCCCAAACTCTTCCAGTGTTCACATTTGGGCATATTGAGTATTCATGCTAAGTTTGGTCCAGATCCATCATTGTTTGATTCCACATTGCTGTCTGGATGTAGGTGAACTACAACTCCCAAACTCAAGGTCACTTCCCACCAAACCCTTCCAGTATTTTCTCTTGGTCATGGGAGTTTTCTGTGCCAAGTTTGGTTCAATTCCATCATTGGTGGAGTTCACAATGCTCTTTAATTGTAGGTGAACTATAAATCCCAGCAACTCCAACGACCAAATGTTAAGGTCTATTTCTCCCCAAACTCCATCAGTGTTCACATATGGGCATATTGAGTATTTATGCTAAGTTTGGTCCAGATCCATCATTGTTTGAGTCCACAGTGCTGTCTGGATGTAGGTGAACTACAACTCCCAAACTCAAGGTCACTTCCCACCAAACCCTTCCAGTATTTTCTCTTGGTCATGGGAGAACTGTGTGCCAAGTTTGGTTCAATTCCATTGTTGGGGGAGTTCAGAATGCTCTTTGATTGTAGATGAACTATAAATCCCAGCAACTACAACTCCCAAATGACAAAATCAGTGTCCACCAGTATTCAAATTAGGGTATAATTGTGTGTTTCTGCCAAATTTGGTCCAGTGAATGAAAATACATCCTGCATATCAGATGTTTACATTATTTATTTATTTGCTATATTTATATGCCGCCCTTCTCACCCCGAAGGGGACTCAGAGCGGCTTACGAGGTATAGATTACATACAATATATTACATTATTAGCATAGTACAATATCAGCATTAAACATTACTATATTGCACCATACCACTATATCGTAATATTATTAGTAATATTACATGTAATATAAATATATAATTATATATTATTATTATTATTATTATTATTATTATTATTATTATTATTATATTGCATTACATTATAATACCATAAATTCACAACTATTATTATATTGCATTACATTATCTATATAAATAAAAATGTAATGTTTGTTTGTGGGATTAAGAGAACTCAAAACCCACTGGATGAATTGACACCAAATTTGGACACAAAACACCCAACAACCCAATGTATGTCCATTAAAAAAAATGATATTGTCATTAGGAAGTTGTAGTTGCTGGGATTTATAGTTCACCTACAATCAAAGAGCATTCTGAACCCCACCAATGATGGAATTGAACCAAACTTGGCACACAGTTCTCCCATGACCAACAGAAAATACTGGAATGGTTTGGTGGGCAGTGTCCTTTGGTTTTGGAGTTGTAGTTCACCTACATCCAAAGATGACTGTGTACTCAAACAATGATGGATCTGGACCAAACTCTACAAGAATACTCAATATGCCCAAATGTGAACACTGGTGGAGTTTGGGGAAAATAGAATCTTGACATTTGGGAGTTGTTGTTGCTGGGATTTATAGTTCACCTATACTCAAAGAGCATTCTGAACCCCACCAATGATGGAATTGAACCAAACTTGGCACACAGAACTCCCATGACTAAGAGAAAATACTGGAAGGGTTTGGTTGGCATTGCCCTTGAGTTTTGGAGTTGTAGTTCACCTATATCCAAAGAGCACTGTGAACTCAAACAATGAGGCATCTGGACCAAACTTGGCACAAGTACTCAATATGCCCAAATGTGAACACTGGTGGAGTTTGGGGGAAATAGACCTTGACATTTGGGAGTTGTAGTTCACCTACAATCAAAGAGCATACAACCCCACCAATAATAGAATTGGGCCAAACTACCCACACAGAACCCGCATGCCTTGCCCAAATGTGAACACTGGTGGAGTTTGGGGAAAATAGAACCTTGATATTTGGGAGTTGTTTTTGCTGGGATTTATAGTTCATCTATACTCAAAGAGCATTCTGAACCAGACCAATGATAGAATTGGGCCAAACCTCCCACACAGAACCCCCATGTGGGCCACAGCAACGCGTGGCACGGAACGGTTGGTAATATTATAAATTACAATTATTCAACGGTGGCAAATTAACAGTTCTGAAGTAGCAACGAAAATAATATTATGGTTGGGGGTGACCACAACATGAGGAACTGTATTTAAGGGGTCGCAGCATTAGGAAGGTTGGGAATCACTACTCTATTGGAAATTAATGGAGTCACCATGGCAGCTAAAGTGCTATCAAACTGCATTCAACCTGCAGTATAGATACACTGACAGGAAAAGGGGCTCACCTTGGGCGCCTGGGGGCTCCTGGAGAGGTAGTAGCAGGCGGCCAAGCCACTGACCCCACCGCCGAGGACGGCCACAGTCCGCTGCATGGGAAACCTGCAAGAAGCAGGGCAAAGAGAGAAATCACTGACTACAGATTTTTATTTACTTACTAGCCATCCCCTGCCATGTGTTGCTGTGGCCCAGTCTGGTGATCTGGAAAATAAAGTAAAGTGTTGGTTTCTAAGTATTGTCAAAGGCTTTCATGGCCAGAATCGTAGGTTTTTTCGGGCTATATGGACATGGTCTAGAGGCATTCTCTCCTGACGTTTCGCCTGCATCTATGGCAAGCATCCTCAGAGGTAGTGAAGTCTGTTGGAACTATGAAAATGGGTTTATATATCTGTGGAATGACCAGGATGGGACAAAGGACTCTTGCCTGCTGGAGCTAGGTGTGAATGTTTCAACTGACCACCTTGATTAGCATATAATGGCCTGACAGTGCCTGGAGCAAACTTTTGTTGAGAGGTGATTTGATGTCCTTGTTTGTTTCCTCTCTGTTGTTGTGCTGTTGTAATTTTAGCGTTTTTGTTGGTTTCTAATATTTTTAATTTCTTTCTGCTTGTGGGTAAACAGTATTTCTTGCTGTTTCTTTGTCAAAAGACGAAGGAAGGAAGAAAAAGGGAAGGAGAAAGTTATGACGGAAGGGAAGAAATAAAAGGGAAGAAAGAAGGGATGAAGGAAGGAGGGAAGAAAGAAAAAGATGGGAAAGAAAAGGAAAAGAAGGGAAAGACAGGGAGGAAGAGAAGAAAGAAGAAGGAAGGAAGAAAAAGGGGAGGAGAAAGGTATGAGGGAAGGGAAAGGAAGAAATAAAAGGGAAGAGAAAGGAAGGGAAGAAAGAAGGAGGGAAGAAAGAAAAAGAAGGGAAAGAAAGGAAGGAAGAGAAGAAAGAAGGAGAAGAAAGAAAAGGAAAAGGAGAAAGTTATGAGGGAAGGGAAAGGAAGAAATAAAAGGGAAGAGAAAGGATGAAAGAAGGAGGGAAGAAATAAAGAAGGGAAAGAAAGGGAGGAAGAAAAGAAAGAAGGAAGAAAGAAAAGGGGAAGGAGAAAGGTATGAGGGAAAGGAAGAAATAAAAGGGAAGAAAGAAGGGATGAAGGAAGGAGGGAAGAAAGAAAAAGAAGGGAAAGAAAGGGAGGAAGAGAAGAAAGAAGAAGGAAGAAAAAGGGAAGGAGAAAGGCATGAAGGAAGGGAAGAAATAAAAGGGAAGGGAAAAGAAGGGACGAAAGGAGGGAAGAAAGGAGGGAAGAAAGAAAAAGGGAAAGAAGGAAAAAGAAGGGAAAGAAAGGGAGAGAAAGGAGGAAGAAAGAAGAAAGAAAAAGAAGGGAAAGAAAGGGAAAAAGAAGGGGAAAGGAGGAAGGAAAGAAAGAGACACAAATACTACTACTAATAGTACTACTAGTATTAAAGAGACACTACAAAGGAAGGAGGGAAGACTAGTAGTACTAGTACTACTACTACTACTAGTAGTAAAGAGACACAAATACTACTACCAATAGTACTAGTAGTACTAGTAGTAAAGTGACACTACAAAGGAAGGAGGGAAGACTAGTAGTACTAGTACTACTACTAGTAGTAGTAAAGAGACAAATACTACTAGTACTACTACTACTAGTAGTAATAATAATAAAGAGACTACAAAGGAAGGAGGGAAGACTAGTAGTACTAGTACTACTACTACTAGTGACAAATACTACTAATAGTACTAGTACTACTAGTAGTAGTAGTAGTAAAGTGACACTACAAAGGAAGGAGGGAAGACTAGTAGTACTAGTACTACTAGTAGTAAAGAGACACAAATACTACTACTAATAGTACTACTAGAAGTACTACTACTACTAATAATAATAATAATAATGTGTTACTTGCCTCTCCTCACAACTCCAGGCTGTCCACTTGTAAACACTCAGGCCAAGCACTACAGCATTAAAAGACCAAAGTACCCATACTCAGAAAAGTTGAAGTCCAAAGGCATCCAAACAGACTGAACAGATGCAGGAAGTGCTGGGCTATAAGCAGGTCACGTGAGCGCCACAAGCCCCGCCCCCTCCCCTGATCTTCCTAACCATCCCAGTCCCTAGTTTGACACAAGCAGGTACTTCCTGCGCATGCGCTCCACCGCCTGCCACAGAATTTAAAACCCCGCCCACTCCGGCTGTGATTGGCTACCGCTGCTGGTGACGTAACGTTCAGGCTCAAAGTGGAATGAAAAGGCGGAGCGAGGCCTGCGATTGGTTACCCCCGGAGGTGACGTCATGTTCATGCTCAAAAATAGAGGAGGCAGAGCAAGATTAAAGGCAGTGCAGAGAAAGTCAACCACAGACCATCTATTACAATGCAAAAAGAGTTTGATCCAGGCACAGTCAGCCTATTGTATGCTAATCAAGGGGGTCAGTTGAAACAGTCACACCTAGCTCCAGAAGACAAGAGTCCTTTGTCCCACCCTGGTCATTCCACAGATATATAAACCCTTTTTCCTACTTCCAACAGACCTCACTACCTGTGAGGATGCTTGCCAAAGATGCAGGCGAAACGTCAGGAGAGAATGCCTCTAAAACATGGCCATACAGCTCTAGGTGCTCTTACTGCCTACTACAGGGAAAACCAGCTGATCCCTAATCCATCTAAAACACAGACATGTGCCTTTCATCTCAAGAACAGACAAGCATCCCGAGCTTTGAGGATCACCTGGGAAGGAATCCCACTGGAGCATTGCAGCGCACCCAAATACCTGGGAGTCACTCTGGACCGTGCTCTGACCTACAAGAAGCACTGCCTGAACATCAAGTAAAAAGTGGGTGATAGAAACAATATCATACGATAGCTGACTGGCACAACCTGGGGATCACAACCAGATACAGTGAAGACATCTGCCCTTGCGCTCTGCTACTCTGCTGCTGAGTACGCATGCCCAGTGTGGAACACATCTCACCACACTAAAACAGTAAATGTGGCTCTTAATGAGACATGCCGCATTATCACGGGGTGTCTGCGCCCTACACCACTGGAGAAATTGCACTGCTTAGCCAGTATTGCACTACCTGACATCCGCCGGGAAGTAACAGCCAATAGTGAAAGGACCAAGGCAGAGACTTCTCCGGCTCATCCCTTGTTTTGGGTATCAGCCAGCACGTCAACGACTTAAATGAAGAAATAGTTTTCTTAGATCTACAGAGACACTCGCTGGAACACCTCAGCAAGCGAGAGTCCAAAAGTGGCAGGCTCAAACCCAGCACCTCAATCCGTGGGTGATACCAGATGAGAGACTCCCCCCTGGGCACACAGAAGACTGGGCAACTTGGAAGGCGCTGAACAGACTGCGCTCTGGCACCACGAGATGCAGAGCCAATCTTAAGAAATGGGGCTACAGGGTGGAATCCACGGCATGTGAGTGCGGAGAAGAGCAAACCACTGACCACCTGCTGCAATGGACCCTGAGCCCCACCACATGCACGATGGAAGACCTTCTTGTGGCAACACCAGAGGCACTCCAAGCGGCCAGATACTGGTCAAAGGACATTTAATCAGCTACCAAGTTTGCAAAATTTGTGCGTTTTTTTATAAGTTTGTTTGTTTTGTTCTGTTAGAAATGTAATACAATGTTCTGGTTGCGGATGACACAATAAATAAGCAGACAAGAGTCCTTTGTCCCACCCCGGTCATTCCACAGATATATAAACCCATTTTCCTACTTCCAACAGACCTCACTACCTCTGAGGATGCTTGCCATAGTTGCAGGCGAAACGTCAGGAGAGAATGCCTCTAGAACATGACCATACAGCCCGCAAAAACCTACAACAACCCATATTACAATGCAGTTTGAGCCCTACCACATGCACAATACAGGCCCTTCTTATAGAGGCACTCCCAAGTGGGCAGCTTCTGCTCAAAGGACATTAAATAGAATGCCAAGTTTTTAAACTTCGTGTTTTCTCAAATACATTGGTTTGCTCCTGATACGATAAATACTTGCCTCCAGCAGACAAGAGTTGTTTCTCCCACCCTGGACATCACCTGGATATCAACCCCATTTGCCTAGTTTCCAACCTCTGATGATGGCTGCCATAGATGTGGGCAAAACGTCAGGAGAGAATGCTTCTGAAACATACAGCCCGGAAAACTCAGCAATCAATTATTATTATTATTATTATTATTATTATTATTATTATTATTAGAAACACAACAAGATGAGTCCACAGCAGACACTCTGCTGGGGCTGTTGAATTGGATCACACATCTAACACTTCCCAAGTCATAGAATCCTAGAATCCTAGAGTTGGAAGAGACCTCCTGAGCCATCCAGTCCAACCCCATTCTGCCAAGAAGCAGGAATATTGCATTCAAATCACCCCTGACAGATGGCCATCCGGCATCTGTTTAAAAGCTTCCAAAGAAGGAGCCTCCACCACACTCCGGGGCAGAGAGTTCCACTGCTGAACGGCTCTCACAGTCAGGAAGTTCTTCCTCATGTTCAGATGGAATCTCCTTTCTTGTAGTTTGAAGCCATTGTTCCGCGTCCTAGTCTCCAGGGAAGCAGAAAACAAGCTTGCTCCCTCCTCCCTGTGGCTTCCTCTCACATATTTATACATGGCTATCATGTCTCCTCTCAGCCTTCTCTTCTTCAGGCTAAACATGCCCAGCTCCTTAAGCCGCTCCTCACAGGGCTTGTTCTCCAGACCCTTGATCATTTTAGTCGCCCTCCTCTGGACACATTCCAGCTTGTCAATATCTCTCTTGAATTGTGGTGCCCAGAATTGGACTCAATATTCCAGGTGTGGTCTAACCAAGGCAGAATAGAGCATGGGGAGCATGACTTCCCTAGATCTAGACACTATGCTCCTATTGATGCAGGCCAAAATACCATTGGCTTTTTTTGCCACTACATCACATTGTTGGCTCATGTTTAACTTGTTGTCCACGAGGACTCCAAGATCTTTTTCACACGTACTGCTCTCAAGCCAGGCATCGTCCCCCATTCTGTATCTTTGCATTTCGTTTTTCTGCCAAAGTGGAGTATCTTGCATTTGTCACTGTTGAACTTCATTTTGTTAGTTTTGGCCCATCATCTCTCTAATCTGTCAAGATCGTTTTGAATCCTGCTCCTGTCCTCTGGAGTCTTGGCTCTCCCAATTTGGTGTCGTCTGCAAACTTGATGATCCTGCCTTCTAGCCCTTCATCTAAGTCATTAATAAAGATGTTGAACAGGACCGGGCCCAGGACGGAACCCTGCGGCACTCCACTTGTCACTTCTTTCCAAGATGAAGAGAAGCATTAGTGAGCACTCTCTGTGTTCGTCCACTTAACCAATTACAGATCCACCTCACCGTAGTTTTGCCTAGCCCACATTGGACTAGTTTCCTTGCCAGAAGGTCATGGGGGACCTTGCCGAAGGCCTTACTGAAATCCAGGTACGCTACATCCACGGCATTCCCCGCATCTACCCAGCTTGTAACTCTATCAAAAAAAGAGATCAGATTAGTCTAGCATGACTTGTTTTTGATCAATCATGGTTGACTGTTAGTGATGACCACATTCATTTCTAAGTGTTTGCAGTCCACTTCCTTAATGATCTTTTCCAGAATCTTGCCTGGTATCGACATGAGGCTGACCTAAGTAATTGTTTGGGTCATCCTTTTTTCCCCTTCTTGAAGATTGGGACCACACTGGCCCTCCTCCAATCTGCCGGAACTTCTCCTGTTCTCCAAGAACTCTCAAAGATGGTTGCCAATAGTTCCGAAATGACTTCCCCTAGTTCCTTCAATACTCTTGGGTGTAGTTGATCTGGCCCTGGGGACTTGAACTCATTTAGAGCGGCCAGGTATTCCTGGATGACTTGTTTCCCAATTTGGGGTTGGATGTCCTCTACTCCCTCATCCACTCCATCTTGCTGAGGATGAAGATTACTTTCTTTTTGTGAGAAGACCGAGGCAAAGAAGGCATGAAGTAGTTCTGCCTTTTCCCTATCCCCTGTCAGCATTGCCCCATCTTCTCCTCGAAGAGGCCCTATCGCCTCCTTGTTTTTCCTTTTTCTACTGACATAAGAAAAGAAGCCCTTTTTATTCTTTTTAATGTCCCTGGCAAGCCTGAGCTTGTTTTGTGCTTTAGCCTTGCGGACCTTTTCTCTACAGGTGTTGGCTATTTCTTTGAATTCTTCTTTGGTGATTTTTCCCTTTTTCCACTTCTTGTGCACTTCTGCTCAAGATACTGTTTACCCACAAGCATAAAGAAATTACATATATTAGAAACAAACGTTTTCTAATGACTTTATTTTCCACATCACATCACCAGACTGGGCCACAGCAATGCGTGGCTGGGGACCGCTAGTATAGTATAAATGTATTCTGAAATCACCCCTCAATGAGAAATGAGACAAAACCTTTTTTTTTTTTTTAGTAAATTTATTCACAAAAAAAGAGTTTCAACCTTTTCATTGTTCTGTCTTTTTACCTATGTACAAAGCCATCATTATGTACAAAGTCACATCGTTGTTAAAATCAGTAGCGGACGTCATTTCACCTGAGGGGTTGGGGGATGGACGGACAGACAGACGGATGAAGGAGGTGCCACCCGCCTCAGTTTCCCTCTCTGTCAGGCTTGACCCCTACAACCTAGACTCTTCCATGGGACGAGCCTCATCCTGGTAATCAAAGGAAGCCGGGGGAAAACAAAAATAAAGCAACCCACAGGACAAAGGTGGATGAACCAGCTCACTCTGAGAAACCAACTCCACACAGTGTTTGTTTTCTTATTGTTTTTTTTTTAGTTTTTGTCTTATTTTAATTAAAAAAGAGAAAGAAAACCGAGTTGCAGTCTCTGAGGTAAGAGGGCAGTCGAGCAAAACGCTAGGGCATCCAGTCCTTTCCTTTTTTTTTTGTTTCTACTGCTTCTTCCAGTGCATGTCGTCCAGCTCGTAAAAAAGGACATATCCCTCGCTGGATGGGACCTGGTTCTCGCTGATCGGAGAAACACTGTCAAAGAAAGAAAGAAGACAGGAATCATGGGAATGTCAAGTTGGGAGAGCCCCCAAAGACCATCCAGTTTGAACCCATTCTGCCAGGCAGGAAGACACAATCAAAGCCCTCCCGACAGCTGCTGAATCTTAAGAATTCTACAGTTGGGACCGCAAGAGCCAACCAGCCTGACCCCATTCTGCTGTAGACACAATACAATACATATCCAGCAAATAAAAGCATAGACCAGTGTTTCTCAACCTGGGGGTCGGGACCCCTGGGGGGGTCGCAAGGAGATGTCAGAGGGGTAACCAAAGACCATCAGAAGGCACAGTATTTTCTGTTAGTCATGAGGGTTCCATGAGGGTTAGTTTGGCCCAATTCTAGCATTGGTGGGGTTCAGAATGCTCTTTGATTGTAGGTGAACTATAAATCCCAGCAACTACAATTCCCAAATGTCAAGGTCTATTTCCCCCCAAACTCCACCAGTGTTCACATTTGGGCACATTGAGTATCCGTGCCAAGTTTGGTCTAGACCCATCATTGCTTGAGTCCACAGTGCCCTCTGAATGTAGGTGAACTACAACTCTAAAACCAAGGTCAATGCCCACCAAACCCTTCCTGTATTTTCTCTTGTGAACACTGGCGGAGTGTGGGGAAAATAGACCTTGACATTTGGGAGTTGTAGTTGCTGGGATTTAAAGTTCACCTACAATCAAAGATCATTTTGAACCCCACCAACTTTGAATTGGACCTAACTTTCCACACAGAACCCAGACGACCARCAGAACATACTGYGTTTTCTGATGGTCTTTGGCGACCCCYCTGACAMCCTCTCRTGRCCCACCCAGGGGTCCTGACCCCCAGGTTGAGAAACGCTGGTCTAGACCCATCATTGCTTGAGTCCACAGTGCCCTCTGGATGTAGGTGAACTACAACTCCAAAATTCAAGGTCAATGCCCACCAAACCCTTCCCGTATTTTCTCTTGGTCATGGGAGTTCTGTGTGCCAAGTTTGGTTCAATTCCCGCATTGCTGGAGATCGGAATGGTTTTTGATTGTAGGTGAACTATAAGTCCCAGGAACTACAACTCACAAATGACAAAATCAGTTATCTCTCCCCCCCCCCCCCCCCCCCCCCCCCCCCGGGGTATTCAAATTTGGGCATATCACATATTGGTATCAAATACATCCTGCATATCAGATATTTATACAATGATTCATAACAGTAGCAAAATTACAGTTGTGAAGTAGCAACGAAGATAATTTTATGGTTGGGGGTCACCACAACATGAAGAACTGTATTAAGGGGTCGCGGCATTAGGGAGGTTGAGAAACACTGGCATAGACAATAGAGCAGCGTTTATTTATTTATTCACTGTATTAGAGTCTCCTCATTATCAAGTATTGTCCAGTTCCATTGTCAAATCCTTCGATTTCCTATATTAGCTACTCTGCATTTGCAAACGCTTGCTCGAACAGCCATGTTTTAACTTGCCTCCAAAACATTAAGAGGGAGGGAGCAAACCTAATCTCCCTAGGGAGGGTGTTCCATAGCCGAGGGGCCAGCACTGAAAAGGCCCTGTCTCTCCTCCCCGCTTGAGACGAAGGCAGGACCGAGAGCAGGACCTCCCCAATCTTGGAGTCCTCGATGGTTCGTAAGGGGAGACATGTTCGGACAGGTAAGTTGGGCCAGAACCTAGGCCAACTTACCTTTCTCAACCTGGGAGTCGGGACTCCTGGGGGTGGGGGTGGGATCATAAGAATATGTCAGAGTAGTCGCCAAAGACAATCAGAAAACACAGTATTTTCTGTTGGTTGTAGAGGTTCTGTGTGGGAAGTTTGCTGGCAGAACTGAAGACCGACAGGTTGCAGGTTCGAATCCGGGGAGAGCACGGATGAGCGCCCTCTATCAGCTCCAGCTCCTCATGCAGGGACATGAGAGAAGCCTCAAACAAGGATGATAAAACATCAAAACATCCGGGCGTCCTCTGGGCAACGTCCTTGCAGACGGCCAACTCTCACATAGAATCATAGAATCCTAGAGTTGGAAGAGACCTCGTGGGCCATCCAGTCCAACCCCATTCTGCCAAGAAGCAGGAATATTGCATTCAAATCACCCCTGACAGATGGCCATCCAGCCTCTGTTTCAAAGCTTCCAAAGAAGGAGCCTCCACCACACTCTGGGGCAGAGAGTTCCACTGCTGAACGGCTCTCACGGTTGGGAAGTTCTTCCTCATGTTCAGGTGGAATCTCCTTTCTTGTAGTTTGAAGCCATTGTTCCGTGTCCTAGTCTCCAAGGAAGCAGAAAACAAACTTGCTCCTTCCTCCCTGTGACTTCCTCTCACATATTTATACATAGCTATCATATCTCCTCTCAGCCTTCTCTTCTTCAGGCTAAACATGCCCAGCTCTTTAAGCTGCTCCTCAAAGGGCTTGTTCTCCAGATCCCTGATCATTTTAGTCGCCCTCCTCTGGACACATTCCAGCTTGTCAATCATCTGAGGAGGCCCTGCTCTCAGTCCCGCCTCCACCTCAGATGCGCTTGGTGGGAACGAGACAGGGCCTTCTCAGTGGTGGCCTCTCGGCTGTGGAACACCCTTCCTAGGGACATTAGATTGCCCCCCTCCCTCTTAACATTTCGCAAAAAGTTAAAACTTGGCTTTTTGAGCAGGCATTTGCAAACGCAATGTAACAGGCAATGATAAACCAGGGAATGACTGACGATGCAATTGAATACTGACTGGGTTGTTGTAGGTTTTTTCGGGCTATATGGCCATGGTCTAGAGGCATTCTCTCCTGACGTTTCGCCTGCATCTATGGCAAGCATCCTCAGAGGTATTTAGGTCTGTTGAAACTGCAAGGTGCTTCTGGTGTGAGAGAATTGGCCGTCTGCAAGGACGTTGCCCAGGGGACGCCCAGATGATTTGATGTTTTTATCATCCTTGTGGGAGGCTTCTCTCATGTCCCCGCATGAGGAGCTGGAGCTGATAGAGGGAGCTCGTCCGCCTCTCCCCAGATTTTAACCTGCGACCTGTCGGTCTTCAGTCCTGCCGGCACAGGGGTTTAACCCACTGCGCCACCGGGGGCTCCATAGTGGTAGTGAGGGGTGGTGAATAGTGATTTCAGTAAGGAGATGTTAAGGATATATGATTTTATTGACTTTTTATGAAACTATATTTTATATGCTATGTTTTTAACAGTATTTCATATGTTGGGGGGCATTAAATTATGTCAAGTGTAAACCACATTGAGTCACCTTTAGGCTGAGAAAGGCGGTATATAAATATGGTAAATAAATACATAAACACATCAAAACAGATGCTAGGCCTTCCCGATCAAAACTTCTTACTAACAGGTAGTGAGGTCCTTTTCTAATCTTTTGTTTATTATCATGTTGAAACTTTTGAGTGTTGTTAAAAGCTGTTTGCTTATTTTATACCACTGGAGAAGGTTTCTTATTATTAATATACATAGCCAGATAGCTGATTTTAATATATTAACTGAAAACCCACTTTTACCTACCGGGAATCGTTGTACACCCGCCAGCCAGACTGGTCCTTGCAGAAGGCTGTGTAGTGGCCATAGTGTACGCTGCCAGAGTGGTTACAGAGGGCATATAGGTTGTACACAGGAGTCCCTGCAAGAAAAAGGGGCAGGGAAACATATTTGAAAAGGACATATATTATTTTGGTCATTGTTATGTTTTCAAAAACAGTTTGGATGAAATGGTCTCAGAATGAAAGGCTTCACTTGTGTGGTCGGCAGTATGGTGTTTGTGGTGGACACCGTCAGGGCTCTTGGACATGTTCATGGCGCTCACTGTAACCTTCAAATACAATTCTAATAATAATAATAATAATAATAATAATAATAATAATAATAATAAGCCTTTCAAAGAGCCATCCAGTCATAAATATAGATAGATAGATATGATTCCCACACACACACACAGATATAGTATCATAGATTTGAAAGAGACCCTTAAAGAAGGACTATGATATGTTGCATATTCCAGAGTAGGCAAACCAGACACTCTCCACATCAACACTGACAAAGAAACAACAAGAAATACTGTTTACTCACAAGCAGAAAGGAATTACATATATTAGAAACCAACACTTTCTCATTCCTTCATTTCCAGATCACCAGACTGGGCCACATCAACGCCTGGCAGGGGACAGCTAGTGGCGTAGTGGGTCAAACCCCTGTGCCGGCAGGACTGAAGACCGACAGGTTGCAGGTTCGAATCTGGGGAGAGGCGGATGAGCTCCCTCTATCAGCTCCAGCTCCTCATGCGGGAACATGAGAGAAGCCTCCCACAAGGATGATAAAAACATCAAATCATCCTGCCATCCCCTGGGCAACGTCCTTGCAGACGGCCAATTCTCTCAAACCAGAAGCGACTTGCAGTTTCTCAAGTCGCTCCTGACACAACAAAAAAAAATAGTATTATATTGTATTGTCGAAGGCTTTCATGGCCAGAATCACTGGGTTGTTGTAGGTTTTTTCGGGCTATATGGCCATGATCTAGAGGCATTCTCTCCTGACATTTCACCTGCATCTATGGCAAGCATCCGCAGAGGTGGTCAGTTGAAACATTCACACCTAGCTCCAGGAGACAAGAGTCCTTTGTCTCACCCTGGTCATTCCACAGATATATAAACCCTTTTTCCTAGTTCCAACAGACTCCACTACCTCAGAGGATGCTTGCCATAGATGCAGGTGAAACGTCAGGAGAGAATGCCTCTAGACCATGTCTGTATAGCCCGAAAAAAACCTACAACAACCCAGTATTATATTGCATTACATTATAATATTATAAATAGTTCACATCATGACTAACACCTCACTAGCACAGTGATCAATCTTTTACCAACTCCAGGATTTTCAACCAGATAGTTTTTTCTCTGAAATAAGAACTAGATCAGCAGCAATACGAACACAATATCAAGTTTAGATCTTCGTATGTCTGCCTGCAGCTGTCCCCAATCAGAACATATAAAATAAATGCAAGTGGTTGTGTTCTTTTTAAGAGGTTGGGGTAATTTTTTAAAAATAATAAATACATAAATACCCATTTCTAAAGGCTCAGATCGGGTCTCAGAAAGGCACAGCAGGGGTTGCCCTGGTTTTGGCACCCAACTCACCTGCCTTTTCACTGGCAAACTCCTTCAGGTTCAGCTGTTGAAGGGGGAAGTCCACAAACACAGAGCACTTCTTAATGGAGTAGCGGGTGGTGGAGAAACGGTTCAGATCTAGGGCAGCAGGAGTTAAGGAAGGACTGGTCGCTTATTTATTTATTTATTTGGTTTACTTTTACCCCGCCCTTCTCACCCCGAAGGGGACTCAGGGCGGCTTACACATCCAAGGCACAATTCAATGCCCGTAACATACAACAGCAATAAAACAGAACAACGAAAATTAGCAAACAACAACAATACATTACATCTATACCCGCTAAAACCAATAAAATTTCATACAAACCGATACAAACCAATTACTCCTTATTGCCGGTCAGTGTTCGCTATCTCATAGTTCAGGGTTTCCTTCCACATTTATCAGTCCTGCCGGTCCTATTTGTCTGGTTGTCCTTCCTAGTTAGCAGATTGCCCGAAGGCCTGGTCCCACAACCACGTCTTTACCTTCCTCCTGAAGGACAGGAGTGATGTCGATGTTCTGATATCCACTGGGAGTGAGTTCCACAGGTGAGGGGCCACCACTGAGAAGGCCCTGCTCCTCGTCCCCACCAGCCTCGCTTGGGAGAGCAGTGGAGTCGAGAGCAGGGCCCCCTCAGATGATCTTAAATTCCGTGGTGGGACGTAGAGGGAGATACATTCGGACAGATACGCTGGACCGGAACCGTACAGGGTTTTGTCGGTCAAAACCAGCACCTTGAATTGGGCTCGGAACTGAACCGGCAGCCAGTGGAGCTGCCACAGCAGAGAGGTGGTGTGCTCTCTGTATGTCACCCCAGTGAGCAGCCTGGCTGCCGCTCGCTGGACCAGTTGAAGTTTCCGAACCGTCTTCAAGGGCAACCCCACGTAGAGTGCGTTGCAGTAGTCTATTCGGGATGTAACAAGAGCGTGGACCACTGTGGCCTGCTTGCAGGTACTGAGAATGGAAGTGGTCTCAGTAAATCCCAAAAGCTCAGTCCTAGCTTCCACCTGTGGCCCTCCAGGAGTTCTAGAGGTCTCTGGTCCCCAAGAGGTCAATATCAGTAGGACACACTGTGTGTCCCTCCTTGTTTATGTTTCGATTGTCAAGAAGGCAGAAATGTCAGCCAAGAAATCATTTTGTCAACATGTCTGCTTGCTTTTTTAAGCGAGGCAATGGCTGAATGCAATGAATAAACCCAGCCCTAGAATATGTCTGAGTTTCATACCCAAACTCTGTGACAAAAGAAAGAGCTCTGACTTCAGGGCATCAATTATTACGCTTTCCAATGTAAAATTGTGTTGTCAAAGGCTTTCATGGACGGAATCACTGGGTTACTGCCATAGATGTGGGTGAAACGTCAGGAGAGAATGCTTCTGGAACATGGCCAGACAGCCCGGAAAACTCACAGCAAGCCACTGTAAGATGCTTCATGTTTTATCCATAAGAGAAAGAACCTTAGCAAAAATGCCTGTGATTGGTGTGATACCCAGAAGCAGAATGCGGTTGGGCTGGATGGCCCACCAGGTCTCTTCCAATTTTTCCAATTCTATGATTCTATGAAGATTTGGAAAGGATACGTAATACAAGGATTCGGGGAAAGCGCTGGATGGTCAGCTTCTTGGTACTCCGGGTCCTCTGCCGACATTTATCACATTCCTATTTGAGAAAGAGGTTGGGGAAAAATGAATGTAAAAAAAGTCAGGGAAAATAAAAAATGGCAAAAGAGACTTCTATGGGTTGCAGATCCAATATTGTCTCAGCTAGAATGGCCAAGGTATCCTCACTTAGAGTTTGAAGCCAGCACGGGTTGGAGTGGGTTTCCAACCAATTGTGTAGCCTGTTGTCGACCTTTGCAACCCGAAAGACAGTTGCATCTGTCAAGTAGGAAAATTAGGTACCACCTTAAAGTGTGGGGAGGCTAAATTAACTAATTTATGAGGCCATAAAAAAGACTCCAGCAAAGCACTCCAGCAAAAGAGCGTGCGGGGAATGCGGAAGTACTTCATCAGCATCGCAGATGGACGATGAAAGCAACAACTCCCCTGACGGCCAGAAAAAGTTAAATAGCCTCTGTGTATGTCTGTATACGTTGTATGTCAAAATTGGCATTGAATGTTTGCCATATATGTGTACACTTTAATCCGCCCTGAGTCCCCTGCGGGGTGAGAAGGGCGGAATATAAATACTGTAAATAAATAAATAAATACATCTTCAACTGACTGAATGGCATGCATTTTTTAAAAAAAGGAAGTTATGCTGCCTGACCCTGTCATATTTCTGTCATTTATTTCAAATATGAGATTGGTTTATTACATTTATTTATTTATTACCTTTTATTATTTATTTATTTATTTACAGCTTTTATATTCCACCCTTCTCACCCTGCAGGGGACTCAGGGCGGATTACAGTATACACATATATGGCAAACATTCAATGCCAGTTTGACAAACAACGTATACAGACAATACACAGAGGCTATTTAACTTTTTTCTGGCCGCCAGGGGAGCTGCTGCTTTCATCGTCCACCAGCGAACCGATGAAGTTCTTCCGCATTCCACATTCCCTGGAGTCTTTTCTTTATGGCCTCATAAATTAGTTAATTTAGCCTACCACACAAGGTGGTATCTTATTTTCCTACTTGACAGATGCAACTGTCTTTCAGGTTGCAAAGGTCGACAACAGGCTACACAATGGCTGGACACCCACTCCAACCTGGGCTGGCTTCGAACTCATGTCCTTTTGGTCAGAGTGATCTTAATGCAGCTGACACTCAGCCAGCTGCGCCACAATCCCGGTGCCGGTTACATCAGCCGCTGGTGGCACAGTGGGTTAAACTGCTGAACTTGCTGACTGAAAGGTCAGCGGTTCAAATCCGGGGGGCGGGGTGAGCTCCTGCTGTTAGCCCCAGCTTCTGCCAACATAGCAGTTTGAAAACATGCAAATGTGAGTAGATCACATTCACTAGGAAGGTAACAGGTCTCAATGCCATTACCATCCTATGACCATGGGGGTATCTACAGACAATGCTGGCTCTTCAGCTTAGAAAGTTGGACACGACTGGACTTAATTAATGACAAGGGGAAACCTTTACCTTTACCTTGGTGACATGAAATGTCTACAAGAGTCTTACCGGTGCATTCTCAGAGTCCAGCTCCTCTTCTTTGGTGAAGAGGCTGAAACAGTCGAGCAGAGAGACCTTTCCTCCAGTGAAGCCTTTCTGTGACACAAAGGCAAAGATTTTATTAGACATTTCTTTGACCTCACATTACATATCAGGCTTAAACCACATTGTGAAAGTAAGCATGGAAATTTCATTGAAGCCTACTTTGGGGATGGGCAGGGAGAGGTCGCAGAAAACTTCGAATGTGGTTGACCGATAACCGCACACTTGACACTTGAGGCAGCTCTTCAACTGGCCGACAAAGAGGTCTGGCAAAGAGAAAGGGAAACAACGAGGATAATTAAATAGAAGGTATAATGTCATTTAAAATGGCTTCAGGTTACACATCATCATCATCATCATCACTTTATTTCTTAATTAGTTGCTCTCCACCAAGGTACTCCGAGCAACTTACAATTTGAAACAGCATTTCACAATACAAAACATTCAACAATATAAAACATTCAACAGTGACTGTTTGGCGACTTAGATCTGATTACTTAAATGCACAACCAAACAGCCAAGTCTTGAGTGCCTTTACAAAAGGTCGTAGCTCCAACATTGCTCTAATGTATGGAGGCAACGAGTTCCACAGAATTGGAGCATAGGCCAAAAAAGCTCTACGCCTTGTAGCTTCCACGTGTACCTCCCTAGGGTATGTATAGGAGATTTTCCTGGGCGGATCGAGGTAACCACTGATGGAAAAAAGGAATGAGGCGGTTCCTAAGATACAAAGGTCCTTGGCCATTTTGAGCTCTAAATGTCAGGATCAGTATCTTGTAAGAGATCCGATGTTCTATTGGTAGTGTTGTGATAGAGTCTGCTGGCAGTGATAGTAACACTAGTTGTATTAGGAGAAGCAGGAAAACTACTCGCGAGCAAGACTATGATGAAGAGCAACAGAGGAAAAGAATCCGGAAGATGCTTAATGAGCCAACAGATGAGGATTCTTTTGAAGGTTTTGATGCAAATGATATGGATGATGGGATATCAGACTCTGGGTCTGATGGGTTGGATTGGACAAGGGTTCAAGAGATTCGGGATATTTGTGCTGAACCCACAAGCAGTGGCCCGTTTGAAGGTTGGAGTAGCGAAGGAACGGATGGGTCTTGGGGAACTTCAGGATTAGACCAGAGATGGACTACTTGGAGGAGTGGTGGAAGAAGACTTTGGGACGTAAGTTATGCTCTGGGTTTAAGCAGCAAAGGGGGCTGGAACTGTGTGGGTTTCTCCTGGACTGCACTGTTTTGATATTTGCATTAGCTGCCGTATTGCCCCCGTTGCTTTGGCTCCTTGTGACTTCCATTGGATTGGGACCTGACCTTGCAGCTATTCGTTTCCCTTCGGACTGAACTGGACTGGACTTCAGTGTTCGGCGTTACTTTCCCTTCCACGTCTGCAGCTGTGTTTCTGGAGCTGGTGTTATCATCCTCCCTGCATTCCTGCCTGGTGTCTCCTGCAGCATTTGAGGCTCGGGTTACATTTTGCAACCCTTGAAAGGCTGATGCTCACTAGAGTGGCTGTGAACATCATTCTACAGTTTGTTTTGCTTCTGTTGTTTGACGGAGCAAGTTTGAGCTGAATTTAAGCATTTTGAGTTTAATCTGGATTATATCTCTGGATAATCCAGGTTATATTCTGATTGGGGTTTTGTGGGTTCTTTTGCCTTTTTGAACTGTTTCACACTGAATACTAAGTGTTTTTTGCCCTGTGGTTTTGTTTTGGGCTGTTTTCTGTTTGTTTGAACAATAAACTATACTTCTTCAATTGGCTGGCATCTGACCTTGACAGGTAGCCAATGCAGTTGTTACAGAATCGGTGTAATATAGACTCTTATAGATGATCCCGCTAGCAGCTGGTTACCGCATTTTGGACCATCTGAATCTTGTTGACTTTGGAAGGCCGGCATATAAGGCGTTGCAATAGTCCAACCTAGTGGTGACTGTTGTGTGGATTACCGTTGCCAATGCTTCTATCAGAAGGTAGGATGCCAATTTCCTTGCCTGGCGAAGATGAAAAAAGGCCTGCTTACTTATGGCAGTGATCTGGGCTCCCATCGTCAGCAATGAATCCAACACAACCCCAAGGCTTTTAATGGAACCAGAGCTTCCCCATTGAAATCAGGCAGAGATTGGATTCATTCTGGCGGCTAGACAGGCCAGAGTATCTCAGTTTTTGCAGGATTCACTTTGTCTGCTCGCTCGCAGCCAACTCATCACTGCTTCCAAACACAGCCTAAAGTTCTCAGGAATCGTGGTTGTCCCAGGTTCGAGACGCAAGAGTAGCTGGGTATCATCTGCATACTGGTAACACTCTATGCCAAAGCTCCGCACCAGTCCAGCAAGTGGCCGGACGTAGATGTTAAATAACAGGGGCGAGAGGAGAGCACCCGGGGGAACTCCACAGCAAAGGCAGGAGCTCTCAGAGCTTTGGCCTGACCACTCCACCCTCTGTCTCCGGTCCCGGAGGAACGAATTGAACCATTTCAGAGCTAAACCTCGTACACCAGACATAGCCAATATCGATGAATCAGCAAGTCATGGTCTACGGTGTCGAATGCAGCTGTGAGGTCCAAGAGTACCAATAGCGCTGATCTGCCTCGGTCTAACTGACGACGAATTTCATCAGTAATAGCTACTAAGACAGTCTCTGTCCCATGACCTGAACGAAAGCCTGATTGAAAGGGGTCCAAACCCGCAGTCTCATCTAAGAATTGCTGTAGCTGCCTCGCCACTGTCCGTTCAATCACCTTGCCCAAAAATGGAAGGTTTGAAACTGGGCAATAGTTACTAGGTATGGCAGCGTCTAGGTTTGGTTTTTTTCAAGAGAGGGTGGACCACTGCTTCTTTAAGGCAATCTGGAAAAATTCCTTGCTCCAAGGAGCTGTTGATGATGCTCCTTAAGGGATCTCGTAGTGTGACGATGTGTAACTTTTATTCTTATGGTTATGTGTTGTTTAAACAGTAGTTAATAAATGGTAAGTATGTAGGATTATATTTTGTTAGAGATGGTGGCTGGTTTGGCTTGAGCAGAGTTGCCATAGCAACGGGGGCGGAGCCAACTGTCACTTCACGGAGCAGCTGTTTGAAAGTTGCAGTCTGTAAGCGGGTGAGCTACAAGGAAGACTGATTTCTCTAGTGGGAGAATCAGGGAAGAGTCTGTGACTATTAGAGTTGCAGAAAGGACTGAAATCTCTAGATGGGGATTCAGGGAACTAGTCTGGGACCAAAGAGTTACAGGAGAAGGTAGTTGATCCTGTGGTGTGTGGAAGACCATCAGGAATACTATAGTTAGAGAACTATAGGGAGGACTGGTTCTTTAATATTAAGAATCAGGGTTTGGCTGTGAGCCAATATAGTTAGATAAGTCAGGTGGCTTATTTGTAGTAAAAGAACGCTTGTTGAAGAAAGATATATCTACTCAAAGAAATCTCTTAAAGTCTGTACCTAAAGCTACTCATGAAACCTTACTAATGTAACCAATCAAGATTTGTGCCTCTTGTGAAGAAACAATTGAATATGTTATACTCCTGTTAAATAAATTTGTTACTGTTCTCCTCAAGCCTTGCCTGATACAGTTTCTCCTAAGTCAAATAGCCAGCATAAGAAGTAAAACCAAACCAGGGACAGTAAACGCTACGCTATCAAATAAGTAAATCCTTCTTTGTAAAACAGCTCCTAAGTTGATGCTGAGAATTACTGGGCTTCCTTACAGATTAGGTGGCAGTAATTTTACGCTCCTTCACATGTAGTCCCTCCCAGCACTCCTTAACCAACCGGGAGGGGCAAGGATCGAGGGAACAGGTGGTTGGTCTTGCTGCAGCTAGAGTCTTTTCCAGGTCTTCCATTTCTAATGGCACAAAATGTTCTAGAAGTTGGCCACTAGATGGCCAGAAGGCCTCTAGTTCCCTCGATGTGTCCTCTGTGGGAGGTAGCCCTTCGCGGAGCAGATTTGAAGGAAAGCCTGATTGAAAGGGGTCCAAACCCGCAGTCTCAACTCCCTCTTGGGCACACAGAAGACTGGGCGCCTTGGAAGACGCTGAACAGACTGCATCCTGGGACCACAAGATGCAGATCCAACCTTAAGAAATGGGGCTACAAAATAGATTCCACGACATGGCGAGTGTGGAAAAGAGTAAACCACAGACCACCTATTACAATGCAGCCTGAGCCCCACTACATGCACAATGGAGGACCTTCTCACAGCGACACCAGGGGCGCTCCAAGTGGCCAACTACTGGTCAAAGGCCATTTGGTATAATGTAAAGTTTTAAAAACTTTGTATTTTTAAATACATTACAACTGTACTCTCAATGACTTAGATGAAGGGTTAGAAGGCAGGATCATCAAGTTTGCAGACGACACCAAATTGGGAGAGATAGCCAATACTCCAGAGGACAGGAGCAGGATTCAAAACGATCTTGACAGATTAGAGAGATGGGCCAAAACTAACAAAATGAAGTTCAACAGTGACAAATGCAAGATACTCCACTTTGGCAGGAAAAACAAAATGCAAAGATACAGAAAGGGAGACGATGATGCCTGGCACAAGAGCAGGACGTGTGAAAAAGATCTTGGAGTCCTCGTGGACAACAAGTTAAACATGAGCCAACAATGTCATGTGGCGGCAAAAAAAGCCAATGGGATTTTGGTCTGCATCAATAGGAGCATAGTGTCTAGATCTAGGGAAGTCATGCTACCCCTCTATTCCGCTTTGGTTAGACCACACCTGGAATATTGTGTCCAATTTTGGGCACCACAATTCAAGAGAGATATTGACAAGCTGGAATGTGTCCAGAGGAGGGCGGCTCAAATGATCAAGGGTCTGGAGAACAAGCCCTATGAGGAGCGGCTTAAGGAGCTGGGCATGTTTAGCCTGAAGAAGAGAAGGCGGAGAGGAGACATGAGAACCATGTATAAATATGTGAGAGGAAGCCACCGGGAGGAGGGAGCAAGCTTGTTTTCTGCTTCCTTGGAGACTAGGACGCGGAACAATGGCTTCAAACTACAAGAGAGGAGATTCCATCTGAACATTAGGAAGAACTTCCTGACTGTGAGAGCCATTCAGCAGTGGAACTCTCTGCCCCGGAGTGTGGTGAAGGCTCCTTCTTTGGAAGCTTTTAAACAGAGGCTGGATGGCCATCTGTCAGGGGTGATTTGAATGCAATATTCCTGCTTCTTGGCAGAATGGGGTTGGACTGGATGGCCCATGAGGTCTCTTCCAACTCTATGATTCTATGAATTCACTTCTGACACAATAAATAAATAGACAAATAAATAAACTGCCTCTCTTTACGATTCCTTAGAATAACAGTTTCACTCACATGATGACGATGATGTGTTTGTTTATTACTTGTCTCTCTTTGTGGCTCCCTACAATAACGGTTTTACTCCATCTTCCCCATTCTGGTGACTATTCTGGACTACAACTTCCAGAATTCCACTATTTTACTTATTTATTTACAATATTTATATCCCGCCTTTCTCGACCTCAAGGGGAACTCAAGGCAGCTTGCAACATAGGCAATAATTCAATACCTTCAAAACAATATACCGTATATACTCGAGTATAAGCCGACCGAATATATGCCGAGGCACCTAATTTTACTACAAAAAATTGCAAAAACATATTGACTCGAGTATAAGCCGAGGGTTATAAATTTAGCTTGTACTAGTAATCATCAGTAGGTTAAATATTTTTGAGTATTTACATATAACTGTAATTTAAGATAAAGACTACCCACTCTGATTAAACCATTATTCTAACCTCCTTCAATGTAAATGTAAATTACCAGTAATGATAGAGTAAAATAATAAATGCAATAACATGTAATAAAAATAATAATAGATTAAACCATTATTCTAACCTCTTTCAATGTAAATGTAAATTACCAGTAATGATAGAGTAAAATAATAAATGCAATAACATGTAATAAAAATAATAATAGAGTAAACAGTAGAAATTTAATAGTATTGGTAATAATAAAGTAATAAATGTAATAATAACAATAATAGAGTAAAATAATAAATGTAATAAAATAATAATAGAGGAAAATAATGTAAATGTAATAATAATAGAGAAAAATGTAATAAAAATAATACTAATAACAGAGTAAAATAATAAATAACCTTGACTCGAGTATAAGCCGAGGGGAACGTTTTCAGCCTAAAAAAGGGGCTGAAAAACTAGGCCTATACTCAAGTATATACAGTACATTCAATAGACAATTAAATAAACATTTCAATTAAATTTTAATGATATTTAAGAGCACTAAAACATATAAAACATTACAATTACAACTATAAAACTACATTATCCGCAATCAGGGCATGAAGACTATGTCCTCTATAAGATTTAAAAGCTACAGTGATATTGTATTTCTGGATTTTAAAACACAGCTTTCCATTAAGTCAAATCTCCAAGGTATTTTGAAGGTGGAATGGGAACAAGAACAGGACGAAGAAGATAATACGCCTCCCATCAACCTGCTCTATCAATGTTTAACATCTACACAAATGACCAGCCACTGCCAGAAGGGGCAGAGTTTCATCTACGCTGACGATCATGCCATCACCGCTCAAGCAGGGAGCTTTGAAATGGTTGAACAGAAGCTCTCTGAAGCTTTAGGCGCTCTTACTGCCTAGTACAGGGAAGACCAGCTGCTTCCTAATCCATCTAAAATGCAAACTTGTGCTAAGAACGGACAAGCATCTCGAGCTCTGAGGATTACCTGGGAAGGAATCCCACTGGAGTATTGCAGCACCAAGTTATTTTGAAGGGAGAGGAGGGAGGAACAGGAGGAAGAAGATAATTCACCTCCCATTAGCCAAATCAGCATGGCAACTAAGCAGGGATGATGGAAGGGATGCCCACTCACCCACTATTTTGCTGTCCTCTCTTTCCAGGTAACGTTTCCACATCTGGTTGGCTTGTTCATCGTCACTGTGTGGGGAAAGAAAAGGCAAGAAATAAATATTAGGAAGCCTTAGGGTGAATTATTGTAAATTTCCAATCATAGAATCAAAGAGTTGGGAGAGATCTAGACACTATGCTCCTATTGATGCAGGCCAAAATCCCATTGGCTTTTTTTTGACACCACATCACATTGTTGGCTCATGTTTAACTTGTTGTCCACGAGGACTCCAAGATCTTTTTCGCAATCCTCCTTTGCAATCGCGTCTGGTGGGGACGAGGGACAGGGCCTTCTCGGTGGTGGCCCCTCGGCTCTGGAACTCTCTCCCGTTGGAGATTAGATCTGCCCCTTCCCTCCTGACTTTCAGAAAGCTGGTAAAATCTTGGCTTTGGAATATAGCATTTGCAGAATGATGATTGAGTCAATAACGGCTGACCACACTGGCGGATGGTGATGAATTTGTAATTTTACTCTGACGACCTGGCTTTTGTAATTGTATGATCTGTATTTTAATGTATTTTTGTATTAATGTATTATGATGCTATTATGTTTATTCTATGTGTGTATGAATTTTCTGCTGTTAGCCAGCCTGAGTCCCTCTTCGGAGGTCGAGAAGACCGTGTTATAAAAACTCTAAATAATAAATAAATAAATAAATAAATAAATAAATAAATATTTCACACGTACTGCTCTCGAGACAGGCATTGTCCCCCATTTTGTATCTTTGCATTTTGTTTTTTCTGCCTGTGGAGTATCTTTGTCCCTGTTGAACTTCATTTTGTTAGTTTTGGTCAATCATCTCTCTAATCTGTCAAGATCGTTTTGAATTCTGCTCCTGTCCTCTGGAGTATTGGCTATCCCTCCCAATATATATGCAAACTCAGTGGTTCTTAGCAGAAGAACAGCCCCAATATCCTCAGAGACAACAGAAATCTGGAGTTTGGCACTGAACTTAAATGTCTTAGGAAGAACCGGTGCCTGTATAGCAGGCCCCCTGCTTGGAATGCAAGAGATCCACAGTTCAATATCTGCCACTTTCAGATGAAAAAATTCTGAGAAACAGAGTAGAAAACAACAATACAGTGTTCCCTCACTTATTGCGGGGTTCCGTTCCAGGACCACCCGTGATAAGTGAAAATCCTTGAAGTGGGGATGCCATATTGATTTTAATATCTATACATTACTAGCTGTACCCGCCACGTGTTGCTGTGGCCAACTGTCCCTCCCTCTTTCTTTCCTTCTTTCCCTCCTTCCTTCTCTCCCTCTTTCCTTCCTTCCCTTTTTTCTTTCCTTCTCTCTTTCCTTCCTTCCTTCCTTCCTTCTCTAACTTTCCTTCCTCTCCCCCTTTTTCTTTATTTTTCTCTCTCATTTCTTCCTTCCTTTGTTTTTTGCTTCCATCCTCTCTTTCCTTCCCTCCCTTTCTCTCCTTCTTTCGCTCCCTCTTTCCTTCCTTTTTCCCTTTTTTTCCTTCTCTCCTTCCTTCCTTCTCTACCTTTCCTTCCTTCCCCCTTTTTCTTTATCTTTTTTCTCATTTCTTCCTTCCCGACTTCCTTCCTTCTTTCCTTTGTTTTTTGATTCCATCCTCTCTTTCCTTCTCTCCCTCTTTCTCTCCTTCTTTCCCTCCTTCCTTCGCTCCCTCTTTCCTTCCTTCCTTCCCTTTTTTCTTTCCTCCTCTCCTTCCTTCCTTCCTTCTCTAACTTTCCTTCCTCTCCCTCTTTTTCTTTATCTCTTTTTTCTCTCATTTCTTCCTTCCTGACTTCCTTCTTTCCTTTGTTTTTTGCTTCCATCTCTCTTTCCTTCTCTCCCTCTTTCTCTCCTTCTTTCCCTCCTTCCTTCGCTCCCTTTCCTTCCTTCCCTTTTTTCTTTCCTTCTCTCTTCTTCCTTCCTTCTTCCTTCCTTCCTTCTCTCCTCTTTCCTTCCTTCCCTTTTTCCTTTCCTTCCCCTTTTCTCCTTTCTTCCTTCTCTACCTCTTTCCTTCCTTCTCTCTCTCTCTTTTCCTTTTCTTTTCCTCCCTCCCTCTCTTCTTTCTCCCCTTCTTTCCCTCCCTCTTCCTTCCTTTTTTCTCTTTTGTCATTTAACTTTTCGTCATTTAGCATTTTGGGGTTTTTAAGTCCTTTTCGCTGTTTTGGGGGGGGGGGGTTATGAGTTATGGTCACTCATTGGTCTGTTAAGGGTGTAGTGTCCAATTTTGTGTCATTTCGTCCAGTGGTTTTTGAGTTCTGTTAATCCCACAAACGAACAGAACATTTTTATTTATAAAGATTTTATTATTATTTTCTTACCCACGCTTCCTTACCCGTCTTCCAGCCCATCCCAAGGGCACTTGCCTACCTCCCTGGCCTCTGCAGAGCCTCCGGAGCCACGCAAAAATATTAAATATTTACATCCAGTGGAGGCCAGGGACCCCGGAAGTGCAGCAGCCTGAGGCAATAGGGAAGGCCTGCACCTCAGGTACTCCATCAAGGACTCTGTGTCACAATAAAAGCAATGAGGACTTTTTAGAAAAATGGAAGTTGGCCATGGCATATCTGAATAGAGAGTCAGTAATATAGAGGAGCTCCATTAGGAATGTAGGTTTACCATGAATAAGGATAAATAGGCTTAAAGGCTTCATAGTGTTTCGGTGTTGGAAGTCATGGTGAAGGGTGCACGGGTGTGGGGAAGAGGTTTTATTTTGTGTGGGATAAGGGTTCTGGGATGAGTGTATGGTCTGCTGTGTGTAAAATGCCATGTGCTGATTTTCTGAATGTTATGGGAAAAAATGAATAGAAACTGGGTTGTTATAGGTTTTTTCGGGCTATATGCCATGTTCTAGAGGCATTCTCTCCTGACGTTTCGCCTGCATTTATGGCAAGCATCCTCAGAGGTAGTGAGGTCTGTTGGGACTAGGAAAAAGGGTTTATATATCTGTGGAATGACCAGGGTAAGACAAAGGACTCCTGTCTGCTGGAGCTAGGTGTGAATGTTTCAACTGACCACCTTGATTAGCATACAATGGGCTGACTGTGCATGGAGAAAACTTTTGTTGAGAGGTGATTAGATGTCCTTGTTTGCTTCCTCTCTGTTGTTGTGCTGTTGCAATTTTAGAGTTTTTTTTAATACCGGTAGCCAGATTTTGTTCATTTTCATGGTTTTCTCCTTTCTCAAATAAAATGCTGTGTCCAGGTTGGTTCATCAGCATTTTATTTGAGACACAGCATTTTATTTGAGAACACAGAAATGCTGGACCACTCTCACAACCACCATGTCAGACTACACAGAGAAGCCATTGAAATACACAAGCATGTGGACAATTTCAACAGAAAGGAGGAAACTATGAAAATGAACAAAATCTGGTTACCAGTATTAAAAAAACTCTAAAATTGCAACCTCACAACAACAGAGAGGAAACAAACAAGGACATCTAATCACCTCTCAACAAGTTTGCTCCAGGCACAGTCAGCCCATTGTATGCTAATCAAGGTGGTCAGTTGAAACATTCACACCTAGCTCCAGCAGACAAGAGTCCTTTGTCTCACCTTGGTCATTCCACAGATATATAAACCCTTTTTCCTAGTTCCAACAGACCTCACTACCTCAGAGGATGCTTGCCATAGATGCAGGCGAAACGTCAGGAGAGAATGCCTCTAGACCATGGCCATATAGCCCAAAAAAACCTACAACAACCCAGTGATTCCGGCCATGAAAGCCTTCGACAATACAATGAATACAAAGCTTTGACTGAAAGTAGTGGATAACATGCAGAAATAGCAAGTCTATATGTTTTAATTTAAGTAACTGATAATAACTTGTACTCAATGTCAAAATTAACTGGTTGATTGATTAAGGGAGATAGGCATGTACACATCAAAAATATTGTTACCTGATTATATCTGCCACAATTTGCTTTTCTGTTATGTACCATAACCAAAATAAACAGTTTTATTAAAAAACAAAAACAAAAGCAAACAGTGAGTCCGCTAAAAGCGAATCGCAAAGTAGCAAGAAAACACTGTAATTCGATTTCTTATTCCAGCCCATCTCTGTTGACCCGATCAGACTCACCTCAGAATGTCAGCATCCTCCAATACAGAGGGCCTCTTGGTGTCAGAAAGGATGCTGGGTGTTTTGCGTCCTTTCCTATTGATCTCCACATGCAACCGATCCATCAGAAACTTCAGAAACTCCTGAGCATCCTGCTGGCTGGAAATGAAGATGAGAAAAGCACGGACTGATTTAATCTTCAGGCAATAAAACAACAAACAGAGAGCTCAGATTCATTCTGAAATCTAAAGGGTCACAGTGTGGGGAGGCTAAATTAACTAATTTATGAGGCCATAAAAAAAGACTCCAGCAAGCACTCCAGCAAAAAAGCATGCGGGGAATGCAGAAGTACTTCATCAGTGTTGCAGATGGATGACGAAAGCGACAGCTCTTCCGGCGGCCAGAAAAAGTTAAATAGCCTCTGTCTATGTCTGTATATGTTGTATGTCAAAACTGGCATTGAATGTTTGCCATATATGTGTACACTGTGATCTGGGGTGAGAAGGTCAGAATATAAAAGCTGTAAATAAATAAATAAGTGTGGTCTGGGAGAATCTTACATTCAATCACTGAAGGCACACTGGAATAACCAGGTTTTCAAATTCCTCCTAAAGATTGCCAGTGTGGGGGCTTGTCTAATGTCTCTGGAAGTGAGTTCCAGAGCTGGGGGGCCACCGCAGAGAAGGCCCTCTCTCTCATTCCCGCAACCTGCGATGTGGGCGGGAGCGAAAGAAGGGCCTCTCTGGAGGATCGAAGGGATCGCGTGGGTTCGTAGATGGAAATACAGTCATGCAGGTAGGAGGGTCCCAAACCGTTCAGGGCTTTGTCAAGACCTGCACCTTGAATTGGGGCCGGTAGATAAACGGCAGCCAGTGGAGCTCCTTAAACAGGAGGGTTGACCGCTCTCTGTAATTCGCTCCAGTTAGTCAGGTTTTACAATGTATTGTAATGTAATATAGCTGAGTCATGCACTGCTAATAGGCTTCTACTGGAAATGCTGAGTCATGCATTAACTGTATATAGGGAATCATTTGGGGAATGTGTTCTGGCCTGGTCCAGGTGATTGTGAATGATGTAATCCTGGGTCTGAGTTAAGTTAATGAGTTGGGAACCAACCAGAGATTGCTATGTGTAATTGTTTAGAACTGGAAGGAAGTCATGTACAGTGTATTTCTCTCCTTGTGCTGTGACGTTGTTCGTCGAAGGCTATATGTAATTAAAAGAACCTGTCTGCTAAGACAAGACATAACTGTATGCTGTGGTAAGTTTGTAATATCATCTAGACTGGGGGAAAGACAATGGTAAAACTGGCAATGGCCGGGCATGTGCTCAAGTGTATGTAAAAGGTTCCAGAGTGACTGCAGACTGTGGGAGCAGTTGACTGAAAATACTGTGCAGGAAGAAGCTACTGGAAAGAGCTGAAGTTGTGCAACTGATCTGCTGCTGAATTATAGAATCATGTTGTTGTTGTTCATTCGTTCAGTCGTCTCCGACTCTTCGTGACCTCATGGACCAGCCCACGCCAGAGCTCCCTGTCGGCCGTCACCACCCCCAGCTCCTTCAAGGTCAGTCCAGTCACTTCAAGGATGCCATCCATCCATCTTGCCCTTGGTCGGCCCCTCTTCCTTTTGCCTTCCACTTTCCCCAGCATCATTGTCTTCTCGAGGCTTTGCTGTCTCCTCATGATGTGGCCAAAGTACTTCAACTTTGTCTCTAGTATCCTTCCCTCCATGAGCAGTCGGGCTTTATTTCCTGGAGGATGGACTGGTTGGATCTTCTCGCAGTCCAAGGCACTCTTCAGCTTCTCTGCTTATCCTTATGCAAAGCAAGTTCATACAATCCTAGAGTTGGAAGAGACCTCTGGGCCATCCAGTCCAACCCCATTCTGCCAAGAAGCAGGAATATTGCATTCAAATCACCCCTGACAGATGGCCATCCGCCTCTGTTTAAAAGCTTCCAAAAGAAGAGCCTCCACCACACTCCGGGGCAGAGAGTTCCACTGCTGAACAGCTCTCACAGTCAGGAAGTTCTTCCTCATGTTCAGATGGAATCTCCTCTCTTGTAGTTTGAAGCCATTGTTCCGCGTCCTAGTCTCCAGGGAAGCAGAAAACAAGCTTGCTCCCTCCTCCCTGTGGCTTCCTCTAACATATTTATACATGGCTATCATATCCCCTCTCAGCCTTCTCTTCTTCAGGCTAAACATGCCCAGCTCCTTAAGCCGCTCCTCATAGGGCTTGTTCTCCAGACCCTTTATCATTTTAGTCGTTCTCCTCTGGACACATTCCAGAGGAGAGCGTGAAGTTAATCTCAATTGTGAAGTTAATCTCAACAGTCTGGCTGCCGCCCGTTGGACCGGTTGGAGTTTCCAGGCCATCTTCAAGGGCAGCCCCACGTAGAGAGCATTGCAATAGTCCAATCTAGAGGTAACTAAGGTGTGGACCACCGTGGACAAATCTGAACTGAACTATATGAACTGAAACAGGACACACGTAATGCATTCCCTCTGATATTACATCACAATCATTCTCTCTCTGGCTTCTGGAACAAGTTAAAATCGCTGACCCAGGGAGCCTGAATAAGTGGCACAGACAAACGAAGCATAAAGGAACCGAGAGGAGGGAAAATTCAGCTTTTCCTCACCTGTATCCTGTAAAGGATGGCACGTATTTCTGAAAGACGGCTTTGAAGCGGCTGGGATTGGAGGCTTCTGCGGAATCGGGGTGCCACAAGGTGGCAATGACATCAGCGAAGGCTGCAGAGGGAGAAACCAAAAAAGGTGAAGGAGACAACAAAACATCCTTAAGTTTATTTTGTTATTTACTTACTACACTAGCCCTCCCCTGCCACGTGTTGCTGTGGCCCACATGGGGGTTCTGTGTGAGAGGTTTGGCCCAATTCTATCATTCAGAATGCTCTGTGATTGTGGGTGAACTATAAATCCCAGCAACTACAACTTCCAAATGTCAAGATTCTATTTCCCCCAAACTTCACCAGCGTTCACATTGGAGCATATTGAGTATTTGTGTAGAGTTTGGTCCAGATCCATCATTATTTTAGTCCACAGTGATCTCTGGATGTAGGTGAACTACAACTCCAAAACTAAAGGACACTGCCCAACAAACCCTTCCAGTATTTTCTGTTGGTCATGGGAGAACTGTGTGCCAAGCTTGGTTCAATTCCATCGTGACATTAAATCCAGACATGTCCAACTCTGGGACTCTGGTGCTCATCTCCATTTTTTAGCTGAAGAGCCGGCGTTGTCCGTAGACACCTCCAAAGTCAAGTGGCCACTGGCATGACTGCATGGAGCGCCCTACCTTCCTACAAGAGTGGTACCTATTGCTCTACTCACATTTGCATGTTTTTGAACTGCTGTATGAATTGGAAATCATCCTATCTATCTTTTACAACTTGGCAACATACACATGTTGGCAGAGCAACAGTGAGTGCATATGGGTGTGTGGAGTTGTGAAAATATAGTAGAATTAATGCACATGCAAGATCATCCCCACAATAACCCCTCAAGACATGCACTCCAGCAGAGCCACTTATTTCCCGCGTGACTGTGTGTATTTGAGGGGAGAGTTGAGGAAATAGAGTAAAATTAACATCCATGTAGGTATTCTCCACAACTTCCTTTCAACATAGACATTGCCATATTATCCACACCCATATGTGTATGCGCGCGCGCGTGTGTGTGTGTGTGTGCGCTCTATATCTCCCCCCAAAGAAAGGAGACAAAGAGGGAGGGAAGGTTGGCCACAGCAACATATGGCGGGTACAGCTAGTAATAATAATAATAATAATAATAATAATAATAATAATAATAATAATAATGTGCAAGCTTAGGACCAGAAAATGAAGGCCATGGATATCTGCCAGGCAAAAGGACAGTACAGGAATGAGGTCCTCTAATTATATAACCCTTTGTGCGAGGCCAAAGTACTTATGTAATTGTGGTCAACTGGACTTGGGATTAAAACCAGCCAGAGACCAATTTAGATTGTGGATCACGACCAAGATCTTGAGAGCCCAAGTCACTTCAGACAGGACTCCGTTACGTAATCGCTTCCTCTCGAGGAAAAGAAACAGGAAGCAGAGGTACTTCCGTCACCTTCAGTCAACTCCTGCTGGGTCCGCAGAGCTCCGGGTTGCTCTTGCCGAAATTCGCGGCGGAGGCAGTAGTCCCGCAAGGGTTTGGTGCTGCTCAGGCACTGGAGGACAGCGTTCATGAAGCACTGAGAACGAGGCCAAAAGACAAGAGAGACACCAAAAATATTACTCTGGAAGCAAATATTACTATGGAGTGGTCTACTCCCCAAGATGATGGAAGCAGAACTTATCTGAAACAGAACAGGTCTGAACTGGGGACTGCAAAGAATTGATTACTGCAACGCACTGTACGTGGGGCTACCTTTGAAGACGGTTCAGAAACTGCAGTTAGTCCAAAAGGCAACAGCTAGATTACTAACAGGAGCTACATACAGGGAGTGTACCACTCCCCTGTTACGTCAGCTCCACTGGCTGCCTGTCCACTTCTGAGCTCAATTCAAAGTGCTGGTTTTGACCTATAAAGCTCTATACCAGTGTTTCTCAACCTGGGGTCGGGACCCCTGGAAGGGTCATGAGGGGGTGTCAGAGGGGTCTCCAAAGACCATCACGAAACACAGTATTTTCTGTTGGTCATGTGGGTTCTGTTTGGAAAGTTTGGCCCAATTCTTTCATTGGTGAGGTTCAAGTGGTTCTTTGATTGCAGGTGAACTATAAATCCCAGCAACTACAACTCCCAAATTTCAAGGTCTATTTTCCACAAAGCCCACCAGTGTTCACATTTGGGCATAATTGAGTATTCGTGCCAAGTTTGGTCCAGATCTATCATTGTTTGAATCCACAGTGCTCTCTGGATGTAGGTGAACTACAACTCTAAAACTCAAGGTCAATGCCCACCAAACCCTTCCAGTATTTTCTGTTGTTCATGGGAGTTCTGTGTGCCAAGATTAGTTTGTTTCCATCGTTGTTGGAGTTCGGAATGCTCTTTGATTGTAGGTGAACTATAAATCCCAGAAACTACAACTCCCAAATATCAAGGTCTATTTTCCCCAAACTCCACCAGTGTTCACATTTGGGTATATTGAGTATTCGTGCCAAGTTTGGTCCAGATCCATCATTGTTTGAGTCCACAGTGCTCTCTGGATGTAGGTGAACTATAACTCCCAAACTCAAGGTCAATACCCACCAAACCTTTCCAGTATTTTCTGTTGGTCATGGGAGTTCTGTGTGCCAAGTTTGGTTCAATTGTATCATTCGTGGGGTTCGGAATGCTCTTTGATTGTAGGTAGGTGAACTATAAATCCCAGCAACTACAACTCCCAAACGACAAAATTAATTCCTCCCCCAATATTCAAATTTAGGCATATCAGGTATTTGTGCCAAATGTGATCCAGTGAATGAAAACACATCCTGCATATCGGATATTTACCGTATATACTCGAGTATAAGCCAACCCAAATATAAACCGAGGCACCTAATTTCAAAATGTGAAAACTTATTGACTCGAGTATAAGTCAAGGGTGGGAAATGCAGCAGCTACTGGTAATACAAAATAAATATAGATACCAATAAAATCACATTAATCGAGGAAACAGTAGGTGAAATGTTTTTCAATCTATATAAATAAAAATGTAATGTTCATTTGTGGGATTAACATAACTCAAAAACCACTGGATGAATTGACACCAAATTTGGTCACAATAAACCTATCAGGCCAACAAATGACCATCACTCATAAAAACACTGAAAAACACAGTGGAAGAGACTTAAAAATCCAAAAAATAAAAACACATAACAACACATGCGCAAAACCACATATATACACATACACACACAAAAAACACATATACACAGACTGGGCCACAGCAAAGCGTGGTTAGGGGATGGCTAGTGTTTACATAAAACTGTAATTTAAAATAAGACTGACCAAGTTTGATTAAACCATGATTCTAACCTTTTTCAGTGTCAATGTGTTTATGTATCCTTCCAATAATAATAAAGAAAGTAAAATAATAAATGTAATAACAACAATAATAAAGTAAAATAATAAATGTAATAATAATAATAATAAATAGAGTAAAATAAATGTAATAAAATAATAGAGTAAATTAATGCAAATGTAATAATGCCAATAACAGAGTAAAATAATAAATGTAATAACAACAATAATAATAATAAATAGAGTAAAATAAATGTAATAAAATAATAATAGAGTAAATTAATGCAAATGTAATAATGCCAATAATAGAGTAAAATAATAAATGCAATAACAATAATAATAAAGTAAAATAATAAATGTAATAATAATAATAATAATAATAGAGTAGAATAAATGTAATAAAATAATAATAGAGTAAAATAAAGCAAATGTAATAATACCAATAATAGAGTAAAATAATAAATGTAATAACAGCAATAATAAAGTAAAATAATAAATATAATAATAAATAGAGTAAAATAAATGTAATAAAATAATAATAGAGTAAAATCATGCAAATGTAATAATACCAATAATAGAGTAAAATAATAAATGTAATAAAAATAATAGTAATAACAAGAGTAAAATAATAAATAACTTTGACTCGATTATAAGCCGAGGGCAGCTTTTTCAGCCTAAAAAAGGGGCTGAAAAACTAGGCTCATACTCGAGTATATACAGTATATTACGATTCATAACAGTAGCAAAATGACATTTATGAAGTAGCAACTAAAATAATTTTTGTGGTGGGGCTCACCACACACCACAACATGAGGAACTGTATTAAGGGGTTGCGGCATTAGGAAGGTTGAGAAACACTGCTTTTAAGAGTTGTTATCCCAGTTTAAATCCTATGGCTGCTGCCTAATTTCCCCTCTTTCAACAATGGAGTTGTCTAGCTTTCAGTTAAAAATATTTTTGCACTATTTGTTCTTTTGCGTATCACGTAGAAAAAGTCCCAGCCAACGCTTGAAGCTTACTTTCCTTGCTCACTTTTTTTCTTCTTCCAAGATGTGCTACCATCTTGCAAAGAAGTGTGGACACATGGCACAGTTGCTAAGCAATCACTCCTCATGCTTCTAGCCGTGTGTAGTACTAGGCCTGTTTTTAGATCTGAGCATCCCATTGTCACTAAACACCCACAACTAGCTCTATTTATTTTTGTTTTGTCCAAGGATTTCATGGCTGGAATCACTGGGTTGCTGTGAATTTTCCGGGCTGTCTGGTCATGTTTCAGAAACATTCTCTCCTGACGTTTCACCCACATCTATGGAAGGCATTCTCAGAGGTTGTGAGGTCTGTTGGAAACTAGGCAAATGGGTGTATATATCTGTGGAATAATGTGCAGAGTGGGAGAAGGCCTTGCAACTTCAAAGCCTGGCTGGTTGCTGCCTGGGAGGATCCTTTGTTGGGAGGTGTTAGCTGGCCACACTGGACATTAATCAGTTATATTAATATAACAGTTATATTAATCAGAACACGTGCCATGTGGATGATGGAGTGTTAACTAAGGCCATGAAGCCTCCTTTCTCATGTGATGTATGTTATTTTAACTAACTAGCCATCCCCTGCCACGCGTTGCTGTGGTCCACTTTGGTGGTCATAGGGGTCCTGTGTGGGAGGTTTGGCCCAATTCTATCGTTGGTGGGGTTCGGAATGCTATGTGATTGTAGGTGAACTATAAATCCCAGCAACTATAACTCCCAAATGTCAAGATTCTATTTTCCCCAAACTCCACCAGTGTTCACATTTGGGCATATTGAGTATTCATGTAGAGTTTGGTCCAGATCCATCATCGTTTGAGTCAACAGTGCTCTCTGGATGTAGGTGAATTACAACGCCAAAACTAAAGACACTGCCCATCAAACCCTTCCAGTATTTTCTGTTGGTCATGGGAGAACTGTGTGCCAAGTATGGTTCAATTCCATCGTTGGTTGGGTTCAGAATGCTCTTTGATTGTAGGTAAGCTATAAATCCCAGCAACTACAACTCCCAAATGACAAAATCATTTTTTTTTTTTAGTGAAGGACATACATTGGGTTGTTAGGTGTACCATGTCTAAATTTGGTGTCAGTTCGTCCAGTGGTTTTTGAGTTCTGTGAATACCACAAACGAACATTACATTTTTATTTATATATATATTACTAGCTGTCCCCTGCCACGCGTTGCTGTGGCCGAGCCTGGTGATCTGGAAAATAAAGTAATGAGAAAGTGTTGGTTTTTAATATATGTAATTCCTTTATGCTTGTAGGTAAAGCAGTATTTCTTGCTGTTTCTTTGTCAGTGTTGATGTGGAGAGTGTCTGGTTTGCCCACCCTGGAACATGCAACATATCATTGTCCTTCTTTAGGGGTTTCTTTCCAATCTAGGATATTATATCTGTGTGTGTGTGAATCATATATATCTATCGATATCAATGGCTGAGTGGCTCTTTGTCAGGAGGGCTTTGATTATGTTTTCTTGCCCTGGTGAAGGGAGTTGGACTGGATGACCTTAAGTATTTTCTGTTGGTCATGGGGCTTCTGTGTGGGAAGTTTGCCCCAAATCTGTCATTTGTGGGGATCAAAATGCTCTTTGATTGTAGGTGAATTATAAATCCCAGTAAGTACAACTCCCAAATGTCAAGGTGTATTTCCCCCAAACTCAATCTGTGTTCATATTTGGGCATATGGAATATTTGTGCCAAGTTTGGTCCAGATCCATCATTGTTTGAGTCCACAGTGCTCCCTGGATGTATGTGAACTACAACTTCCAAAGTCAAGGTCAATGCCCACCAAACCCTTCTAGTGTTTTCTGTTGGTCATGGGAGTCCTGTGTGTCACCTTTGGTTCAATTCCATCATTGGTGGAGTTCAGAATGCTCTTTGATTGTAAGTGAACTATAAATCCCAGCAACTACAACTCCCAAACGACAAAATTATAATTTTTTGAGTGATGGTCACTCCTTGTGTTGTGAGACGTTTTGTTGCCAAATTTGGTGTCAATTCGCTTAGCTGTTTTTGAGTTCTGTTAATCCCACAAACCAACATTACATTTTTATTTATATAGATTATGTTTGGAAGAGCATATGATAAAATCTGATGCTGTTTTCTAAAGAGCTACAGTACTTTGCATTAATGTTTTCTAACCAGAGTTAGACCCATAATTCTGCACTTGTCTATATTTTGGAGGACATCAAAAAACAATAGTGTTGGGAACCACTGTCTTGCACTAGTACAGTGGTTCTCAAGCTGTGGTTTTCTAGGTGTTTTGGTCTGCAACTCCCAGAAATCCCAGCCAGTTTACCAGCTGTTAGGATTTCTGGGAGTTGAAGGTCAAAACATCTGGGGATCCACAGGTTGAGAGCCACTGCACTAATAGGAAAGTACATAATCCTTGCATATCTTTCCACATGTTTTGTATCAATTCCTATTCATGGCCTTGTTAGCCAAGGGCGATGGGAATTGTGGGCCAAAATGTCTGGATGGCACCAGGTTTAAAAGAGCTGTTGTCAGTCAATGTGGTGGCAACAAGGGATGCATTTCCCGAGGATGTTGACTTTGCTTTTGCTCTCTAGAGTGTGAAATAGACACACCACTCTGTCTCCCTAGACATACATGACTGTCTTAAAACATGCCAACATGCTTCGTTGTGGAAACTGACAAGGTTACTGAACACCCTGCTACCTCCTGGTAAATACAAGCTGCTAGTGGTGATTATTTCAAGACACAAACAGAAACAAAATCCAAATGCCTGGCATGTTGTATGGCTTTTAAGAAACTTTTCCAGATAACAATATCTTCAAACTGAAGAAGTGCATATATAATAATAACATTAATAATAATAATAATAATACCAGTATTAAAAAACTCAAAATTTACAAAATTACAACAGCAAAACAACAGAGAATAAACAATCAGGCACATCAAATCACCTCTCAAAGAAAGATTCCCCCAGGCACTTCCAAGCCATTAAATGCTAATCAAGGTGGTTAGTTGAAACATTCACACCTAGCTCCAGCAGACAAGAGTCCTTTGTCCCATCCTGGTCTTTCCACAGATATATAAACACATTTTCCTACTTCCAACAGATCTCACTACCTCTGAGGATGCTTGCCATAGATGCAGGCAAAACGTCAGGAGAAAATGCCCCTAGAACATGGCCATATAGCCTGGAAAACCTACAACAACCCAGTGATTCCGGCCATGAAAGACTTCGACAATACAATAATAATAAAAGTGGACCACAGATCCCAAATGTAGACTCTGTAAGGAAGCAGATGAAACAATAGATCACATCCTCAGCTGCTGCAAGAAGATTACGAAGACAGACTACAAGCAGAGGCATAACACCGTTGCTCAGATGATCCATTGGAACTTGTGCCACAAACACCATCTGCCTGCAACAAAGAACTGGTGGGATCACAAGCCGGAAAAAGTTACAGAGAATGAACACGCCAAACTCCTCTGGGACTTCCGGATTCAGACAGACAGAGTTTTGGACCTCACAGTCGTGTTAAAAACAAAGTACGGATCGTTGATGTCGCAATCCCAGGTGACAGCTGACACAATACAAGGATTTAAAAATCGAACTGTAAAAACTCTGTCACAAACCAGTAAAGGTGGTCCCAGTGGTGATCGGCACACTGGGTGCAGTGCCTCAAGACCTTGGCCTGCACTTAAGCACAATCGGCACTGACAAAATTACCATCTGCCAGCTGCAGAAGGCCACCTTACTGGGATCTGCACGCATTATTCGCCAATACGTCACACAGTCCTAGACACTTGGAAAGTGTCCAACATGTGATCCAATTCAACAGCCAGCAGAGTGTCTGCTGTGGACTCATCTTGTTGTGTTTCAAATAATAATAATAACAACAATAATAATAATAATAATAATAATAATAACTTTATTTATATTCCACTCTATCTCCCTGAAGGAATTACGGAGCGGATTACAGAATACATATATGGCAATCATTCAATGCCGTTATACAATTAACAACAAAGACAATGCATAGATATACATAAACAGTTCTGGTCTGGCTTACCTATCCGAACGTATCTCTCCTTATGAACCATATAGAACTTTAAGATCGTCTGGAGAGGCCCTGCTCTCGATCCCGCCTTCCTCGCAGATGCATTTGGTAGGGTCGAGAGACAGGGCCTTCTCACTGGCGACCCCTCGGCTATGGAACGCCCTCCCCAGGATATAAGATCGGCTCCCTCCCTTCTAACATTCCGCAAAATGGTTAAGACCTGGCTCTTCAAGCAAGCATAATTAGACAAAAACGAATATATGGAATGACTGATGATGCAATAGGACAACGATCTTAGTAAGGAAATGCCAAGGATCTTGTTTTTACAGATATATTTGCTTTTTATATTATTCTAGCCATCCCCTGCCGCATGTTGCTGTGGCCCAGGCTGTATGTGTTTTGTGTGTGTATATATATATATGTGTGTGTATATATTTGTGTATATATATGTATGTTTACGTATAGAATCATAGAATAATAGAGCGAAGAGACCTCATGGGCCATCCAGTCCAACCCCCTGCCAAGAAGCAGGAATATCGCATTCAAAGCACCCCTGAGAGATGGCCACCCAGCCTCTGTTTAAAAGCTTCCAAAGAAGGAGCCTCCACCACACTCCCGGGCAGAGAGTTCCACTGCTGAACGGCTCTCACAGTCAGGAAGTTCTTCCTAATGTTCAGATGGAATCTCCTTTCTTGTAGTTTGAATATATATATATATATATATATATATATATATATATATATATAGATGGGTGTATATATGTGTGTGTGTGTATATATGTGTGTATATATTTGTGTATTTCTGTGTTTATATGTGTACATGAATATTGTGTGTGTGTGCTTGTCTATATGCATATTTGTGTGTATGTGTATATGTATATGTGCATGTGTATATGTATATATGTGTGTATGTATATGTATGTGTGTATATGTGTATATTTGTGTGTGTTTGTGCATATATACATGTGTGTGTATGAATGTGTGCATGTGCATATGTATATGAGTGTACGTGTATATATATATATATGGTGTATTTTTTGGGTTTTTAAGCCTGTTCTGCTGGGGTTTTGTGTGTGTGTGTGTGTTTATGGTGATGGACACTCGTTGGACTGTTAGGTGTATTGTGTCCAAATTTGGTGTCAATTCATTCAGTATTTTTTGAGTTATGTTAATCCCACAAATGAACATTACATTTTTATTTATATAGACTAGCCGTCCCCTGCCACGCATTGCTGTGGCCCAGTTGTGTATATGTGTTTTGTGTGTGTGTATATATTTGTGCATATGTGTATATATGTGTGTTTGCATATATATGTGTGTGTGATTTTGTGCATGCATTGTAATGTATATTTTATTTTTTGGATTTTAATCTCTTCTGTTGTGTTTTTCAGTGTTTTATGAGTGATGGTTACTCACTGGCTTGATAAGTGTTTTGTTGTTCATTCGTTCAGTCGTCTCCGACTCTTCGTGACCTCATGGACCAGCCCACGCCAGAGCTCCCTGTCGGCCGTTACCACCCCCAGCTCCCTCAAGGATAAGTGTATTGTGTCCAAATTTGGTTTCAATTCGTCCAGTGGTTTTTGAGTTGTGTTAATCCCACAAACAAACATTATATTTCTATTTATATAGACTAGCCACCCCCTGCCACATGTTGCTGTGGCCCAGTCTGTGTATGTGTGTTTTGTGTATATATATGTGTAAGTGTATATATTTGTGTATATATGTGTGTTTGTGTATATATATGTGTGGTTTTGCACATGTGTTGTAATGTAATTTTTGGAGGGCCTTTTAAGTGTCTTCTATTGTGTTTTTCAGTGTTTTTACGAGTGATGGTCACTTGTTGGCCTGATAGGTGTATTGTGTGTCCAAATTTGGTGTCAATTCGTCCAGTGGTTTTTGAGTTATGTCAATCCCACAAACGAACATTACATTTTATTTATATAGATTTTAAATGTTGAATTGTTTTTATAATTGTTTTAACTGATTTTGATATTTGTTATGGCATCAAATCACTGCCAACTGTGAACCGCCTTGAGTTGCCTTTGGCTGAGAAAGGCGGTATACAAATGTGGTAAATAAATAACAAATAAAATAGACAGAGAGAAGGTAGCACATTGCCTGTTACTTACCGTGTTGCCAAGATTGCGCAGACCAATGTGCCCAGAGCCCAGTAGAAGGGTGTGATGTGTCTAAAGGCAAAGAAAACATAGTGGGTAGCTGAAGTAGTAGTTAAATAAGAAATCCAGCATGTCTTGTGTCCCCATGAGGCTTAATCCAAGCAGATCAGGAAGTCTGAGAAACACACACATCGCATTCCAACTCACTCAGTGCTATGATTAGAGATCAACAGAAGCTGATATAAACTGACTCAAATCAACAGTTTACCTAATCCAGCACTAATGACACCGAGGCCTCTTCCATGCAGCCGTAGAACCCAGAATATCAAGCCAGACAACCCACAATATTTTTGAACTGGGTTATCTGAGTCCACATTGCCATATAACCCAGTTCAAAGCAGATAAATGAAATCTTAACTCAATAAATAAAAAGCACCTTCCTGAACCAGGCAGCAGGGCCTGGAGGCCATAGCTTGTAATATATGATATATTTCTCTCTTCTCTTCCCTTCCCTAAACAGTGCGTTCCAGAGTCGGGGGGCTACAGAGGAAAAAGCTCTCTCCCTTGTACTTACTAGGCGAGCTTGTGAGACTGACAGGGGCGAAAGAAGGGCCTCCCCAGAACAACGGAGGCCCGAGTTGGTTCATGGCGGGAGATACGGTCATGAAGGTAGGCAGGTCCCAAACTGTTTAGGGCTTTATAGGTGATGACCTGCACCTTGAATTGTGACCAGAAAATAAATGACAGCAAGCGGAGCTCCTTAAACACGGGGGTTGACCGCTCCCTGTAAGTTGCCCCAGTTATTAATCTGGCTGCTGAATGTTGGACAAGTTGTAGTTTCCGGGCTGTCTTCAAGGGCAGCCCCACGTAGAGAGCATTACAGTAATCCAGTCTAGAGGTACCTAAGGCATGGACCACCATGGTCAAGTCAGACTTCACGAGGTATGGTCTCAGCTGGCTCACAAGTTGTGCGAAGGCCCTCCCCAAAAGAGACATGCACAAGAAGTGGAAAAAGGGAGAAATCACCAAAGAAGAATTCAAACAAATACCCAACTCCTGTAGGGAGAAGGTCCGCAAGGCTAAAGCACAAAATGAACTGTGCGAAAGCCCTCCCGGCCACTGCCAACACCTGCGCATCAAGCACCAGGAGGACCACCAAACTGAGGATCTGTGATTTCAGAGGGAGTGCAATCCCATCCAGCACAGGTTGCCACCCAATACCCCGGTCAGCCAAACGACTGACCTGGAGGACCTCTGTGAACACTAATTGAGTTTTTTTGGGGTGGTGGTGGTGGAATAGACCTTGACATTTGGGAGTTGTAATTGCTGGGATGTATAGTTCACCTACAATCAAGGAGCATTCTGAACCTCACCAACAATAGAATCGGGCAAAAGTTCCCATACAGAACCCCCATGACCTTCTGGGGAGGCCCTTCTTTCGCCCCTGCCAGTCTCACAAGCTCGCCTGGTAAGTACAAAGAGCTTTTTCCTCTGTGGCCCCCCGACTCTGGAACTCACTACCTGGAGATATTAGGAAAGCCCCTACCCTAGAAACCTTTAAAAAGAACCTTAAAACCTGGCTCTTTTGCTGCGCTTACATCCTCACACTAGTGCATCAACATTTTGTCATTGGAGTACATGTTTTCTGATGGTCTTTGGCAATCCCTCTGACACTCTCTTTGCAACCCCCCCCCCCCCCAGGTGTCCCAACTCCCAGGTGGAGCAATGCTGAAATAGAAGCTTATCCCATGATTCCCCTGCTCTTTCCCCTCCCCAGGCTGGCATACATTTCCCATGCCTGTGAGCAAAAGGAGATTTACCTCACTGGTCATCAGTAGCAACCCCATTACTGCAGTGTGGACCACTGACTCGGAAATGTCTGCCGCTCGGCCATGAAGCTCGCGCTTGGTGGCCAAGGTGCGGTGGAGCTTCGCCGGCAGTTCCACCAGCGTGGCCCCTTGAAGCCCTGGCATGGCTCTCCTTCCAAGTCCAGGGGAGCGAGCAAAAAAGCAGGCTTCACCAGGCACGGTGGCAAATGGGGAAAAAAGGGCCGCTGGGCCCTCCCACCTGTCCCTATAAGCCACTGGTTCATTAGCTGATCCGATTTCCCTTGGCTATTCCTGGTTCTACTGGAGGCTTTTCTCATGGGGATTAATTAGCAAGAAGAGCTACTTTGGGGGACAGCTGCTGTTTGGATAACCAAGGAGCCAGATGGGGAGAAAATAAAAATAAACAAAAACACCCCAATGGTGGGTGTAGCACATTTGGGGATACACCTTTCCCAGGAAACCCACACCGTCTTCTAACTAGGAAAAGGCACAAGACACATAATGGATGCTGCCCATCACACCACTTCTCAGAGACCAAGGAGAGCAACCCCCACCCTCTTTCCAGGAACACACCGACTTTCCCAGAAGTCATACCAAGCTGAACAGTGACTATACTGGCAAGAAAAATCCTCCCAGTGGGAACAAATTAACTGTTACACCGGGAGAACACCAATGAACACATATCCAGCCATTTTTAAAATTGTTTATGTCACTATTGATTGTTTTTTGTTTATGTGATTTATACGATTTGTATTTTATTGATTGTTTATTGATGTTGTGTTTATTGATGTTTTGTTTGATGTACTTTGGGCTTGGCCTCATGTAAGCCGCACCGAGTCCCTTGGGGAGATGGTAGTGGGGTACAATCAAGTTTATTATTATTACTAGCCGTCCCCTGCCACGCGTTGCTGTGGCCCACATGGGGGTTCTGTGTGGGAAGTTTGGCCCAATTCTATCGTTGGTGGGATTCAGAATGCTCTGTGATTGTAGGTGAACTATAAATCCCAGCAATTTCAATTCCCAAATGTCAAGATCTATTTTCCCCAAACTCCACCAGTGTTTGTATTTGGGCATATTGAATATTTGTGCCAAGTTTGGTCCAGATCCATCATTGAGTGCACCGTGCTCTCTGGAGGTAGGTGAACTACAACTCCAAAACTCAAGGTCAATACCCACCAAATCCTTCCAGTATTTTCTGTTGGTCATGGAAGTTCTGTGTGCCAAGTTTGGTTCAATTCCATCATTGGTGGGTTGAGAATGCTCTTTGATTGTAAGTGAACTATAAATCCCAGCAACTGCAACTCCCAATTGACAAAAACATTTTTTTTTGAGTGAAGGACATACATTGGGTTGTTAGGTGTCTTGTGTCCAAATTTGGTGTCAATTCGTCCAGTGGTTTTTGAGTTGTGTTAATCCCACAAACGAACATTACATTTTTATTTATATAGCTTATTTATTATTATTATCTGAGCTTATCATGTTGCCCAGCAAACAAGAAGGTGTGAACAGGATACTGGAGATGGGGAGGTGTTTTACTCCTAAAATGTCATTGATTTTTGTCATTTGGGAGTTGTAGTTGCTGGGATTTATAGTTCAGCTACAATCAAAGAGCATTCTATACTCCACCAATGTTGGAATTGAACCAAACTTAGCACACAAGTATTGGAGCAGTGGCTCTCATCCTTCCTAATGACCCCCAACCATAACATTATTTTTGTTGCTACTACATTACTGACAATGGTCAGATACGGGAGATTTAACAGCACCCCTTATAATGAACGGAGTTGTATCTGTGGGGCTCCCAAAATTGAGGATACAGCACACATACCTGTATATACTCGAGTATAAGCCTAGTTTTTCAGACCTTTTTTGGGGCTGAAAAAGTTCCTCTCGGCTTATACTCAAGTCAAGGTTATTTATTATTTTACTTTTTATAAATACATAATAAATCTCTTATTATTATTATTGCATTTATTATTTTACTTTATTATTGTTGTTATTATTACATTTATTATTTTACTCTATTATTATTGTTATTATTACATTTATTATTTTACTCTATTTATTTTTATTGGAAGGGTATGCAAGTTTTATGTAAAAATTACAGTTTTATATAAATATTCAAAAAGATTTAACCTCCTGATGCCTCAATTAATATAATTTTATTGGTATCTATTTTTATTTTGAAATTTACCAGTATCTGTTGCATTTCCCATCCTCGGCTTATAAGCGAGTCAATCTGTTTTCGCATTTTTTTGTGGTAAAATTAAGTGCCTTGGCTTATATTCTGGTCGGCTTATACTCGAGTATATACGGTATGTTTTCTGATGGTCTTTGGCAAACCCTCTGAAACCACCCCCAGGAGTCCCAACCCCCAGGCTGAGAAACACTGGTTTAGATGAAGAGGCACCAATTCCTTACAGTGCTTGCCTTCTCTTCCAGTTTGCTGGGAACGGGGACTTTGTTCTGGGGTGGGCTGGTCGATAAGAGGATTTCTGGAGAGCGAGCATATTCCGGGGCTTGTGGGTCTATGGTGCGAGTCCTCAGGCAGCCTTCTGTGCAGACGGACAGCAGGGTGGCAGACGGTCTTCCATCCAGGCCCGTGGTGATGTTGACTCTGCGGAGCGAAGAACTTCTCTTCAGAGCCAAGGCGCCCAAGCCAATCTTGTGAATGCAAGAAGGGCTACGGTCCCGGAGGGCCAGGCGGTTCAGTGCGGTGCTCAGCGGCTCCTCCCCATGGTTGCCGGCCTGGCTTAAGTCACCGATGCTGATGGATTTGGAGCGGAGCAGGTTGCTTCTTCGTTGGTCAGAGTCTGGTCCGCCAAAAAGAACCCCAGGCATCATGGTGAAGGAGGTGCTGCCGGAGATAGTGCCCGGTTGGGGGCAGCTGGGTATTTTGAGCGCGTGGTCTGCCTTGATTGGGCCGCGTCGGGAGGCAGGACCGCGCGGCACGTCGCTATGCTTGGAGGCCCGGCCACGGTCCATCTCGAGCTTCTTGCCCCTATCGTCCAGAGGGGTTGGCCGGGGTGGTAAGGGCCGGAGTTTGGAAGAACCAGAGAGTCCATTGGAAATGGAGGAGGAAGAGCAGCAGCTGCGGTGCTCTTGACTCGGAGCTCGGTGTGCATTTGGGAGCTTGGTGTTGGCCTTTGGCTGAGAGGTGATGACTGCTTGCTCTCTCGCCCGGCTCATGCGGTGCTCAGACGCTTGGGGCATTATGGAGAGAAGGGAGAGGAAGGCCCTAGGACAAAAGCAAGGGGGGAAACGAAACATGGTTAAGGTAAGGTAAAGGTTTTCCCATGACATAAATAAATAAAAGCATATTCTAATCATTGTTTCACTGGGAATCATTGTGCAAACGCTTGGCCCCACAACCAGGATTTAACTTTCTTCCTGAAGGCAGTAGAGAGGGAACTGATCTAATTTCCCTGGGGAGGGATTTCCAAAGCCGAGGGGCCACCACTAAGAAGGCCCTGTCTCTCATCCCCATGAGTTGAGCTTACAAGGGGGGTGGAATCAAAAACAGGGTGTCCCTGGATCATTTTAACCTTTGAGATGGTTCACAGGGGGATATACATTCGGAAAAGTAAGCTGGGCCGGAACCATTTAGGGCAGGGGTCCTCAAACTAAAGCCCGGGGGCTGGATACGGCCCTCCAAGGTCATTTACCCGGCCCTCGCTCAGGGTCAACCTGTCTGAAATTACTTGAAAGCATACAACAACAACAACAACAACAACAACAACAACAACCCTATCTCATCAGCCAAAAGCAGACCCACACTTCCTATTGAAATACTAATATGTTTAGATTTGTTAAAATGTTCTTCATTTTAATTATTGTATTGTTTTAAAGTGGGGTTTTTTTTGCACGACAAATAAGATACGTACATAGGAATTCATTCATGTTTTTTTTTTCAAATTATAATCCGGCCCTTCAACAGTTTGAGGGACTGTGTCCTGGCCCTCTGTTTAAAAAGTCTGAGGACCCCTGATTTAGGACTTTATAGGCCAGCTCTGTGAATTGTGCTTGGTAGCAGACTGGCAGCAAGTGGAGCTGGCGCAACAAGAGTAATGTCCTCTCTTTGTACGCTGCTCCAGTGAGCAGCCTGGCAGCCACCAGCTGAACTACCTGAAGCTTCCAAACAAGAAGGTGGCAACCCCATGTAGAGCACATTACAGTAGTCTATTAGAAATGTAACGGGAGTGTGGGCTGCAGTAGCCAAATTTGATTTCCCAAGATATGGGCGCAACTGATGCACAAGTTTTAATTGTGCGAATGTTCTCCTGGCCACCACTGAGACCTGGGGTTCCAGGCTCAGCAATGAATCCAGGACCACTTCCAAGCTGCGAACCTGCACCTTCAGGGGGAGTATGATCCCACCTAACACAGGCTGTAACCCTATACCATGCCATCTGGAGTTTTGGAGTATGGTGCCATCTCTACCAGATGACACCCAACTCCACTACTCATTTCCACCAGACTCCCAGGAAGCCCGAGGACACTGGACCAGTGCCTGGCTGCTGTGATGACCTGGATGAGGAGGAACAAGATGAGGAACAATCCTCACAAGAGAGAGGTCCTCCAGGTCAGTTGCCCGTCTGACTTTGGTATTGGGTGGCAACCTGTACTGGACGGGGCTGCACTCTCCCTGAAGACACAGGTCCGCAGTTTGGGATGTTTGGGAGTTCTCCTGGACTCAGCGCTGATGCTTGAAGCACAGGTGTCAGCGGTGGCCGGGAGAACCTTAGCACAATTCAAACTCGTGCGCCAACTGCGACCATACCTCGTGAAGTCTGACTTGACTATGGTAGCCGATGCCTTAGTTAACTCCATACTGGATTATTGCAATGCACTCTTCGTGGGGCTGCCCTTGAAGACGGCCCGGAAATTACAACTTTTCCAATGGTCGGCAGCCAGATTAATAACAGGGGCAACTTACAGGGAGCGGTCAACCCCCCTGTTCAAGGAGCTCCATTGGCTACCCTAAACTGTTTGGGACCCGCCTACCTTTGTGATCCTATCTCTCTCCATGAACCAGCCCAAACTCTTCAATCTTCGGGGGAGGCCCTCCTTTCGCCCTTAACAGTTTCTCAGGCTCACTTTGTGGGTACAAGGGGGAGAGCCTTCTCCTCTGTGGCCCCCCAAATCTGGAACTCGTTGCCCGGAGAGATTAGGAAAGCCCCTATTTTAGAAACCTTTAAAAAGAATCTCAAGACCTGACTCTTCCGTTGCGCTTTCGGAGAGTAGCCACATAATTTTATGCTATTGCTCCCTCGACGTTCTTGTCCTAGGAGTACACCCCTCCTCTTAAATGAAGATTTGTTTATTTCCCCGTGTCTTTATGAGTTCTCCCTTACAAATAGTTCGGCCCCTTTATCTCACCCTGAGTTTTTAAATTATTTTATGTACATGCGGCCCGCTCACTGTCATTCTATTTGGTTTACTGCTTTCTTTTTTAATGTTTTGTGTATATTGTTTATATGCTTCTATGTTTTATACTTTAATGTTATGTTGTTTATTTTATTGCAATTTGTATCTTATTGTATTGTAATTTGTTGTTCGGGCTTGGCCTCATGATGGTGGCGGGGTATAAATAAATACTATTATTATTATTATTATTATTATTATTATTATTATTATTATTATTATTAGATCTCACGACTGACCAGGAGCACCTCCACCTTGTCTGGATTCAATTTCAATTTGTTCGCCCTCATCCAGACTGTCACAGTGGCCAAGCACCAGTTCAGGACTTCAACAGCTTCCTTAGCAGCAGGTAGAAAGGAGTGAGAGTTAGACGTCATCTGAGTACAGATGGCAACAAACTCCAAAACTCCAGACAATCTCTCCCACACATTAAGAGTGACTTAAATTGGTAGAAACAAATTAAGCAAGCTTACAAGTAAATCAAGATCACTGAAAATCAGTACCAAATACTCTGAAACCAATTTTGATTAACTCAACAGACACTAAAAGCCGGATTCATGAGATAGATGGACAACAGAAGCTCAGTCCTTGCCCAAGGTTGATACTCACCTCTCACAAGCCAAGAGACTCGTTCCCCTGCCAGATCCTGGTTCAAACCTCATAGAGGTGGATGAGCACAAGAGGGCTTTCCTCTGTCGTTGCCCTGCAAAGCAAAAGGAAAAGTTGGACTCATCTTGGGACCCGCCTACCTTTGTGACCGTATTTCCCTCCATGAAACATCTCGGGCCCTCCGATCTTCTGGGGAGGCCCTTCTCTCGCCCTGCCAGTTTCACAAGCTCGCTTGGTGAGTACAAGGGAGAGAACTTTTTCCTCTGTGGCTCCCCGACTCTGGAACTCATTGCCTGGAGAAATTAGGAAAGCCCCTATCCTAGAAACCTTTAAAAAGAACCTTAAAACCTGGCTCTTCCGCTGCACCTTTGGTGAGTAGGGATACAATCTCACATTATTGCTCAGCCTCAAAGTTCCGTCATTGGGTTAGAAGGCAGGATCATCAAGTTTGCAGATGACACCAAATTGGGAAGGATAGCCAATACTCCAGATGACAGGAGCAGGATTCAAAACAATCTTGACAGATTAGAGAGATGGGCCAAAACTAACAAAATGAAGTTCAACAGTGACAAATGCAAGATACTCCACTTAGGCAGAAAAAACGAAATGCAAAGATACAGAATGGGGGACGATGCCTGGCTCGAGAACAGTACGTGTGAAAAAGATCTTGGAGTCCTCGTGGACAACAAGTTAAACATGAGCCAACAATGTGATGTGGCGGCAAAAAAAGCCAATGGGATTTTGGCCTGCATCAATAGGAGCATAGTGTCTAGATCTAGGGAAGTCATGCTCCCCATGCTCTATTCTGCCTTGGTTAGACCACACCTGGAATATTGTGTCCAATTCTGGGCACCACAATTCAAGAGAGATATTGACAAGCTGGAATGTGTCCAGAGGAGGGCGACTAAAATGATCAAGGGTCTGGAGAACAAGCCCTATGAGGAGCGGCTTAAAGAGCTGGGCATGTTTAGCCTGAAAAAGAGAATGCTGAGAGGAGACATGATAGCCATGTATAAATATTATTTATTTATTTATTTATTAACTTTATTTATACCTCGCTAACAAATCGTGAAAGACTCGATGCGGCTTACAAAGGCCAAGGCTGCCAACAAAACAACAACATAACAATACAGCAATAAAACTCATAAAGCAAACAATAAACATCAAGCAAAAAATAAAACACTAAAAACAATGACACCATGACGCATTTAAAACCTAAGGCCGGGCCAATGTAATGAACAAGATTTAAAAGTGCTGGACATGACAGGTGAAATGTAGAGGTTTTGGAGGTAGGTGCAATGTGCAGACAATCCTAAATCTCTAACAAAGTGCATTTGGGACATGATGCTAGGAGTTTCCTATTCTGGAAAGGCACACTGGAACAGCCAAGTCTTCAGGCTCTTCCTAAAGACTGCCAATGTTGGGGCTTGTCTAATGTCCTTGGGGAGAGAGTTCCAGAGTCGGGGGGCCACCACAGAGAATATGTGAGGAGAAGAAGCCACAGGGAGGAGGGAGCAAGCTTGTTTTCAGCTTCCCTGGAGACTAGGACGCAATGGAACAATGGCTTCAAACTACAAGAAAGGAGATTCCATCTGAACATGAGGAAGAACTTCCTGACTGTGAGAGCCGTTCAGCAGTGGAACTCTCTGCCCCGGAGTGTGGTGGAGGCTCCTTCTTTGGAAGCTTTGAAACAGAGGCTGGATGGCCATCTGTCAGGGGTGCTTTGAATGCAATATTCCTGCTTCTTGGCAGAATGGGGTTGGACTGGATGGCCCAACTCTAGGATTCTATGATTCTACTAAAGCTGGGTGGACACTGCCATATAATGCAGTGTCGATCCAACCTAAGACTCGCATAGACTGCTGTCAGGCTACTCCAAAGAGTTTGCCATAAAATCATAGAATCAAAGAGTTGGAAGAGACCTCATGGGCCATCCAGTCCAACCCCCTGCCAAGAAGCAGGAATATTGCATTCAAATCACCCTGACAGATGGCCATCCAGCCTCTGTTTAAAAGCTTCCAAAGAAGGAGTCTCCACCACACTCCGGGGCAGAGAGTTCCACTGCTGAATGGCTCTCACAGTCAGGAAGTTCTTCCTCATGTTCAGATGGAATCTCCTTTCTTGTAGTTTGAAGCCATTGTTCCGCATCCTAGTCTCCAGGGAAGCAGAAAACAAGCTTGCTCCCTCCTCCCTGTGGCTTCCTCTCACATATTTATACATGGCTATCATATCGCCTTCAGGAGGAGGGTGAAGACGTGGTTATGGGACCAGACCTTTGGGCACTCTGGCAATTAAATCAGTTAATCAGGCGAGTAAGACCAACAGGATTGATGAAGTAGAATGTAAAACTAGATCTATGAGTTAGCGAACGCTGACCATGTAAGAGGAGAAATTGGGTTTGTATTGGTTTTTACTGATTTTATTGCTTTTATGGTTATAATGCATGAATTGTTGTTAACTGTGAATTGTTGTAATTTTGTGTATGATTGTTTTATGATGCAGGCATCGAATTGTGCCTTTGCTTTTGTAAGCCGCCCTGAGTCCCCTCCGGGGTGAGAAGGACGGGGTAAAAGAACCCTAAATAAATAAATAAATAAATATCTCCTCTCAGCCTTCTCTTCTTCAGGCTAAACATGCCCAGCTCCTTAAGCCGCTCCTCATAGGGCTTATTCTCTAGACCCTTGATCATTTGAGTCGCCCTCCTCTGGACACATTCTAGCTTGTCAACTCTCACATACTTATACATGGCTATCATATCTCCTCTCAGCCTTCTCTTCTTCAGGCTAAACATGGCCAGCTCCTTAATCCGCTCCTCATAGGGCTTATTCTCCAGACCCTTGATCATTTTAGTCACCCTCCTCTGGACACATTCCAGCTTGTCAACTGTCACATATTTATACATGGCTATCATATCTCCTCTCAGCCTTCTCTTCTTCAGGCTAAACATGCCCAGCTCCTTAATCCGCTCCTCATAGGGCTTATTCTCCAGACCCTTGATCATTTTAGCCGCCCACCTCTGGACACATTCCAGCTTGTCAATATCTCTCTTGAATTGTGGTGCCCAAGAATTGGACACAATATTCCAGGTGTGGTTTAACCAGAGCAGAATAGAGGGGTAGCATTACTTCCCTAGATCTAGACACTGGCAGATGAATAAGGGACTGTGACGATGGATAGGAATTGGACAAGGTGGAACGAAATATGAACTCTGAGTTGGTGAACGCTGTGTCTGAGATTGGCTATTGATTGTGTGATATATTGTTATTTTTAAGTGTTTTAATTGTTGACCATTTAATTGCTGGTTTTTATATGTTATTGTATTTGTGTAGGTACCAAGATGTGCCTTTTGTAAGCCGCCCTGAGTCCCCCCTCGGGGGTTGAGAAGGGCGGAGTATAAGCACACGAAATAAATAAAATAAATAAATAGGCTCCTACTGATGCAGGCCAAAATCCCATTGGCTTTTTTTGCCACCACATCACATTGTTGGCTCATGTTAAACTTGTTGTCCACAAGGACTCCAAGATCTTTTTCGCAATCCTCCTTTGCAATTGCGCCTGGTGGGGACGAGGGACAGGGCCTTCTCGGTGGTGGCCCCTCGGCTCTGGAAATCTCCCCCATTGGATATTAGATCTGCCCCTTCCCTCCTGACTTTCAGAAAGCTGGTGAAATCTTGGCTTTGGAATATAGCATTGGACACAATATTCCAGGTGTGGTCTAACCAGAGCAGAATAGAGAGGTAGCATGACTTCCCTAGACCTAGACACTAGGCTCCATGATGAAGAGATTACATAATAATGCGAATAGGTCTCCCTATTGTTGTGCAAAGGTGTGGGTGGCCTCTCCCCCTGGCCAGGCCCAGGCCTGCCCTCCCCTGAGGCCTCCCCTTGCAGAGCCCACCTCCTAGGCCTCAATGGCCCCCCAGACACCAAACCCCCCAAGAAACCTCCTCTGCTTCTTCTCCTGTCCCTCATTCAGGAAGCTTCCCCGCTGCCCACCTCGGCCACGACCCAAACGCGCCCCCCTCCCACCCGGCCGCGAAGGCCTTCAGGTGCTGTAGGCGCTCACCTCCTCCACGACGCCATGGCAACAACAACTCCTGGGGCGCCCGCCGCCATCTTTGTCCCTCCTCTCCTCTCCGGCTTGCCCGGCCAGAGGCTGGGCTTCGCGCGGCCCTACCGCGCAGGCGCAAGCGCCCGGACCGCGTGGGCCGCGCATGCGCCATGCTGACTCTTCCCCTTCCCTTTCGGAACTTTGTTGACGTCACAGACTGTGTGCTCCCTTTTGCCGCAAACCCCGCCACGCTCGTCTCCCGTTGCCATGGGAGCCAAGCAAAGCGTCCTGCGAAATTTAAAGGGGCCGCAGCATTTTGCAAACGTGGGACTAGGAGCCCTTCTACCCAGCCCGATTGCCAATATCCGCATGCTGGAGAATGGAGAAAGGCAGGGAGTTTCAGAAAAACATCTACTTCTGCTTCATTGACCATTCTAAAGCCTTTGACTGTGTGGATCATCATAAATTGTGGCAAGTTCTTGGTGGGATGGGCATCCCAAGCCCCCTTCCTCTCTCCTGAGGAATCTGTACAAGGACCAAGTAGCAACAGTCAGAACTGACCACGGAACAACAGACTGGTTCAAGATTGGGAAAGGCGTACGGCAAGGCTGCATACTCTCACCCAACCTTTATAACTTGTATGCAGAACACATCATGCGATTTTCCTATGTCACCCTATGTCGGTGAAAATTGCTGGAAGAAACATTAACAACCTCAGATATGCAGATGACACCACTCTGATGGCCGAAAGCGAGGAGGAGCTGAGGAGCCTTCTAATTAAGGTGAAAGTAGAAAGCGCAAAAGCTGGGTTGCAGCTAAACGTCAAAAAAACCAAGATTATGGCAACAAGAATGATTGACAACTGGGAAATAGAGGGAGAAAATGTGGAGGCCGTGACAGACTTTGTATTTCTAGGTGCAAAGATTACTGCAGACGCAGACTGTGGCCAGGAAATCAGGAGACGCTTCCTTCTTGGGAGGAGAGCAATGTCCAATCTCGATAAAATAGTAAAGAGTAGAGACATCAGACTGGCAACCAAGATCCATTGCCTAGTCCAAGCCATGGTATTCCCTGTAGTCACCTACGGATGTGAGAGCTGGACCTTAGGGAAGGCTGAGCGAAGGAAGATCGATGCTTTTGAGCTGTGGTGTTGGAGGAAAGTTCTGAGAGTGCCTTGGACTGCGAGAAGATCCAACCAGTCCACCCTCCAGGAAATAAAGCCCGACTGCTCACTGGAGGGAAAGATACTAGAGACAAAGTTGAAGTACTTTGGCCACATCATGAGGAGACAGGAAAGCCTAGAGAAGACAATTATGCTGGGGAAAGTGGAAGGCAAAAGGAAGAGGGGCCGACCAAGGGCAAGATGGATGGAGGGCATCCTTGAAGGGACTGGACTGACCTTGAAGGAGCTGGGGGTGGTGACGGCCGACAGGGAGCTCTGGCGTGGACTGGTCCATGGGGTCACGAAGAGTCGGAGACGACTGAACGAATGAACAACAACAAACACCCAGACATAGAACACAGAATATCCAGGCAAATCATCCACACAATATCTGCTTTGAGCTGGGTTATCTGAGGCCCTTTCCACACTGCTGTATAAAATCTCACATTATCTGTTTCACATTATTTAAAACTGGGCTATAGTATTTATTTATTTATTTATTTATTTACTTACTGTATTTATATTGCATAGAATCATAGAATCAAAGAGTTGGGAGAGACCTCATGGGCCATCCAGTCCAACCCCATTCTGCCAAGAAGCAGGAATGTTGCATTCAAAGCACCCCTGACAGATGGCCATCCAGCCTCTGTTTAAAAGCTTCCAAAGAAGGAGCCTCCACCACACTCCTGGGGCAGAGAGTTCCACTGCTGAATGGCTCTCTCAGTCAGGAAGTTCTTAGAATCATAGAATCATAGAATCAAAGAGTTGGACGAGACCTCCTGGGCCATCCAGTCCAACCCCATTCTGCCAAGAAGCAGGAATATTGCATTCAAATCACCCCTGACAGATGGCACGACCTAGCTATGGTGATCCAGGCCACGGTCATCTCAAGACTGGACTACTGTAACACCCTCTACATTGGCCTTCCTCTGTCGGTGATCCGGAAGCTCAAGTTGGTACAAAATGCAGCTGCTCGGCTTCTTGCGGGAATTCCGATGAGATGCCATATAACACCAATCTTACTACAGCTGCATTGGTTACCAATTGAGCACCGGATCACTTTCAAAGTCATGGTACTCACCTTTAAGGCCTTGCATGGTCTGGGGCCGATGTACCTGAGGGACCGCCTCACCCCCTACCAACCCCAGAGATCCCTCGTTCTGAGGACCAAGATCTATTGGAAATTCCCAGTGTCAAGACCTTGCGTCTAACAGCAACCAGACGCAGAGCCTTTACAGCAATGGCACCATCACTCTGGAATACTCTGCCACCTGAAGTCCGTGCCTTGCGGGACTTACCAGCTTTCCGCAGGGCATGTAAGACATACCTGTTCCGACAGGCTTTTAATGTTTGATACTGTTGTTTTTAAATTGTTTTAAATTGCTTTTAAACTTTGTTAGATTTTAGCTATTCTTGTAAGCCGCTCCGAGCCCCAGGGGAGTGGCGGCATATAAGTTTAAATAATAAATAAATAAATAAATTATCAAAGAAGGAGCCTCCCACACTCTGGGGCAGAGAGTTCCACTGCTGAACGGCTCTCACAGTCAGGAAGTTCTTCCTCATGTTCAGATGGAATCTCCTCTCTTGTAGTTTGAAGCCATTGTTGCACGTCCTAGTCTCCAGGGAAGCAGAAAACAAGCTTGCTCCCTCCTCCCTGTGGCTTCTCTCACATATTTATACATGGCTATCATATCTCCTCTCATTCCTCTCTTCTTCAGGTTAGGCATGCCCAGCTCCTTAAGCCGCTCCTCATAGGGCTTGTTCTCCAGACCCTTGAGCATTTTAGTCGCCTCCTCTGGACACAATATTCCAGGAGTGTTGTATTGGATCACATGACGGACACTTCCCAAGTGTCTAGAACTGTGTGATGCATCAGCGAATAATGCGTGTAGATCCAAGTAGGGTGGCATAATAATAATAATAATAATAATAATAATAATAATAATAATAATAATAATCTATATAAATAAAAACATTAGGAAGAACTTCCTGACTGGGTTGGACTGGATGGCCCATGAGGTCTCTTCCAACTCTTTGATTTATTTATTTACAGTATTTATATTTATTTATATTATTTATTTACAGTATTTATATTATTTATATTATTTATTTCTTTTTTAAATTTATATTATTTATTTATTTACAATATTTATAAGGTAAAGGTTGTCCCCTGACATTAAGTCCAGTCTGTCTGACTCTGGGGGTTGGTGCTCATCTTGATTTCTAAGTCAAAGAGCTGACGTTGTCCCTAGACACCTCCAAGGTCATGTGGCCAGCATGACTGCATGGAGCACCGTTGTCAAATAACTGAGCAGAAACCCTTGTTGATAGTCTACAAATCTCCTCAACATCCGTTACTGTTATGAATAATAACAACAGTAAATGAGTTCCTCTCCAACCAGTTCTATAGGTGCCACGTTTGGTTCAATTCCATTGTTGGTGGGGTTCAAAATGTTGTTTGACTGTAGGTGAACTATAAATCACAGCAACTACAACTCCAAAATGACAAAATCATTTTTTTTTGAGTGAAGGACATACATTGGGTAGTTAGATGTCTTGTGTCCAAATTTGGTGTCAATTACTCCAATGGTTTTTGAGTTCTGTTAATCCCACAAACGAAGATTATATTTTTATTTATATAGATAGATATATTATCTTATATATATATAAATGCTCTGTGCATAATGAGTACCTTAAAAACAAAAGAACCAATGAACGAAATCACACCAAATTTGGCAACAAAACGTCTCACAACACAAGGAGTGACAATCACTTAAAATTTTATGATTTTGTCATTTTGGAGTTGTAGTTGCTGGGATTTATAGTTCACCTACAATCAAAGAGCATTCTGAACTCCACCAATGATGGAATTGAATCAAATTTGGCACACAGGACTCCCATGACCAACAGAAAATACTGGAAGGGTTTGGTGGGCATTGTCCTTGAGTTTGGGAGTTGTAGTTCACCTACATCCAGAGAACACTGTGGACTCAAACTACGATGAATCTGGGCCAAACTTGGCACAAGCACTCAATATGCCCAAATATGAACACAGATGGCATTTGGGGGAAATAGACCTTGACATTTGGGAGTTGTAGTCACTGGGATGCACAGTTCACCTACAATCAAAGAGCATTCTGAACCCCACCAATGATGGAATTGGGCCAAACTTCCCACACAGAACCCCCATGACCATCAGAAAATACTTAAGGCCATCCAATCCAACTTCCTTCATCAGGGCAAGAAAACGTAATCAAAGCCCTCCTGACAAAGAGCCATCCAGCCATAGATATAGATGGATGGATGGATAGATAGATATGATTGACACACACACAGATATAGTATCATAGATTTGAAAGGGACCCTTAAAGAAGGACAGTGATATGTTGCATGTTCCAGGGTGGGCAAACACAGACACTCTCCACATCAACACTGACAAAGAAACAGCAAGAAATACTGTTTACCCACAAGCATAAAGGAATTACATATATTAGAAACCAACACTTTCTCATTAGTTTATTTTCCAGATCAACAGACTGGGCCACAGCAACGTGTGGCAGGGGACAGCTAGTATATATATATATATATATATAGAGAGAGAGAGAGAGAGAGAGAGAGAGAGAGAGCGGTGCTCCAAGGGTACTTTGAGTAAAAGGCAAGCAGCAAAGTGAGACAGCCACCCAAAAAAGAGCATATAGTTATATATATTTTATTATATTCATTGAGATATGCTTCCCAGTCAGGTTGGACAATCAGATACTCATAAAGGCAAGCAATTGGCACAAATCTGACCCCAACAGCCACCAACAGTCCAGGCCTAAGAAGGAAACCCAAGCCTAGTGTCCAGCTAGAATAAACCTCACGCTCCTCCTTTTTCCTTGTGCTCAATCTGACCCTTCGAGATCAGATCCGGGATTTCCACCGCCAGCCAAGGTCCCAGCTGTAAGACAAAGAGACTGTTAGTGTTGCTCCATTTGCATACCCCGAATGCCAGAGAATATCTATCTGAATAGACTAAGCATGAACAGTAAGCATGGGTGACTATGGATCTGAATGCAATGTCCTTAGAAAGTGGGACTGCCCCTCAGAAAAAAACATGTACCTACCCAGTCAATGTTTAAGTATTAATTTTAAATTCTTCTGTGTATTTTAATATTTGTATTTTACAGAAACACATCTATCTATGCACATAATAAAAGTGAAAATATGTATATTATATGTATGTATATATAGAGAGAGAGGGGGGAGAGGGGGGGTAGTATAATATATTTTATAATGCATATACCCGTACATACTCGAGTATAAGCCGACCCGAATGTAAACCGAGGCACCTAATTTTACCAACAAAAAATGGGAAAACGTATTAACTCGAATATAAGTCGAAGGTGGGAAATGCAGCAGCTACTGGTAATATAAAATAAATATAGATACCACTAAAATTACATTAATTGAGGAAATGGTAGGTTGTTTTTCAATGTTTACATAAAACTGTAATTTAAAATAAGACTGACCAACTTTGATTGTATTTTTGCTATTTTAATTGTTTCAACGTTTTAATGTTTTAGTGTGATTTAAAAATATGATGTTTTAATGACTGTCTGTAATATTGATGTTGGAAACCGGCCCGAGTCCCTCGAATGGAGGTGAGAAGACCGGTATACAAAACTGCCAAATAAATAAATAAAACCATTATTCTAACCTTTTGCAGTGTAAATGTGCTTACGTATCCTTCCAATAATAATAAAGAAAGTAAAATAATAAATGTAATCAACAACAATAAAGTAAAATAATAAATGTAATAATGATAATAAAAATAGAGTAAAATAAATGTAATAAAATAATAATAGAGTAAAATAATGCAAATGTAATAATGCCAATAATAGAGTAAAATTAAGAAATGCAATAACAATAATAAAGTAAAATAATAAATGTAGTAATAATAATAATAAATAGATTAAAATAAATGTAATAAAATAATAATAGAGTAAAATAATGTAAATGTAATAATGCCAATAATAGAGTATTTATTTATTTATTTAATTTGACTTGTATACCGCTACTCTCAATTTAGCTCGGAGCGGTTCACAGCAGTAGATTAAAACAATACAATTAACTTTAAAATACAATAAAACAAGAACAGACATAGTCCCGAGTTATTCACCCTTGGGCTTGTTATTGCGTAATAAATGCAATAGCAATAATAATAAAGTAAAATAATAAATGTAATAATAATAATAATAATAAATAGAGTAAAATAAATGTAATAAAATAATAATAGAGTAAAATAATGTAAATGTAATAATTTTTTTTGTCGTGTCAGGAGCGACTTGAGAAACTGCAAGTCACTTCTGGTGTGAGAGAATTGGCTGTCTGCAAGGACGTTGCCCAGGGGACGGCCGGATGATTTTGATGTTTTATCATCCTTGTGGGAGGCTTCTCTCATGTCCCCGCATGAGGAGCTGGAGCTGGTAGAGAGCTCATCCGTCTCTCCCTGGATTCGAACCTGCGACCTGTCCGTCTTTAGTCCTGCCGGCACAGGGGTTTAACCCACTGCGCCACCGGAGGCTCCAATGTAATAATACCAATAATAGAGTAAAATAATAAATGTAATAAAAATAATAGTAATAACAGAGTAAAATCATAAATAACTTTGAGTCGAATATAAGCCGAGGGGAGGTTTTTCAGCCTAAAAAAGGGGCTGAAAAACTAGGCTTATACTCGAGTATATACAGTATATTGTATGAAGCTCTTATAAGAGTTTGGTTTAACCTCTGGTTGCTAGTTATAATGAATTACCAAGTCACAAAAGGATGCATGTCTCAAAAAAAGGCACCAACATGAAAAGTTTGGAAAGCTCTATAATAGTGTTGTCTTCTTGCCTGGCAGAAATGGGATGAGACTGGATGGCCCTTGGGGTTCCCTTCCAACTCTTATGATTCATGAACCTAAGCCTCCTTTCACCACCTTAATTTCTGAGTCAGGCCAACAACTTACCCCCAGAGCCATGAGGTGCGCAAGTCCAAATTTGGGGACGTTCCTGGCCCACAAGGGCTTGAAATGGTCTGTCAGGCATATTTTCCCACCCCTATAAAGGAAGAAAAATGTTCCAGATCTTAAAATGACAGGCAGAAAGAGAACATTAGCCCAAGAGCTACATTACAGAGGTGAGGAACTGACCTGTACATTTTGGCTGTTTTCCCATCCAGTTCTGGAATGGCTATTTCTGGAGCAGTGGCAGGATAAGTGACCGGAATCTGCAAATTAATCACATTCATGAGCCCCAAATGTCAGGATTTTGTGTTTAAGTCACCATTCAGTAGAATGGAATAGCCAAGAAAGAGATAAAGACTCACATCAAACTCAACCGCAAACTCATACTTCAAGAGATTGTGGATGTACCAGCACTTCCCAAACCACCTAGAAAGGCAAAAGAAAGAAGCAAATGTGTTGCCGTGAGTTTTCTGGGCTGTATGGCCATGTTGCAGAAGTATTCTCTCCTGACGTTTTGGCCACACCTACAGCAGGCATCCTCAGAGGTTGGAAACTAGGCAAGTGGGGTTTATATATCTGTGGAATAATGTCCAGGGTGGGAGAAAGAACTCTTGTTTGTTTCAAGCAAGTGTGAATGTTGCAATTGGCCAGCTTATTTATTTATTTATTTACAGCAGTGTTTCTCAACCTTCCTAATGTCGCGACCCCTTGATACAGTTCCTCATGTTGTGGTGACCCTGAACTACAACATTATTTTCGTTGTGACTTCATAACTGTAATTTTGCTCCTGTTATGAATCATAATGTAAATGTCTTATATGCAGGATGTATTTTCATTCACTGGGCCAAATTTGGCACAAATGTCCAATATGCCCAAATTTAATACTGGTGGGGTTGGGAGAGGGGTGATTGATTGTCATTTGAGAGTTGTAGTTGCTGGGATTTATAGTTCACCTATAATCAAAGAGCATTCTGAACTCCACCAATGAGAGAATTGAACCAAACTTGGCACACAGAACTCCCATGACCAACAGAAAAGACTAGAAGGGTTTGTGGGCATTGACCTTGAGTTTGGGAGTTGTAGTTCACCTACATCCAGAGAGCACTGTGGAATCAAACAATGATAGATCTGGACCATGATAGATCTGAGTATTGATAGATCTCATACAATCAAAGAGCATTCTGAACCCCATCAATGATAGAATTGGGCCAAACTTTGCACACAGAATCCCCATGACTAACAGAAAATCATTGGCGACCCCTCTGATACCCCCTCGCGACCCCTCCAGGGGTCCTGACCCCCAGGTTGAGAAACACTGATTTACAGCTTTTATATTCCGCCCTTCTCACCCCGCAGGGGACTCAGGGTGGATTACAGTGTACACATATATGGCAAACATTCAATGCCAATTTTTGACATACAACATATACAGACATACACAGAGGCTATTTAACTTTTTCTGGCCACCAGGGGAGCTGTCGCTTTCATCGTCCATCTGCGACGCTGATGAAGCACTTCCGCATTCCCCGCATGCTTCCCCGCTGGAATGCTTTGCTGGAGTCTTCTTTATGGCCTCATAAATCAGTTGATTTAGCCTCCCCACACTTTAAGGTGGTACCTAATTTTCCTACTTGACAGATGCAACTGTCTTTCGGGTTGCAAAGGTCGACAACAGGCTACACAATTGGTTGGAAACCCACTCCAACCTGGGCTGGCTTCGAACTCATGATCTTTTGGTCAGAGTGATCTTAATGCAGCTGACACTCAGCCAGCTGCGCCACAATCCCGGTGTCTGAATAGCTTTGCAGCTTCAAAGCCTGGCTGCTTCCTGCCTGGGGGAATCCTTTGTTGGGAGGTGTTCGCTGGCCCTGATTGTTTCCTGCCTGAAATTCCTATTTTTTGGGTGTTGTTTTTTATTTATTGTCCTGATTTTAGATTTGTTTTAATACTGGTAGTATTAAATAAACTTAAATAAACTTTTTTTGTACCCCGCTACCATCTCCCCAAAGGACTCGGTGCGGCTTACATGAGGCCAAGACCAAAGTACATCAAACAAAACGCGGAACAATGGCTTCAAACTACAAGAGAGGAGATTCCATCTGAACATGAGGAAGAACTTCCTGACTGTGAGAGCCGTTCAGCAGTGGAACTCTCTGCCCCGGAGTGTGGTGGAGGCTCCTTCTTTGGAGGCTTTTAAACAGAGGCTGGGTGACCATCTGTCAGGGGTGATTTGAATGCAATATTCCTGCTTCTTGGCAGAATGGGGTTGGACTGGATGGCCCATGAGGTCTCTCCCAACTCTTTGATTCTATGATTCTATGAAACATCAATAAACACAACATCAATCAATAAACAATCAATAAAATACAAATCATATAAATCACATAAACAAAAAACAATCAATAGTGACATAAACATTTTTTTAAATGGCTGGGCCAAATGTAATAGATTAAAATTGAAAATATGCTGATGTGAACAAGGTAAAATATAACTAGGATAGGATTTTTCGGAGAGAAATGAGGGAGCACAGTCCATTAAACATTTGCCTAGTTTCCAACAGACCTCACAACGTCTGAGGATGCCTGCCATAGATGTGGATGAAACGTCAGGAATGAATGCTTCTTCTGGGGAGGCCCTTCTCTCGCCCTTGCCAGTTTCTCAAGCTCGCGTAGTGAGTACAAGGGAGAGAGCCTTTTCCGCTGTGGCTCCCCGACTCTGGAACTCGCTGCCTGGAGAAATTAGGAAAGCCCCTTCCCTTGAGGTAAAACCTGGCTCTTCTGCTGCGCCTTTGATGAGTAGGTATATAATCCCACATGATTGCTCAGCCTCAAAGTTCTGTCATTGGAGTATACGCCCCCCCCCCCCCCCCAGGGAAAGCTTTATTCCACAACTCCTGCTATAATGAGCCCTCCTCCGTAAATTCTCTATTTTCTCTCGCCCGAATTTTTAATTAGTTTTAATCAGTTTGCCTTTTAATCAATACATGTAGCCCACCCATTGTTACTGTGCTTGTGCATATTGTAATTTTTATATTGTTATGTATTCATATGTTTTATATAACTATTACGATATTGTTTATTGTTCGCGTTTTTGGTTGTGTTTTGGTTTTTCTTTGTCATTTGGGCTTGGCCTCATGTAAGCCGCTCTGAGTCCTCAATGGGGAGATCATGGCGAGGTATAAATAAAGATGATGATGATGATGATTATTATTATTACTAGCTGTCCCCTGCCACATGTCGCTGTGACCCACATGGGGTTTCTGTGTGGGAGTTTTGGCCCAATTCTATCGTTGGTGGGGTTCAGAACGCTCTATGATTGTACATGAACTATAAATCCCAGCAACTGCAACTCCCAAATGTCAAGATTCTATTTTCCCCAAACTCCACCAGTGTTCACATTTGGGCATATTGAGTATTCTGTAGAGTTTGGTCCAGATCCATCATTGCTTGAGTCCACAGTGATCTCTGGATGTAGGTGAACTACAACTCCAAAACCAAAGGACACTGCCCACCAAACCCGTCCAGTATTTTCTGTTGGTCATGGGAGAACTGTGTGCCAAGTTTGGTTCAATTCCCCTGACATTAAATCCAGTCATGTCCAACCCTGGGACTCTGGTGCTCATCTCCATTTTTTAGCTGAAGAGCTGGCGTTGTCCGTAGACACCTCCAAAGTCATGTGGCCACTGGCATGACTGCATGGAGCGCCCTACCTTCCTGCCAGAGTGGTACCTATTGCTCTACTCACATTTGCATGTTTTTGAACTGCTGTATGAATTGGAAATCATTCTATCTATCTTTTACAACTTGGCAACTGTGTGCCAAGTTTGGTTCAATTCCATCATTGGTGGGGTTCAGAATGCTCTTTGATGGTAGGTGAACTATAAATCCCAGCAACTACAACTCCCAAATGACAAAATCATTTTTTAGTGAAGGACATACATTGGTGTCTTGTGTCCAAATTTGGTGTCAATTCCCCCAGTGGTTTTTGAGTTCTGATGGTATCACAAACGAACATTACATTTTTATTTATATAGATTATTATGGAACATGGCCATACAACCCAGAAAATTCACAGCAACCCAGTGATTCCAGTCATGAAAGCCTTCGGTAACACAAAAAAGCAAATGTTAGGCTTTTGATTCTGATTTTCTTCTAAATGAAAAAAAACCCCATCACTATCACAACAATTAGCGTTTGTGTATCACTTCCATGTATCTAAAGTACCATATATTCTCGAGTATAAGCCGACCCAAATATAAGCCGAGGCACCTAATTTTACCATAAAAAACTGGGAAAATTGATTGACTCGAGTATAAGCCGAGGGTGGAAAATGCAGCAGCTATTGGTAAATTTCAAAATAAAAATAGATAGAAATAAAATTCCATTAATTGAGGCATCAAGATGTTAAATGTTTTTGAATATTTAAGATAAGACTGCCCAACTCTGATTAAATCATTCTGACCTTCTTCAATGTAAATGTGTCTGTGTATCCTTCCAATAAAAATAAATAGATTAAAATAATAAAGGTAATAATAATAATAATAATAATAATAATAATAATAATAGAGTAATATAATGGAAATGTAACATTAACAATAATAATAAATAGAGTAAAATAATAAATGCAATAATAACAACAGTAAAGTAAAATAATAAATGTAATCATAATAATGCATTTATTATGTATTTATAACAGAGTAAAATAATAAATAAACTTGACTCGAGTATAAGCCGAGGGGGACTTTTTCAGCCTAAAAAAAGGTCTGAAAAACTAGACTTATAATCGAGCATATACAGTGGGTTAAAGCACTGAGCTGCTGTGCTTGTTGATTAAAAGGTCGCAGGTTCGATTCCAGGGAGCGGCGTGAGCTTCCGCTGTCAGCCCTAGCTTCTGCCAACCTAGCAGTTCGAAAACATGCAGTCATGCCGGCCACATGACCTTGGAGGTGTCTACGGACAACGCTGGCTCTTCAGCTTAGAAATGGAGATGAGCACCACACCCCAGAGTCAGACATGACTGGACTTAATGTCAGGGGACTACGTTTACCTTTACTATATACAGTACTTTATGTGCATTATACAGATGCAATATTTTTGCAATATTATAATCTGACTATTGAAAACAGAGGACTTCAATCTGAATAAACCTCATTTCCATACAGGAATAAATCAGGGGAAATGCGATGTTCCGAAATGCAACACCTAGCCATGAATTACTCTACTTCCTGGTCATTTCATACTTGCTTTTCTTAATAATATACTAACAAACCCACCTGGTGCCTTCTTTGTTGGATTCTAGTCTGAACCAATCATTATCAGCGTTCTTGTTGTTCTCAACGTACTGGAAAAACAAAGAAAAAATAGGGTTGTTGTAGGTTTTTTCTGGCTATATGACCATGTTCTAGAGGCATTCTCTCCTGACGTTTCTCCTGCATCTATGGCAAGCATCCTCAGAGGTTGTGAGGTCTGTTGGAACTAGGAAAATGGGTTTATATATCTGTGGAATGGCTGGGGTGGGGCAAAGAACTTTTGTCTGTTAGAGCTAGGTGTGAATGTTTCAACTGACCACCTTGATTAGCATTTGATGGCCTGGCAGTGCCTGGGCCATCTTTTGTTGAGAGGTGATATAACTTCCAAAAATAACTTCCAAAAACCCTGCCAATACTTTGCTTTATATTTTTAACTAGCTGCCCCCTGTCACGCGTTGCTGTGGCCCAGTCTGGTGATCTGGAAAATAAAGTGTTGGTTTCTAATGTATGTAATTTCTTTATACTTGTATTGATGTAGAGATTGTCTGGTTGGCCTACTCTGGAACATGCAACATATAATTGTCCTTTCAAATCTATACTATGTGTGTGCGTGTGAATCATATCTATCTATCTATATCTATGGCTGGATGGCTCTTTGGCAGGAGGGCTTTGATTATGTTTTCTTGCCCTGGTGAAGGGAGTTGGACTGGATGGCCTTAAGTATTTTCTGTTGGTCATGAGGGTTCAGTGGGAAGTTTGGCCCAATTCCGTCGTTGGTGGGGTTCAGAATGGTCTTTCATTGTAGGTGAACTATAAATCCCAGTAACTACAACTCCCAAATGTCAAAGTCTATTTCCCCCAAACTCCACCTGTGTACATATTTGGGCATGTGGAATATTTGTGCCAAGTCTTGTCCAGATCCATCATTATTTGAATCCACAGTGCTCTCTGGATGTAAGTGAACTACAACTCCCAAACTCAAGGTCAATGCCTCCCAAACCCTTCTAGCGTTTTCTGTTGGTCATAAGAGTCCTGTGTGCCACGTTTGGCCCAATTCCATCATTAATGGAGTTCAGAATGCTCTTTGAACGTAGGTGAACTATAAATCCCAGCAACTACAACTCCCAAATGACTGTGGAATTATGTCCAGGGTGGGAGAAAGAACTCTTCTCAGTTGGAAAGCAAGTGTGAATGTTGCAATTGGCCAGCTTGATTACCACTGAATGGCCTTGCAGATTTAAAGCCTTGCTGCTTCCTGCCTGGAGGGAAACTTTTGTTGGGAGGCATGAATGTTGCAATTGGCTGGCTTGATTAGCACTGAATACTCTTGAATAATGATAATAATAAATAATGATGATGGTGATTGTGATGGAGTCTCCTTCTTTGGAGGCTTGTAAGCAGAGGCTGGGTGGCCATCTGTCGGGAGGGCTTGGATGGTATCTTCATGTCTAGCAGAAGGGGGTTGGACTGGATTAGCATTGAATACCCTTGAATAATGATAATAATAAATAATAATAATAACGATAGTGATTGTGATGGGGTCTCCTTCTCTGAAGGTTTGTAAGCAGAGGCTGGATGGCCATCTGTCAGGAGGGCTTGGATGGTATCTTCATGTCTAGCAGAAGGGGGTTGGACTGGATTAGCACTGAATACCCTTGAATAGGAGCCCCCAGTGGCGCAGTGGGTTAAAGCACTGAGCTGCTGAGCTTGTTGATCGAAAGGTCGCAGGTTCGATTCCGGGGAGCGGCGTGAGCTTCCGCTGTCAGCCCCAGCTTCTGCCAACCTAGCAGTTCGAAAACATGCAAATGTGAGTAGATCAATAGGTACTGCTCCGGCAGGAAGGTAACGGCGCTCCATGCAGTCATGCCGGCCACATGACCTTGGAGGTGTCTACGGGCAATGCTGGCTCTTCGGCTTAGAAATGGAGATGAGCACCACACCCCAGAGTCAGACATGACTGGACTTAATGTCAGGGGACTCTACCTTTACCTTTACCTTACCCTTGAATAATCATAATAAATAATAATAATAATAATAGTAATGGTGATTGTGATGGAGTCTCCTTCTCTGAAGGTTTGTAAGCAGAGGCTGGATGGCCATCTGTCGGGAGGGCTTGGATGGTGTCTTCATGCCTGGCAGAAGGGGGCTGGACTGGATGGCCCTTGGAGTCTCTTCCAGCTCTATGCTCCTATTCTGTCAATTATAGTGACCCCTTGCCTGTCACTCAACCTCCTTCTCTCCTCTCTTTTGGAAGCCCTTTGGCACAATGAATACGACTTCTGCCTCAAACTGATCCTCGAAAGCCACCGTAGATGAGCAAACCCAGGAAGTCCCGTCAGCTTCAGAATCCCGTTCCTGGGGAGACTCCCGTTCCCTCTCGTACCTTAATGAGCGCCTGGTATTCCTCCTTGAGCCGCTTCACCCACAGCTCTTGGTCCCGCGGACCCGCGTTCGTTTTCAGAAGCGGCAGCTCCGCCACCAGCCGGCGAGTTGCCTCGTCGGCCATCTTGGGTAAGGGAGAAAAGGGGCGCGACGTCACCGGAAGTGGCTTCATTCCTTAGTAGTACAACGGGAAACGGCGGCCATCTTTGTCCAGGGCAAAGGGGCGGGATTCTTCGTGGCGGAAGTGTGTGGCTGTTGTCAACAGAGCTTTCCGGTCTGTGGATTAGTCATGCGCCTGAGGCTGCTAGGAATTGTGGGAGTTGAAGTCCAAAACACTTGGAGTGCCCAAGATGACCCATACCTGCTGTGTGTAGCAACAAAACCCTTGGAAATATATGTTCTGAGCATACTAACCATAATAATAATAATAATAATAATAATAATAATAATAATAATAATAATAATCTTTGTATTGTTGAAGGCTTTCATGGCTGGAATCACTGGGTTGTTGTAGGTTTTTCCGGGCTATATGGCCATGTTCTAGAGGCATTTTCTCCTGACGTTTCGCCTGCATCTATGGCAAGCATCCTCAGAGGTAGTGAGGTCTGTTGGAATTAGGACAATGGGTTTATATATCTGTGGAATGACTGGGGTGGGGCAAAGAGCTCTTCTCTGCTGGAGCTAGGTGTGAATGTTTCAACTGACAACCTTGATTAGCATTTGATGGCCTGGCTGTTGGTGTGGATTGTTAGTGCCTGGAGCAATCTTTTGTTGAGAGGTGATTAGATGTCCCAGACTGTTTCCCTTCTGTTACATGAAAGGCACTGCAGACTACACCAACCAGAGAAATCAGCCATAGCAGAGCACCTGATGAACCAACCTGGACACAGCATATTATTTGAGAACACAGAAATGCTGGACCACTCTACAACCACCATGTCAGACTACACAGAGAAGCCATTGAAATCCACAAGCATGTGGACAATTTCAACAGAAAGGAGACCATGAAAATGAACAAAATCTGGCTACCAGTATTTAAAAAACTCTAAAATTACAACAGCAAAACAGCAGAGAGGGAACAACCAGGCACATCATAACACCTCTCAACAAAAGATTTTCCCAGGCTCAGCCAGGCCTTCAAATGCTAATGAAGGTGGTCAGTTGAAACATTCACACCTAGCTCCAGCACAGAAGAGCTCTTTGTCCCACCCCAGCCATTCCACAGATATATAAACCCATTGTCCTAATTCCAACAGACCTCACTACCTCTGAGGATGCTTGCCATAGATGCAGGCGAAACGTCAGGAGAAATGCCTCTAGAACATGGCCCTATGGCCCAAAAAAACCCATAAGAACCTAGTTGCGAGGTCTGTTGGAACTAGGAAAAAGGGTTTATATATCTGTGGAATGACCAGGGTGGGACAAAGGACTCTTGTCTGCTGGAGCTAGGTGTGAATGTTTCAACTGACCACCTTGATTAGCATGTGATGGCCTGGCTGTTGTTTGGTGTGGCTTGTTTGTGCCTGGAGCAAACTTTTGTTGAGAGGTGATTAGATGTCCCAGATTGTTTCCTCTCTGCTGTTTTGCTGTTGTAATTTTAGAGTTTTTTTAATACTGGTAGCCAGATTTTGTTCATTTTCATGGTTTCCTCCTTTCTGTTGAAATTGTCCACATGCTTGTGGATTTCAATGGCTTCTCTGTGTAGTCTGACATGGTGGTTGTGAGTGGTCCAGCATTTCTGTGTTCTCAAATAATATGCAGTGTCCAGGTTGGTTCATCAGGTGCTCTGCTATGGCTGACTTCTCTGGTTGAAGTAGTCTGCAGTGCCTTTCATGTTCCTTGATTCGTGTTTGGGCAAGCTGCGTTTGGTGGTCCCTATGTAGACTTGTCCACAGCCGCATGGTATACGGTAGACTCCTGCAGAGGCGAGAGGATCCCTCTTGTCCTTTGCTGAACGTAGCATTTATTGGATTTTCTTGGTGGGTCTGTAGATAGTTTGTATGTTGTGTTTCCTCATCAGCTTCCCTATGCGGTCAGTGGTTCCCTTGATGTATGGCAAGAACACTTTTCCTCTGGGCGGATCTTCGTCTTTATTCTCATGGCTTATTCTTGGTCTTGCAGCTCTTCTGATGTCTGAGGTGGAGTCTCCACTGACCTGTACGTTCAGCAAAGGACCAAAAGAAAATACTGGAAGGATTTGGTGGGCATTGACCTTGAGTTTTGGAGTTGTAGTTCACCTACATCTAGGGAGCACTGTGGACTCAAACAGTGGTGGATCTGGACCAACCTTGGCACAGATACTCAATATGCAGAAATGTGAACAGTGGCGGAGTTTGAGGAAAATAGGCTTTGACATTTGGGAGTTGTAGTTGCTGGGATTTATAGTTCACCAGAATGTCAAAGAGCATTCTGAACGCCACCAATGATAGGGTTCTGTCCCACACAGAACCCTCATGACCAACAGAAAACACTGTGTATTTTGATGGTCTTTGGTGACCCCTCTGACACTCCCCTCGCAACCCCCCCAGGGGTCCCGACCCCCAGGTTGAGAAACACTGACTTAGATAAAGGGTTAGAAGGCATGGTCATCAATTCTGCATAAGGGACCAAATGGAGAAGGAGAGCCAATACTCCAGAAGACAGGAGCAGGATTCAAAGTGATCTTCAGAGACTAGAGAGATGATTGGCTAAAGCTAACACAATGAAGTTCAATAGGGACAAATGCAAAAGACTCCACTTGCAGAAAAAGGGAAATGCAAAGAGACAGAATGGGGGACAATGGCTGGCTCCACAGCAGGACATGTGGGACAAAATCTTGAGAGTCCTCGTGGGGAGGAAGGGGAACATGCGCCAGGAATGTCATGCAGCAGCTCAAAAAGCCAATGGGATTTTGGCCCTGCATAAATAGGAGTCTATTGTGTAGATTGAGGGAAGTCATGGTAATAGCGGGCAATGGAGGACCCCCTGCCTTCAAACTGATCTGACCTGCAGCAGGGAGTTCTGCAGTTCCTGGATGTCCGATTGGACCAGCATCGTTGGGAATGTGGCCACAGCAGCAGCAAAAAAAGAGACTCCTTTTCCGCCTTGCTTTCTTTCCCTTGACCTAACATTGGAACAAATCCCCCAATAAAGTATCTTTTAATTGTAACCTTTTCCTCTCCATAGTGATACATTGTGTCCTTTTACTACCTCTAACACTCTCCAGCATGAACTTTCCCTCTCCCAAGCCGCAGATCACTGCCAGCTCGCCTGGGATGCTCTTCTAGCGTCCCAGGGAGGCCAGAACTGCTCTCCTCTGAACCGTGGATATGGAAACCTATTGGGCCCCCATATCCGTGGGTTAATGGATCGCTTCCAAACCGGTGCCATTTTTCTCCTAGACTAATTCTAAGACGAACTGCTATCTCGCTTTTTTTTGCATTCTGGACTCCTACACTCACCCCAAAACTCCATGTGGAGACCAGCTGATTGAGATCCATGGCTCCTTGCCACAATGTTGTACCTGCCTGTTGATGTCCAGAAGCCTGTTGACCTGGGGAACCTGCTGCGGTCACCCCTTGGGACCCCCGGGTAGCAGACAGGCCACCCTGGCCCCTTGATGAGATGTAATTTATAGTTTTCTTCTCCCAAATGAATGGACCCTGATCCTCAGCGCTCTGCAGTGATCCCAGTATGAACTCAATAGACTTTTAAGAGCATTTCCCCTTTGTTCATGAACTCTTTTGGACTCTTATCAAACTTTTGCCCGCTTTCGAAAACTTTTAAAACTTTTTGGAATCTTTCCCCCTTCAAACCCCAAGGACTCTCACTATGATTTATGAACTTTCAATGGACTATGGTGGGTGAGATGGGCTGATATGATTTATTCTCCCCTCTATATGAATATATCCCCAATGGCACCCTTGCATGCCTCCCCTTTCCCCTTTCATATCCCTATACGTACTATAAAATATGAAATGCCACCTCTTCGTGAACCCAGCACCTCAGAGCTACAGGAAAAACCTCACATTTCCTGAATCCCACTAAATTCCCTGACAAAAGGACTCAACAGGAACTCTTGCATGGACAATAAGACGATGGGCATAATCCTTTAGACCTCAGAGTAACCCAAGTTAGCCCATCTGAAGGATGTGCCCCATGGCAGATTTAATCACTCCTCACAAAAGGTGACATCTCACCTGCGAAGGATTTAGATGTCACTATTTATTTATTTATTTTATTTATTTACTTCATTTGTTGACCGCCGCTCTCAGCCCTGGGGCGACTCGCGGCGGTGTACAACATATAAAAACAGTCTACAAAAACATACAATGAATCGACACCCAAATTACACATTAATCTAAACACAATAATAAATCCGCGCCATCAACATAGAGAACATAGCCAATCTCATAATCCAAGGTCCATTCCAGATGTCATTACCAAATTCGTGTGGGTCTCAATTGAATGCCTTCCCGAATAGCCAGGTCTTTAGGCTCTTACGGAAGGCCATAAGGGAGGGCGCCTGTCTGATGTCAGCAGGGAGGGCGTTCCACAGCCGGGGGGCCACCACTGAGAAGGCCCTCTCTCTCGTCCCCGCCAGGCGTGCCTGTGAGGCGGGCGGGATCGAGAGAAGGGCCTCCCCGGATGATCTCAAGGGATGATCACTACAGCCTCTTTCTTTGTTTCCGTTCCTCCGGCTGATACTATAGTTGGATACCATCTCTAAATCCATATCCCAGACCTAAAGCACTCAGGACAATAAAAGAAGCCAGCTTGAAGACTAAAAAAGTTGTTGCTGGCAATTGTACAAATATGAAGTCACCTAATCCATTCATCTTTTCCTCCTGGTTCATTGTTTCCTACTTGGACCGCCTCCTTGCTCCCCATTGGCTGGGAGACCAAAGCGGCACTGGCTCTCCTATTGGCCGAGGCACAGCTGAGTCGACCATGCCTCCTCTCCAGCTACTGACTCCAACCAATCAGCGCGAAGCCTGCGAGGGGGGTGGGAGCAGGAAGTTTGACAGCTCTGTTTTTCTATAAAAATATGCTGTTTTGCCTTGTGCTTTATGTTGGCTTTGGCAAATGATTGCAGTTTGACATCCGTTCCAGCTGAAACGAAATAAAACAACTCAGTGACATTTTCTTCAACTTTGGTGACATTTATTTGGGAAAATCAGGGAGAAATTCTTTGGGTGCTTCTTTCTTGCCAGGGTCAAAACAGATGGTGGGTCTGATTGGTCTCTGTCTTCAAGGCAAAGACCCCGCAAATTCTTTCTCGATATCATTGGTGTATTTGTATTCTGCTTTGGTTAGACCTCTTTACCTGGAATACTGTGCCCAATTCTGAGCACCACCGTTTAAAAGAGATATTGACTAGGTGTCAAAGGAGGGCAACTTAAAGGATCAACGTTCTGGAGACCATGAATCCCTATGAGGAGTGTCTTAAAGAGCTGGGTGTGTTTAGTCTGCATAGGAGAAGGTTGAGAGGAGACATGATCTCCCTGTATAAATATGTGAAAGAAAGAGGGAGCAGACTTCTTTTCTGCTGCCCTTGAAACTAGGCCTCAGAGCAATGGATTCAAATGACAGGAGAGGAAATTCCACCCAAACATTAGGAAGATCTTCCTGACTGTAAGAACTGTTCAGCAGTGGAACTCTCTGCTCTGGAGGGTAGTGGAAGCTCCTTCCTTGGAGGCTTCTAAATAGGCTGAATGGCCATCTGTCAGGGGTGCTTTGATTGTGCTTTTCCTGCATGGCAGGTGGTTGGACAAGATGGGCCATGAGCTCTCTTCCAACTCTATTATTCCACACAATATTTTTCCTAAGGAGCTGTCTTTTTGCCGCCCCACTGTGGACACGCTGAGAATTGCACTCCCTTTAGCGGCTCCAATGTATGATCTTTTGCTGCCATCGTGTGGCCAGAATGGGAAACTGCACCACTTTGTTATAGGTCCAGAGTGTTGCCATGGAGACATCTTACAGAGTCCCTCATAGGACCAGAGCGTTGCCATGGAG